GATGGCGTTCTTATTTCAACTCTTAAATGTAACTTTTTAATGACCACATATTACCGAGGTTTTTTATCGCCTCTTTTTACCTGCTTCAAACTAAGTGCCGCAGAGGAGGAAGGAAGAGGAGGAAAGTTTTTTGCATCGAATTAAACTCTTTGAATATATGAGGCTTTTCTAACTTATGTAAGAAAGTTCACAAAAGACTTTGACTACAAACGCAATTTTTAAAAGAGACATCCAGAGTCAAAGGGGTTTGAAACGGCAAAAAAAGATCTCTTTTTGTATGAGAGGTAAGGGAAGTCAGACAGAGACGAGCAGACTCGCTTGAGAGTTGTCAAGCAGCGTAAGGAATTGAATTAAGTGTCTATCATAAGTGCTTGACTGGCAAGAGGGACGTGTAAGTCCTCTTACACAAATTAATGGCTTTTCATGGTTGTCAGAGAGATGGGGGCAGCGAGAGGGGGGCTTTATTCCCTAATGTCATCCCATCAGTGTTCTCAAATCTTCACTTTGCACGACTCTATACCCTCTATTCCCAATTCTCATCCGGCTCCGCTATCATGTCACAACAGACTTAACACCGAGCAGGGATGGGGCAGGAAGAAGAGCGGAGGGACTTAAATGGACATCAGGGTTAAAAGTAGAGAGAAAGAGGCAGGGGATTGAGTGGAAAAAAAGACATTTTGGAGACACTAGGGGGGTCAAATGAGGGTTAGAAACAATAGGGATTAGAAAGAGGCAAGCACAGGAGAAGTGAAGTGGGTGTTGACGCAAGGGAGAAGGAAGGATTAGAGTGGCCTAATTAATTTGAGAGCTAATACAGAGACTATACCAAGTCTGCATCTCTTACAGGATGCCTGAATGACTCTTTGCACCAACTACAGCTTCAGCTTGCATAAAACCCCACAGACAAAAACCTGACGTTGTATCGATACAGGAAAGAAAATTGGAAGGATGCAACAGAGTCTCCTGGAGGGCGAAATTAACAGCTCAGATTTCAAAATCGTAACCCTGCAGGGTTTGTGACAACTCCAGCCGTGAGATCCCAGATTATTCCCAAGCAGTCTCCCGATCAATAAAGACTATATCATTCACACAGCGATGTATTTAATGACTTATCCAATCATCTTTCACCTAGACTAGCCTACAGGGAGACATGGGAACTGACACATGTGCACATCTCGATGCATTATGAGGAGCGAATGTGCAAAACCCCATTAAATCCGCTCTATTTCTCTGTCTACCGCTTTAGTGATCTCACCTAATGCAATCCCCGATGACCGTCCGCTGTCTTAATGCCTCAGTGTATCGCCAGGAGCTTTGCTGTTATCCTGCACCGTTTAAGATTTCGTGCAGAAAGCTGAGCTAACCTTTTTTCCAACATAAAACCAAACAAGGACACTGAAGCTCAGCAATAAAAACAACCCAATATAAATAGTGTTTTTGTGTAAGAGTACACAGTCCGTGTGTTTGAATATGTGAAGATGTTTACTAGTTGTTTCTCCCTCCCCCCTTCAGCATGAGTATACAATAAACAAAACTTATCCCACCCAGGTGTTTCCAGACATCTGCTCGCTGTGGCTCTCCTCCTCCCACACACTCCTACTTATTTGCCCCCCGGCTCAGCCAAATCAATATATCATTAGCTAGTCCCTCTCTCTCCTCACTCACTCACCCCCCATGTGCTCCAACCTGAAAACCCCTGCCTCCATCCCTCCCTCCTACTCCTCTCTTACTCCATCTTCCCTCACATTTCACACTATTTCATGCTGTTTTTCTCCCTTTACCTCGCCTCTCATCTTCACCCCCTTCGGCCTCCACCTCCACACTCTCCCCACTCCAGCTCTGCCTTGCTCCTTTGTGTGTTTCTGAACCTGACAAAAAAGTGTGAACGAAGGGTTTAAATGGGAAAAAGAGAGCTGCGGGGGGGTTAAAGGTGTAAGAGAGGGATGAATTTGAGTCATACGAAGAAGAGATGGAGATGAAGGGTGAGGCCAGGCATGGCAGAAATATGGAGGCAAAGCAGGGAGGAGATGGGGAGCGTGTGGAGGGGGAGGGGAGGCTGGTTGGCTGACTGGGTTTCTGTGAGGGTGAAATGAATGTGTAATTGCATTGTAGTGGCTTAACCCTCCACCAGACAACTGAGTGATGGCAGGAGCGACAGCCACAACACACAACACTCCCCAGTGAAAGTGGGTAGCAAAGCTGTCGGGTAAACAGGGAGGTTGTCAGTGTTGGTGTAAAGTCAACAACAGTCCCAGCAGGTAGCAACATGCCTTTACACCAGTGTCAAGTGTCAATCATGGAACAAACAAAACTTAGAACCAGGTTTTACAAAGGGTCTCGACACAAATCGCTAAAACATGAGAAAAACCTAAACCAAGGCAGTGTGCTATATCATACTATATCTTTTAACATAACATAGCATCATATTGCGTACATACCCACTGGGCAAAAGACGACTATTAGACCTTATTTTAGACGTCTAGAACCTGTATTTTTATTTTTTAGATGTATAGACGTTGCACTTTAATCCATTTTTCAATAACTATTTGTTTCAAAAAGCAACTGTGAGTTGCATAACTGATCTCCAAGTACTTAACCAAGATAATTATGATAGCCATTAAGCAAAATACAGTGTCCCACTGAGCATTTTTTTGGTCTAAAAGAGGTCTAATAGACGTCTAAGTCTATGTTCACACTGCAGGTCAATTCCCATTTTTTAACCATATGTGACACATATCTGATTTTTTTTCATGTGTGTGTGTGAACAGTGCAATTCTGATTTTTTCAAATCCGACCCAGGCCTCTTTTGTATGTGGATATAAATCGGATATGTAGCCGATGTGACTGCAGTGTGGACGCTCAGGTCGCATTCATCCGACCTGTACGTCATCAATATGCGACAAACGTCACCATTGTTCGACAACACAAACAGGCGCAGAAAGCAATTTGTGCTTTGTGCGCCTGCAGGTCACCTCACGGACACATTCCTTCACATTAGATGCCGCATTCATTGTTGTAATGTGAACGACCACACAAAAAAATCGGATTTACAAAAATTCAAATTGTGCATCATAACCTGCAGTGTGAACGTAGCCTAAATGTAGCCTAGGCGACTAGTCTAAAATCAGACTACCACAGGTCTAAAAATGAACGTTTTTTTAGACGTCTAAATTAAGACCAAGTTTAGACTAGCTGACTAACAGAGGTCTACACTGTATTTTGCACAACAGCCATCATAACTATTTTGGTTAAGTACTTGGAGATCAGTTATGCTTACGTCTGAATTCCATCTAAAAATATACAGAGTCTAAACAGTTGAAATTAGGTCTAAAAAAAACTAGATGTCTAATAGCCGTCTGTTGCTCAGTGGGGTAGTATAGTATAGCTGGCTAGTCTAAACTTAGTCTAAACTTAGACGTCTAAAACAACTTTAATTTTTAGACCTGTGGTAGCCTAATTTTAGACCAGTCATCTAGGCTGCATTTAGACGTCTATTAGACCTCTGTTAGACCAAAAAATGCTCAGTGGGTATATAACATGTATTGTAGTCATATGGCATTGTTACACTGCATAAGATCTTTTCCAATGTTACCTCACAACATATTGTATCATACAGTACCATAGAGCATTGTTTGTGTAACATATTAGATCATATATTAAATGATGGTAAGGACTGTAAAAGGTCCAAATTGAATCAGTTTGTGAGCATAAATCTGTCAGACAGTCTGCAGATTTATAATTGGGATAAAAAATTTGCATAGAAACACAGAAAATGGATTAAATGACAACATAGTGCAGAATAAAAATGATATGACTTGTCTACTACAACAGCCAGGATTATTTAATCTAGCTCCTCTCTTCATTCATGAGAAGACATGGTTCATTTTTACCCCACCCATCCCTGTAATGTTCCTCCAATTTCTTCTACATTGATCTCCTTTTTCCCTCCCCCTCCCCCTCTATATACTTTGAACGACCCAAGAAGAGGTGAAGAAGAGGGCAATTAAAATGAGGTTTCTGTGCAGTGAAATGAGACACACCTCATGCCTATGAGATGAAATATGAACGGGATAGCAAACAGGTTGAGTATGTTCTAAGGCTGCAAAAATAGGTAAACAAGACAGAGTCTGTTGTTTTCATGAAGTGTCTCTTCAAGTGGAAATAACAGACTTTGATGGCTCACATATCCCTCTCACTATCACTCACACATACGCAAGGTGAACAAAGAGGCAGTGCACAGCTTTGAGTGATGAGTACTGCTCCGGGGGAAACAAGTGAAACTGGTGAGATAGCTCTCAAAAATAAAGAGGGACTGAGATCCCAGTAACTGTACCATGCACAACGACTGCAGAGGGAGGCATTGGCAAGACCAGGGAGGGTGCAGATGGAGGAGTCACCTTGAGGGAGAGGAGAGAAAGGAGGGAGGAGAGTGACACAGTGGCAATGCCAATTTATTTCTTTTCAGGTCACAAGCTTGCAGATATTGAGAAAAAAAAACACCTGATGGTCTACTGAAATGTATCCTGACAGAAAAGTATGGATCTGTGAATGGACAAAAAGGTTGCAAGTATGTGAGAAAATCCTGTAATGCTGCGATAATCGTTACAGGTGTCTGCTAATGTTTGCATTCATGTCTTTGTGATACAAAAACCAAACACTGAGGACTGTGGGGCTTTCTGTGGACGTGTGGGTAGAAATGAAATAATATTGATTGAAACACTCAGGCGCAGCTTCATAGATTGATTTTTTTCAACAGAATATGAATGTCCTCCATGGGAAGTGGAAGTGGCATTTGTTCACAGGAGTTCTCACCTGGGTCACTGTTTATCACAGCGACAAATTTAGTTTTTTAAAAATGTTTTGTAAGGACTCAGACAAGCAAAGCAAGTAAAGGGGGTTTAATCAGTTTTCTAAAGCAAAATTTGGCATTTCCAAACAGAAATCAGTTTCTCCTTTTTAAACAACAGTGACATCTGTTGGCCGAGTACTGAAATGGCTGGAAAAAAAACAGGGCTAGTATTTGCCTGTATATTCAGATTTCTGACAAATTAAGTTAAAAATAACTCAATCAAAAAAAAAAAAGAAGATCTGCAACATGAAAAAGTAATGAATCTCATTTTCTTCCTGACCATAAAAGAATGTAAAATACACCAGTGAGTCAGAAACACAGTAGTTAATGACATTCAATTATTGACATGAACATGGGCATGGACAAAAACCCTACTGAATTTAATCAAAGTGCCTTTTGCGGGAAACTTATGTGTCTTTGAAAAAATAAAATCCAGGCCACTTTTTGACGCCTTATGTCCTCAGTTGGAACAAAGGGTTTAGAAGATGAGAGGCGCACGCTCTAGGGAAGGCAGGGGAAGTAAAAAAGAAAACAGATTAACACACTTTCCCTCCAAGACATTGACAGTGTTTCCTTTACCACAGCTACAGAAAGATAAAACAGAAATCTTAATTGTTTAAATTGACAGACTCGAAATGTATGTATTTCTTAAGCCATAATACCATTTATACTCTATTTTTCAACCTCATTTTAGTCTGAGTCTGAGCCAAAAGAGCACACCATCACTAGGTAACTAGACTGCAGGTACAATATGCTATATAATTACACCCAAGGCAGCATAGGAAGTATTAACACAGCCTCATTACTGCCACTGCTGTGTGGTTTGTTATTGGTCACAAGACAGAGGCCATTACAGCTGAGTTCGTAATAGAAATGTGTTTCAGATGTGGGGCTGTAGAAAAACATCCTCCATTGTTGAAATGATTTTTGTTTCAAAATGCCCTTGGCCATCATCTTAAGATAGACTAGAGCTGCTACACTGATAATTGGAATTTGTGTTATTTACACCTTTGCCGAGACGACCAAGGGCACTCCGCTTCCTGAAAGCAGTAAAATGAAACACTATGATCAAGGGTAAATTTGAGAGCACACCTGAACACTCACTCAGGAAAATGCTACTCCTGGGTAATTATAACTACAGTTGAATAATAGAGAGAGTGTGTTATGATGTTCTGTTTAATGGTTTACTCTCCAAATCGTCACATAAAAGCATTTTGATTAGTTTGGATTTTATCTTAACAGCCACAGTTTCACAATTTGAATAATTATTACATTATATAAACTGTATTTGTATGTCTGTTTTTAAAATCATTTGCTCTCAACATCATCTGCTTTTGGAGAAGCTTTTAAAGCAAGAATGAAAAATAAAAGGACAGTTCTGGTGGCCTATAACTGATGGGGTCAGTTTGTAACAGTAATGTGGTGGGGCTCTGTCATGGAGCCAAAGATCTAGCAGTGTCTTTGGCTGCCATACGGTTGTAAAGCTATAAACCAAAAATATGACCTTATAGGGGAGAGTGGGGTAAGATGAGCCATTTTTCATATTTCGGATCACTACATCAAGACAATCATAGTTTTGTCACTAACTAGTGAATCTGCATATATTTCAAGATGTTGTGCATCCCCGCAAACCAACAGAATGAGTGTAAACATGACTCTCTTGATAATATAGCATGCCAGAAAAAGTGGTCTCCTATGGTTAACTTACCCCGTGTATAGGGTAAGTTGAACTGTATCCCTACTATCCCCCACTCTCCACCCCAGCCCTCCAACATTCATGTATATTTTTATCGATTATATGCTATTCAATTAGTACAATAATTCTTATTATTATTGATTGATTGATCGATTGATTGAAGTTTATTTAGAACATATAAAAAATAATAATAAAAAAGTAAAGAATACAACAACAAATGGCAAAAAGTTATTCATGTTCAAAAGGGAGTGGGAAGAAGTAGAGACTTATCTAGTCCCACCCCTTCTCCTACACTATGGTTTAAATATATATCATAATATTATATACTAATCATGATTGTACATCCCTGTATTCCGTGAAAAAATATTAATTATATTTTGTTTTAAATTATTGCATATAACTGTCAAAAAGCTGTTTTTTAAAAAGCCATTTTAACATGAGAATGTATTTAAGTCATTCAGAACATTTACAGCTGTATTTTTGAAAAGAAAAAGTAAAACATTTCAACAATCTGAACTGAAACTCTGATCCTCTCATCAGACTCCTTTACTTTCTCAGTTGAAGCTAAAATGGTGGACTTTTGTGCTAGGTTTTTGACTCATAGATACCACAAATGATGTATAAAACAAATTTAAAATGATCTTTTTTGGTCTGAAATGTCTAACCCCTTCACCCATGTGCTTCCAACCTTAACATACTCCATGAATTGATGCCCATCTCCTAAATATTTGCTCACATGATCAATTTCTTTTACCATTTCCAAGAAACAGAGAGACGCTCAACTTACCCCACTCTCCCCTATACTAGATTTAGCAGGGTAACAGAGTTCAGCGGAACACCGGCCAGTAGGCGTCCTCAGTGCACCGCGTTCTGGTGGTCTCTGAGAGAGAAACTCACACAAGCGCAACGCAGTGATATTAGTACAAGTCTGTTGGATTAAAAAGATACCGAATTTCATCTTTAAAAGTAAAATTAAACTGAATAACTGTCGAGTGTTTGAACGGTTTGTAGTTTCAGCTAAGCTAGCTGAATGAATCTGTCTGCACGCTCACCTTGGCAACGGAAGTCGCGTGCCGTTGCTGTTGGTCAACTTCCTTAGCTGAAGCTAAACGCCGATGCAGAACTCCGATTTAGTGCAATCTCGGTTTGTTGTGTGTCCGGCTGTGCAAATCAGCATTCCCCTACCAGCGCATTGAAGTTTTACAGATTCCCGTCAGGACGCTTGAGGTGTGAGGCAAACAGGAGACAGTTATGGATCCAGGCGATCCAACAAGTGAACGGCAGCACCGAGGGACTGGAGGGGAATGTCCGAGTCTGCAGCGCTCATTTTCTATCAGGTAAACAACAAAGCTGCTCCAAATACTCCAACAGCAAACACTATTACACTTAAATCTCTTATTGCAACCTAGGCTATTGGTCAAATGAGACAGATTTGGCTACAAATGAGACTGAATCCAGTTTCTCACTCAACTTTCCCATTCATTATTTCTGTTTTTAAGGAGAAGCATCCATGGATTTGAACAGTCCTGACTTCGTACCCTCTGTCTTTAAGTGTGCCAAACAAAACCCTAAAAGAAAACCAATGTGGTAAGATGTGAAACATATATTAGAAAGTTCCTCGCTGCTTTGAAACCACAGAAATACCAGCATAAACATTTAAAGTTTTTTTAACTAACATAATGCAAATTGAATTTATACCAGTTATACACTATTTTGTCATGCAGTTTTTTAGGTTGTGAGATCATTTGACTTTAACTCTATTTATGTAGAAATGAAGTGAAATAATACTGAAATATTTACCTGAGTTTGATCAGTGTGTAAGTTACCTGAAATAACTGGCTTATGTGGATCTAGCCCTGATATACTGTATATTCTAGTGATGTGCATGCTGCTTGATTTTATTGTAAGGAAATACATTGTAGATCAAATAATGCAAAAGACAAATTTATTTTAAAAAGAGCGCTGCAGAATATAATAATAGAAAAACAATTGCAGCTTGTCCTCTGCACGCTTAAATAGTGAGTGTCTATGACAAAAATCTCACTGTGTTGACTTTTGACAGTCAAATGTCTCATTTATTATGAATGTTTCATGTGTAAATCATAAACAGGGCTGTTTCCTCAGCTGCTTGACTGACACCTACCCCCTCACTCCAGTTTCAGGCAGCAAAGACACACATATTAAAATCATTAATCATGATGCTGATGGCCTCAATTACTTTTGGATATCATTAAAAGGCATGAAAATACATTTCAGCCTATTTCATGGATGTCAAAAAACTCCATATAAGAGCTTTAACTAAGCTGAACAATTATGCAGTTGTGCAGCTTTTATAGCTTTTTTGTAGCAATTATAGGTGTTACATTTATTAAATACTCCAAAAAGTTAATTTTAAGTATTTTTCCGAAGGTATAGGGGTCGTAGAAAAAGGAGGTTTCGCAGAGTTAAAGCTGAAACTGAAGACACAAAAACTCAACCCAAAGATGATTTTCCTGAGGAAATACAAAGACCATCATCACCGCCCAAGGTAGTGATCATTTCATACTGTGAATGCCTACAGAAACTTAAAATTTTTACATTTCAATCATTTAATACTTTTGATCAGTAAGCAAACAGGTTTACTCTGCGTCTGTTTCGCAGGAAGAAAAACTGTCGTCTATAGAGAGTGAGACTGAGGCTGAAACTGTAACGAAAACAGTCGAACCTCAAACATCATCCTGCCTAAACAAGGAACCACCATCATTTAAGGAACCAGCAGATATCCTAGAACAAGACAGAAGAGTTCCCATCGTCCTCCTAAAACGTGTTTTTACACCAGTTCAGGGGTATCAGTGTCAGCTGTGCAGTCAGTACTACGCTGATCTGTCACAGTTCTTACAACACGAACTGCTGCATCAAACAGGAGAAGTCTTAAATGATGACAGCAGTGAGGAGCTCTGTACAAGTCAGACTGATTTCACCGAGGTCCAGCAAGTCCAAGAGCCTTCTTTTCCGTGCAACATGTGTGACCGATCCTTCACTTCAACTCATCACCTCAAGCGTCACAAACTGCTGCATGTCAAAGATGGCAGGAAGTGCAACATATGTGGAGTGATCTTCTGTCAGCGTCATAACCACGTGTTATTCCTGCCGCAGACTGAGACTGTGACTGAGTTCGAAGAGGAAGACGATCCCTCTAGCATCGAGCCTGGAAACAGTTTGCAGGAGAGCTTTGAATCAAATGGCCAATCTCAGAGCGCCATTACTGTAACACCCCCGTTAACTACATCTCCACAGACTGTACCTTCTCCACCTAAAAACCCCACGCCTCTTCCCAAAACCCTGCCGCGCCTCCCTCCACCTTCACACACTAGACTCTTTACAAAAATGCCTTTACCAGTATTAAAAAAGCCTTATTCTGGATCTTACCACATGCCCGGCTACTCGAAATGCCCAATAACATCATTTGAGTTCAAGAAACCCCTGCCCCCCCAGCCTCCAACCGTCACTCAACACAGCCTCCCCCAAGATATAGAACTCCCTCCATCACTGCAGATGTTTTCACCAAAGTTCCTCACCTCGACATTCTTAGAGGTGACAAGAAATTATGAGTATATTTTAAGCAAAGCCAGAGATGTTCGGAAAGAGGAGAAGGAAAGAGATGATGAAGTGCTGCTGATTTCTCCAGAAGTTCAGAGTGCGGAGCCTGACAAAGACAAAAGTGACTCTTCTGACCTGGATGTTGTCTCCTGATTGTCTTCTGAGCTTGGGGAGTACTGTGCCATCACATGCGAAAACATTGAAAATGAAAGTCTTTAATACTAAACAAAGAAAAATATGAGTACGTTTGTTGGATGTTTACGCTACAATAAGACTGTTTTTTGCTGCTTTTTGGTTGAGGTCATATATATTTTTTAATATCAGAAACATTTATGTACACTGTGAATGTAAAGCACCACGTCTCCGTCAGTTCCTGTGAAGTTCAGCACAACTTTGTATTTTAACCTCCATCCCTTGACTATAAATGCTGCTTTTTAGGAATAATTCTTATATCTAGGATGCTCCTTCATCATACTGACTGTTTACTTGATAGTATTTTAAAAGATATGATTGTATGTTCTCAAAACTGATGGTGTCCCTAAAAGTATTAACCACTATTTCTCTCCTGCTGCTGCACTGTAGCCACCACTGACCCTTAAAACTGTGTGAAGAGGCACAAGTCATATCAATGAATGTTATTGTATGAATATGTTCATTCAAAACTCTACCTCCTAATAAGTTGCTTTGTGTTTTTCATTTTTGAAAGCTAAAATTGAGATTTTGTTGAATCTATGTTGAATTTATATTTGTAACTCCATGAAAAAACAATAAAGTGTTAACATAACATCTGTTTTTCACTGAGACAAAGTAAATAAAACATATTGAACGAGCTGTTTGACCAGACAAATTCAGGGGGAGCTTTTCTGAGGACTAAATTTTAGAGATTCACAGGCTAAAATTTGTCTTTAGATTTTTCCTGATGGTGGCACTAGAGGGATTGTTCAAGTGACCCAAAACTGTCTCTTTGCTTGTCTCTAAGGGACCTCCTATCAGTGTGTCATAAAGCATTAAAATGGTTAGCTTGTGCTGTGAGCCACAGAGCAATCCCACTGCAGCACACAAACAATGAGATGGTTTCACACCTTCATTTGTTGGGCTTTTATTGATTATAAGTGCTCAACAATGGTACGAGAAATAACCGTGGTTTGCTGAGAAAGGAAAAAGATGTAGTTTAAAAGTGCAAAATGGGGAAGTTAAGCACACATGGCCTGTTACTCTATAAATGCCATATTGAACAGCAGTCATAATAGAATATTTGCAAGAAGGATATCATTGCCCTTGGTCAATAACTCTGTTAGTTTGCAGGAATTATTCATTATAATGCAAGTACTTTTGATTTACAACTAAGAAATCAACAGCCTGGGGAAACATTTGCTTTGTTATACTATTTTTGATCAAACATTTACATTTATTTATATAGCAGGTACAGCTGAATCATAGTCTGCCACTCTATATCTCCATTATTATTTTTCTTTTTTGAAAAACCCTTTTTTCTCATCAATGAAGACTCAATTTGAGCCTTTGTTTAATAAAAAATACTAATAGTCACATTTAAACCCTATAGAAGGGTGATTAATTACCTGCAGATGATTAATCTAGTGTCTTGCTTTAAAGCTCTGATGAGAAAATTTCTGTTTGTGTTGATTTTGGCAACCCCCCCCTGGACAAAGTAACACCTCATCTTGTCCTGTAGATGCGTAGGTGTTGTTTTCCTAACAAGAAAAATCATCCTGTTTTCTTTCTTGCAGTCAAATGCATTACTCACTCTGAATATTTGCTGTGGAGCAAATACAAAAAGCCTTTTTTTCCCTAGTTTGCTGTCAATCATCTGGTCTGACACCTAAACCCCTGCAGCAGTTACAGCTCAGGCATTAAAAAATAATGGTATACAAACTGTCAGTCTTGTTGCTGATGGTTCTGTTTGTTCTGTAAGTTCACAAAGTGGCATCACTGTTCATTTAACCCTAGAACACTCTCGCCGGGTGATTTTCACCTGACCAAACATGTTTAAGTGATTCTCATTATGTTGCGTTTGTCTGAGTATCATGGGTCCCTCATGGGTAGCTTTAACATTGCCTTTGACATCTTTGAAGGCATATTTGTTTCCCTGATCCAAAACCTGCTTTTTCCTACAGGCACATATTCGGGTGATTTTCACCCAGCAATATTGATAGAAGGTAAGTAGGTATGGGTGGAGTTGATAGGTGCATGTAGGGAATAAGGTCAGTAAGAGTGATCCTGGAATTTGCATGCTATCTTTATTTAGCACAGTGGTTATGAATAACTATCACAAAGTAGTGGTTTTCAAGGGAATTTATATGGTTGTAAGAAATATTTAGTCAGCTGGTCATTTTTACTCACTCAAAATCTGCCATGGAGTGAGATGTCTGATGTTTCCCCAGGGATCTGTTGGAGCCACTTGTCCAGTGTCGGGGTTACTGCCCTGAGTGCCCCGATGACTACAGGCACCACTGTTGCCTTCATCTTCCAGGCTTTCTCAAGCTCCTCCTTGAGCCCTTGGTACTTCTCTCATTTCTTGTGTTCCTTCTTTCTGATGTTGGTATCGTTTGGGACGTCTTTCCTCTGCTGTTTTTCTACAATTACAATGTCCGCTTGGTTGGCCATTACCTTTTTGGCAGTCTGTATCTGGAAGTCCCACAGGATCTTAGCTCAGTCATTCTCCATCACCTTGAGAGGTGCTTCCCATTTTGACCACAGGGTTTCCAGTCCATATTCTGCACAGGTGTTCTTGTACACTATACCGGCTACTTGGTTATGGTGTTCCATGTATGCTTTTCCTGCCAGCATCTTACATCCTGTTAGGTGTTGGACTGTTTCAGGGCCCTCTTTGCACAGCCTGCACCTGGGATCTTGCCTGGCATGGTAGATCTGGGCCTCTATTGCTCTGGTGATCAAGGCCTGTTCTTGTGCATATGCACTTTTTTTCTCCCTTTGGAAATTGCACAGTTAAAAATAAAAGAAAAATACCTTAATTTATCATGTATTGTCCTATTTTGATATATTTTGATGACAAGTTATTTTTCTTAGGTATATTGTTTCGGGTAAAAATCACCCAGCAATAGTGATGGTGTTACATATTTTAGCGTATAGTGTTCTGGGGTTAAGTGGATAAATAGAAATGTAATAAATCCGTGAGGAACATAACCTTGATATAGGCTACTGCATTATGCAGCTCTGTGTTTTCAGGTGATAAACCTCTTTTAAAACTTTTAATATCAGTGAGATATAAATATTAATTCGTTTTTGTGCCTAAAGACTTTTTCCCACAGAAAAAAGTAGGTTACATCGACTCCATTAGTCATACCCACAGTTCATCCCTCAGAAACCCCCATTTACCACATCTCGAATCCAGATGAGAATCCACTCTCTTCTTTCTGATGCCATCTGCACGCTGTACGCTTCCTATTGGTCAAGGCCCGCCGGTTATCAGTAAGCGAGGATTCTGATTGGTTCCTGGAACTGTCATTCTTCATCGACGACACCGATAATTGGCTGACGTCTCCGGCTTCGAGCAGCTGATTGGTTGATACGCTTCCTTCGCCTGGCTGCTTAGATGACAGGCAAGTGGTGCTGATGCTGTGACAATGGGAGTCATCCAGATAAGCATCATCTGGACCGAGTGTGCTTAAAAACACAGCAGCAGCAGCGGCACACACACACGTTTAACTGACTGTGAAGGGACAGGAAAAGGCAGCCGGGTAGAAACGTGGGGAGGAACCTCCAGCTGCTGCTCTCAAAGGGTGAGTTTATCCCAGGAGAACGGACTGACATGCCCGGGGCGACCAGTTAGCTGCTACCGACGCGGGGGGCTGGGGAAACAGCTCACAAGCACGGTGTTAGGAAGACTGTGAATCCCGCTGGCTAGGTGAAGCAAGGTTAGCAATCTTCAGCAGCCTCTCTGAAGATGTTCTGCTCTCTGACTGCTCTGTTATTGCAGCGGTTGTTTTAAGGCAGCTGTGAGTCAACTCGTCCCCCCTGCTCGACTGCATTGCGGAGGAAGCATGCCTTGCAGTGGAGCATGGGTCCACTTTACTATATAACGCTTATTCTGTCCATCAGGTCTTTAATCCACCAGTGGGTCTCCTGCTGAAGGTTATTGTGCTGTGATCTTCACGCTTTCTCCCATCCCTGTCATCCTTTTCTCACTCATCAGCATCATTAATGTCACAAGAAAACCCTTTATGCATCTGCTTCAAGCTAAAATATGCATTATCATTCATTTAGATGTCAAAATCGTGCAGAATGTCATCACTGGATGCACAAAAATTCTGGTGGCCATTGCATAAATTTGTGCTATGCATGCTGGGATTTGAAGTGTCAGAATGTGTGTCTGCTCACAGTGATTGGAAGATTTATCTTATAAGGATATTTGCAATAAACATATGCCATTCCCAACACTTAACACTTTAGTAGATTTGAGGAAGGTGCAGTGCATGCTGGGGTTTGAAGTTCCAGGACATGTCTGTCTACAGTCTGAGAATTACATGTATGTCACATGAATAGCCTAAATTTGCATCAAAAGAGTCCCTGTAGGCACTGAAACTTTGATAGGTTTACACACAAATTTGTAGTTGAGTGCGATGAATGCTGGGAATTGAAGTTTCAGGGTGATTTACAGTGGCTATTTCATGTTAAGATAGAGGAAATTTGCCATCAAGATACCTTTTCTTAGACTATAGTGAGGTCAGTGCAGTGCGTGCTGGGATTTGATGGTTCAGTATGTGTTTGTTTATGGTTAAATTATTATTTAATTGAAGTCTAGCGAGAATTTACATTCAAAACTATCACAGTCATTGGTTTCTGCAAAGATTGTAGTGCAGCGCAATGCATGCTGGGGTTCGAAGTCTTAAAGGGTATGTGTGTTCACAGTGAGAATTAATTGATGTGCAATATTGGCTTAAATATTTTTTATCATCTCCTGACAGCTTTTGAATTTCTTTATTCAGATTTGTGTGAAGTTGCTGTGCATGCTGGGACTTGGAGTTCGGGGATGCATACATCAGATTTCTGAAGTCAGCACCCAGCTGTAACAGCATATGCAAGAGTTAGTACTGACCTGTGGTGAGGCGGAGTGCATGCTGGGGTTTGACGTATATTAGGAGGGGAGGGTTGTCAGCAGACAATGATTTAGAAAGCTGCTTCTGCTTTTCTGCAACTTTGCAAAGATGTCTCTAAGTGCTCCACAGTGTTCTCTACTTTTGCATTGTAATGCTTACCCCAGCGGTACAGATGCCATATTTTGTTGCTATAAAAATGTCTTTCCTCTGCTTTTTAAGTCTAGATATGGGGGTGTTCAGTCGGCAGAAGTTTTTCCAGGAGCTTGCTCATGGCTGCCTGCTGCCTACAGCTCAGCAGGGCCTGGAGCAGGTATGGCAGCTGCTGGTTATCTGCCTGCTGTGTCGGCTGCTCTGGATGCTGGGTGAGATTCATTGTCTGCCCCCTCAGTGTTAGTCACCGATCACACACGATGCTTACCTCATCATAAACCCGGTTCTGTTTGTTATTTCTTCATCTCTGCTTCGTCAGGGCTCCCCTCCTTCATCAAACACCTGAGCACAGTAGCAGGAGGTTTCTACACTCTTTACCTGTTCTTTGAGCTCCATATGATCTGGGTGGTCCTCCTCAGCCTCCTCTGCTACCTCTTCCTCTTCCTGTGCCGCCACTCAACAATCAGAGGCACCTTCCTCTCCATCACTGTGCTTATCTACCTGCTGCTGGGGTAACAGCATCCACCTTTGAAGCTCGACAGCTCATTAGCACACGTCAAGTCTATGTTTGAAGCAAAGTTTAATTTGGAGTGAAAAATACATAAAAACTGAAGCTATTCTTATCCAATTTTCACAGGGAGATGCACATGATGGACACCACAAACTGGCACAAGATGAGAGGTGGGCGTATTTCCCGCAAGCAGCAGCTCTTGACACATTTCGTCTAGATAAAAGCAACAACTATGATTGTTTTAGGTTAATTTCAACCGAAGCAAAATGCTCTTATATTTGATTCTTCTGAGTATATATGCTGCCGCTGTCCTTTAGGTTCTCAGATGGTGGTTGCCATGAAAGCGATCTCTCTCGCCTTCGATTTGGACAGAGGGGTTGTGACCAGCGTTCCTTCACCTATTGAGTTCATGGGCTACATTTACTTTGTGGGTACAGTCATCTTTGGTCCTTGGATCAGCTACAACAGCTACAAAGAAGCTTTAGAGGGACGTAAGCTGGTGAGTGAGATACAGTATCTCATAAGTATTGGAGAAGGTGGAGGGGAGTGAGGATTATTTAAAAGATTTATCCCGAGGCGAGACGCTAACTGTTCAAATCTCTCCTTCCCCTCAGAGCCTTTCATGGCTGTTAAAGGTGATTGTTAGCTGGGTGAAGGCGCAGGTCTGCCTTGTCATCTCCAACTGCGTCGCCCCCTACCTCTTCCCTTATTTCATACCGGTGTACGGAGACAAGCTGCTACGAAGGTAAGGGAATCAGAGTGAAACCTGTGTATCGTTTGCTTACTTTCACGGTTTGCTTGTGGCTTAATTCTTTTCTCCGACTATCTGTTTTGTTTACAGCAAAAAAAGGAGGAAGATCAGGTAATTAACTGTCTTTATCTCTGTTATACTCGTACACAACATTGTGGGCGTCCACTCTGCATAATTTTAAATGTTTTGAGCGCAGTGTTTCTCAGGATAATGGTTTACCCTCAGGATATTTTAGAAAACCATAGGGGGTACTTAGGATTTACTTAAGAAATTATTCTTAAAGTTCTTCCACTGTAAGTTCATAATAAGAAAAACACAGTTTATGTGTTTGATCAGCTGTTTCTGTGACTGTTTTTATACATATATGAATAGGCAATCTAAAGAATAGGTTTGTTGTTGAAATGGAGCAGCAATACAGCAACAAATGTGGGGAAAGGAGACGTTAAAACACCGGGAGTACGAGGAAAACAAGCTCCAAAGCTCTCTGCAAAATCTCCCCAGGCTTTACGCTTTTTTCAGGGGTGGAAATTAGCTTCTGCATAGCATGCTACCAGCACATCCTATGAGCTGTTTTCAGTTAAAAGATGTGGTTTAGTAGATTAGACACTGATGGTACAGCTCTTTATATATCTTTATCACCTCTGTCCTCCTTTCTGGGCAGTCATCTTACCCTGTCAACCCCAAGTTTTATCTCCTTTAAAAAGATGTCAATGATTTCATATCAAGCAATTTCACAAAATATGTACAGGTAAAAAGTTTTAACGCTCCACTCTCTTCTCTGTCTGATTACCAGAGGAACTGCAGCAAAGTAAGTCCTTCAAACTTTCACAGTCATCCATTAATCAGGTCCTCCTTCACCTGAAATTGGAATATAACTCCGGTCTTTTTCATTCTCCGTGCATTAGGTGGTTGCTGGCGTATGAGAACACCATGTCTTTCCACTTTAGCAATTATTTCGTTGGATATTTGAGCGAGACGACGACGACTCTGGCTGGGGCGGGCTTCACCGAGGAGAAAGACAACCTGAAATGGTAAGAATTTCATGTTCATTATCACACTGATGCTCATATTTCTCCTTTATGTTTGATCAGTATTACATGAACTCTTCCTCCTACAGGGATTTGAGTGTATCCAAGCCGCTGAATATAGAGTTCCCCAGGTCAATGGTTGAGGTGGTCACATCGTGGAATCAGCCGATGTCTTCCTTTCTGCACACCTGTGAGTTCTGACTCGAACTGCGATGTCTTGATGGCAGCAGCTGTTCGTACTTTTCAGTCTAATCATGAGCTGCACCATAACGACGCTCATTCAAATAGACACTCTCAGAGATGCCGCTCTCATTTCACAGATGTTTTCAAGAGCGCTCTCAAGTTTGGGACGTTCTCTGCCGTCATGGTGACGTACACAGCCAGCGCTCTGCTGCATGTGAGTGCAATACAGAAGCTACACAAACGACTATTCCTGAAACTGACGATCTTTACTTGTGTGTGCACGTGTTTGTTTCAACAAGTGGATTATTGTGGTTGTAACTTCTGTATCTGATAGGGTTTAAGTTTTCATCTGGGCGCAGTGCTAATATCTCTGGGGTTCATCACGTACATCGAACACGGTGAGCCTAATGTCTCTTTCCTACATTAGAACCTTTCCATTATGAGAAGGTGCTTAGCTTTGCAGTAATGGTTAATTGCACACACTATTACACACTGTTTCTGTTCTCTGCAGTGATAATAATTTACCTCTTATGGCTGGAAAGGAACTCTTACTCCGGCCTCTTTTTAATGCCTTCGTTCTTCTTTTGTGTTTCAGTGTTGCGGAAGAGGCTCGCAGCCATTTTTAATGCCTGTGTCCTCACGAAGAAATGTCAGCCAAACTGCAGCCACCAGAATAAAACGGTAATATGCACTTTTCTCTTCTCTCTCTCTCACTACTTTTTGACAAGAAAATGTAGTACTTCTAATAAAAATAAGGAGGTTTGCATTAAATATTAAAGAAATAATTTGGAAAAGAATGCTTTCTTTGCATAATTATCATAAATAATACTAAAATGTGCGTACAAAACATTTATAGTGAGCTAAAGTAAGAGGTTTTAGCTTAGCCAAGAGAGGCAGTTGAAATAGCTAGCTGAGGGTTGTTTTAGGGTGTTGTAGTATATTTTGTTGCAGTGAATTATCAGACTGTCTTTAGTGGTTTGGTTTTCAGTTTTAAAATGCTAAAATATTCTCAGATTGTTCCTGTTCTGCCTTCAAATCTTGAGCGCAGACGTCACAGTTGTATCACTCTTCTTATCTTTCTCCCAGCCAAAACAGTAAATTTGCATATTTTCCTCTGAATGTCAGACTAAATATTTTTGTATTCTGATGATTTCTTCCTGTTTTTGTGAATAGTTTTTGTTAGATAGGAGAACTGAGGGAAGATAGATAATGTGAGGAGTGGAACCAGCGACCTCTACGACGAGGACAGAGAGCAGAAACAGCCCCCCATCACATGTTTTTAATGTAGCATGTTCAACTAACATCTGACAAGCTCTTCACACTGCATAATTAGAAATCTGTTATCTCTGTCTGAGCATTAGCGTATGTTTGAACATGTTTGCTTCAGATTCTGGTGATGCTCCAGCTCTTTTATTTGTGCAATTGGCCATTGAACTGGCACTGCTGGCACTTCCTCTCAGAGCAGGAGGTGCTCAAAGGGGGCCCACCTAGTCGCTCTTCAGAGCTTCTCACATTTTCACCATTACAACGCAGTACAGCAAACGGTTAAAACCTTACAGAGACTTGATTATTGTTTTTCTAAAGTTGTGTATGCATTAGGTTTTATACCGGAGAAAAACAAATCTGCTGCAGTTAAAATAAAGCAGCCCCCACGGTCTGCCTTGTGCTGTCAGATGATATATTTTGGGAGTTTACTGGCAAGAAGCCCAGCCAAAAAAAAAAAAAAAAAATCCCTTATGTTATATTTGCTACACACATCAAGAACAGCAGGGAGAGGGAATAATGATTTATGCCAAAGAGAAGCAGCCTGTATGGGCTGCAACACAGCGCTGATCGTTCCCATCACAACTTAGGCAATGAAATGTTACAGCCCCAGAAAATGCGGTCTCAATATCAAGTTTTCCTCCATAACATAAAATATTCATCACTGAACTTGCAACTATCAGAGTTTATGTTGGAGAAGATAATATTTCTGTTGAGTTAACACTTTAGCTAATCTGTTTTATCGAGACTGGAAGAAGCCGATAAAGAGAATAGGATTTGTTATCGCTTCTATGAGAAAAACCAGCTCGTATTTCAATGAAAACAGATATACACTGAACGCCTGGAGTATTGATTTAACTTTCTGTTGTGGTCTTTCTCTGCAGAAGCTATGGGTGTATATAGTTAACATAGCATTCAGTGCGTTGGCAATGCTCCACCTGACGTACCTGGGCTCTGTGTTCAACTCCAGCGTGGACTATATGGAGGAGGATGAGGTGAGAACACATCACTCAAACTCAGACGCGTTGCTGTCACAGCACCATTAGGTCTCGGTTATTACCTTACATTTATGGATTATAGTTTAATGTGCAAAATCTCATCGGGCTTGATGTGCATAGTCAGGTGCGTCAAAATTCGTAATTTCGTGTATATTTGCATCGTTCCTGGTGTGTAAGGACCTTAAGAGACCACTTGATCTGCGCAAGTCCAGTTCATACTTATCTTATTCTTCCTACAGCCTTGGGTGTTTTTATAAATGATTAATGTACTTATTTACTTTATGTTCTATTTTTTTTACGTAAATATGTTGGAGACTGACTGTTTATTGAGTAGAGGATGAGGGGTAAGTTTTAAAAAAGCATTATGCCTCATCCTACTCCTTTTCGGATGTGTTGGGTTCGCATTATTATCATTACCATTATCATTTTTTATTTTTATTTTTTATTCATTTGTTTGCTTTGATTATTAATTTAATATTAATATTAATTTTGTTGTGAATATTTTCATGTTTGTTTGCGCGCACATGTTCGAAAAAAATAAATATATGATATAAATGAAAAAGTCTGGAATCAAAAATCTAAACCGGCAAATTTCACCTTCATCTCTTTGATCTGAGATACCAGAAAGAGTACAGTATCCTCAAATGATCTTTGATTTGCCATACATACTGTTCTGAATAAGCCGGTTTAAAATTACACTGTACTTATCATATGTACAGCACACTATGTGACATACCTACATGTGAAATGCCATATAGGACTGTAACCTGAGCTGCTGTATTAATAGTTCAGAGGAGGGAAGTGTGCTGTCCTGTAGAAGTTGTTGCAGATAGAAATGAAAAAGTAGAAGCATGAGGATTATTCGTCTTGGATTTGTTGAAATGTTTCTGTTAGGGATGTAAGTTTGTGAATGACCACTGACATAGTTTATACTGCCCCCTACAGGACGATATAACCCATCATACCATTCAGAAGTGGTCAGAGCTGAGCTGGACCAGCCACTGGGTCACATTCGGATGCTGGATTTTGTACCGCCTCATTCTCTAATAATGACAGACGGAGGAACAGAGGAAGTTAAAGGAAGCAATAATGAGGTTTGTAAGGCTGGTTCTCCTCATCTGCACTGTGACTTAATCCTGCATCAGACCGAAGAGAACCGAATCAACCTGAAATCAACAACAAGCCAACAGGCAGTGCTCAGGTTGCGCCGCATGTTGGCTGGGTAATCTATTATTCAAACCTGCTGAGGACTAGTTTTTGATATCCATGAAATGATAGCCCGCTCCCTCCTCCTTCTCCCTCGTATCACACCCTTTTTATCAGAGCCGCAGTTGTCGAGCCCTCATGTTGTGACAGCAGTTACCGATGTCTCACTGTGAGTCACAATCAATACCTATCAGCATGGTGGAGATCGGCTGCTCTTCTCTGTGGAGACATGATAGAGCACATTATCCGGGTTTCAGCCTCGGCTGCGGCAGATGTCCTCCAGATGTGGTTTCCCTTCACTCGAAGTGTTTTACAATCGTAGTTTAGAGTTTGAGCGATGAGGCTGGTGACTTTACAAGGTTTTCTTATCTTTAACAGATCCAATGAAACAAACAGAAACGACGAAACAGAGTACTTGTCTGTCTAAATTTTCTGCTTTGGATTTTAAGAATATGTAAGAATGTAGCTTTGAGAGGAACATGTCTTAGTTTGCATTTGTTTGGGACTATTTTCAGTGGTGGATTGATACATTATTCATGCTTTTGTGAGTGTAAATGTAGGATTCAATCAAACCCAAGTACAGTACCAACTTTTGTTTGTATCAGAAATATGTTAACTCGCTAAATCAATATTTTCGAGCTGAAAATATGAGCTAAATCAGCATCGATTACAGACAATACTTGTTTTTTCTATTTTTTTGTTTCATAGGATTTGTTGGATATAAAAAAGAATCTCATCTTTAAAAAAGAAAAGAGTCTCTTGAGCATGTTCAAGAAAACAAAGAGAGTTTATGTTCGAATAAAAGGAGCACAGAATATGGTTATGAGGCAGCAACTTTTAGGTAGCCGATACTATTTTTTTCCTTTTTGTGAATCTTAAAGAAAATCAATCACTAAGTCTATGAATGATTTTTGTGGAGAATTTTACTCTTAGTGTTTTGTGTTACTCTAATCTTTTTCCTTCAAATTAAATCCTCTGCATTTACATAGAAAAGGTCGTGGTGAACATTTGAAACACTCTGTCACTCTTCAGTATTGAAAACTAAAGTTTATAATCAGGGTATTTCACACACACGTGTTACTGTAGAGGGAAAATGTTTTAATCCTTTTCCATTAGATGAAATCATACAGTATATTGAGTATTTATCCAGATTTTTATTGCACTGCTGCTTTTAATAATGCATCTCTGTGATTGATGATTAATTACAAAAGATTCAGATGAGCATCTGTTTCAGATTGTGTTCACATTTTGTCGACATCTTTCTTCAATCTAAACTGAATCGCTCCTTGAGTAAGATGTAGTGTTTTAGATTAGAGTCTGAATGTTCGTTCATGCCTGAGAACAAGTGCTCAGTCTCCGCAGACCTGATACCACACGATCCAACAAGTACAGTCTTTTAAATAGAGCTCTAATATTAACTTTAAGGCGACTTTTCTCCCTGTAAATGTGAAGGCACTGACACACCTGTGATATTTTTATAAAATTTTACATGAAACATGCTGCTGTGTCTCGTCTCTTCAATTCAAGGTGGAAGAATCAAAAGAAATGCACAAGGCAGAGAAGGAAAAAAGAAATCAGATTGACATGAGTGCTGTAAGAAATAGTATTTATTTGATTTTTATTTACAAGAAGAATGTATGAACTGTTAGACAGTCTATCATGCTATGTCTATGAGTTAGGGAAGGATCAGAAAGGGGTGACAAACTTTTATTTTTTAGCTAAAAGCCATGGTCTGTTTTAACCTGGAGTCTTTTTCTGAGCATCCAGAGCCGGGACAGGGGACAGAGAACAGTCTGAAAAGGGAGGAATAGACCAGAGGTTGAACAACAGATGGTGATGGATGGAGATCAGCAGGTTCACGTTCTGCCTCTGTGAGAGGTGAGCAGATGCTGTATTGGAACTGGCCGCACAACAGCTCAGTCTGCAGGCACAAGGGGGGAGGGTAAATGCAGAGAGATGCACTCAGTCCTGTTTGCCCCGAGGGCCCCCATGTTTACGACGGCAGGACCCCAGCAGTGTCTCCAAAGCCATCTTCACAAACGCCTGGAAGTTATTGCTTCTCTCCCTTCGGCTGTCCTGCGAGGGGATGAAACACAGACAGATAGCTTCACTGGGGACACGGCAATCACAGCACCGCATTTCCACTCTGTGTCAGGGCAGGAGGGAATCTCTAATGGTGTCCCAAAGCACCGAGGGCATATATTAACCCCACACAAAGATGTTTTTTTAACTAAATAAACAACTACGCTTAAAAGTAGGTTGATGTAAATGTTTACCTCCTTGCTTCTTGTTATCATCTCCTTTCTGATCACCTTTCTTCGGCTGTTCTTTAGGACTCTGAGGTTGCTGTAAAATGAAGGTTAACATTTATAAAGTGAGGCAATAAAAATACACACATTGGGAAGTAAATACTAACGTTTACATGTATAATTTTCTTACCTTGGTAGCTGACTTCTTGTCCGACTTATTACCTGAAAATTGTGGAAACTTTCAATCACTTTTGCCAGATTTTTAATGAGACACTTCATTTTCAACACGGACTGAATTTACAGCTCCCCCGCAGCCAAAATAAATAAAAATATTTGCAGGCACACAGTTAAGTGTCTCCCTTTTTCCCAAGCCTACCTTTCGTTCCTGGCATGTTGGCTGTGCTCCAGAGCCGGTGCTGATTTTCGAGAATGCAGTGCTAAATGTGGTGTTCACCTCGGTCATTTATGGCCCATGCTTGTGAATGGCGCTGTCACTGGGGCCCCTTCGAGAAAGAGCACCGTGAACAAGCAAAGAGCCCTGTCAGCTGAGCAGCATGCCCCGCGGCCCTGCAGGTCTTTGCTGAGCCAGGCGAAACCTCCGAGCTGACCTTGTAATACTGCCATTGTGAAGCCACTGGAACTGTGGGCTCACCTATTGTCCATGACAAGAAAGCATTTCCATCATGTAACCAATGATGTGATAGAGTTTTTTTATTTTTAATGATGCACCGGGTCAGCTGTCATTATTTTCAGCCTGATCAGACATCCTGGATCAGTTATTAGTTGATGGAAAATTTAACCTCAGAAATTTAAATGTGAATTTTTCTTAATTTTCTCACTAAATGAGTCGAGAACAGGAGCAAGGATCATTAAGTGAGACTCAGATTTGCTAACTTTGCATCCTGTATTGTGTGGACTTCAATACAAATGTTGCTGATATTAAATAATTGATTATTTTTGTCCCTTAAGGGCTCCTGTGGTCCCCGAAGGCATTACTTCTGATTTGCAAACAATAGCAGTGTTATCTTCATATATTTTTGTGTGACATGAGGGTTGAAATCATAATAAATTCATTATGTTGTTTAATGAGAACTAAAAATTGAACATTTATATCCCATAAACAGGAGTTCTGCATAGAGGAAGAAAGTGTATTTTTTAATTTAACACTCTTTTTTTCTACACTAAATATTCAACATAACATCTCACTTAATAAAAATATCAATTTGTTAGTCTTTTACTGTAACTGCTTTACTGCCAAACTCCCCCAATTTCACCGGACTGTGACTGACTGAGGACTGGAAGGTGCACAGAGCAGCATCAGGTCATGAGAGCAGAGAAACAGGAGATAAAATAAAGACAGGAGGGGGCAAAGTCAACCAGTTTCTCCAAAAGAAAAATGGGTCCAGCCTGTAAGTGTTAGATAAGGCCTGATAAAGTCCAGGAGACATAAATTTGTCATGCTATCCTGAAATTGGTTGCCTCATATATTAAAGCACCTCCCCAACACTAATCTGATGTTTTTAAAGATTGTTTTTACACCACAGAAAACAATATTAGAGCTGATGTCTTTTCAAGGGCTTCAAAACATGTACTCTACAATTCCCATTTTTGTGTACCTTTACAGACACCGGAGGTTCTGTTTGAAGCCTTCAAAATAAAAGCAAATTAATTACAATGAAAAATGAAAGAAACCAAAATAAAAGCATGAAAACAGATTATGAAGAAACGTCTCTAAAGCTGTATTCTTTTACCCCCAATATCCCTATTTATGTTTTTTAGCAGATAATTCAACAGTGCAGTGTACACTAATCATATACAATAACCTAGAAATATTAATTTTACTTACAAATTATTATTATTATTATTTTATAATAATAATAATAATAATTATTATTATTATTATTATTGTTATTATTATTATTATTATTATTGTTATTATTGTCGTTGTTATAATAATAATGATTATTATTTTGTTATTATTATTATTATACGTAGTAGTATTAATATTATTATTATTATTACATTCAACCAACATGTCGACTCTACTTGTGTATCGGCTATTTTTGCAACTTTTGTGTGACATCGAATGGACCAACAGTATATGTAATGTGGCCCCCTGGAATGAGTGGAAATATAGTGTCCCTCTCCATCATCAAAGTTGCCTACCACTTGTCTAGGCTTTAGACGATCTAGAAACTCACGACATTTACCCATTTTGCAGGATGGTCAAGTGATGACCTTTATTCTTTGACAGAAGCCTATAGCTACCGTGTTTTGTACAATACTTTTCTTTGTTTCAATTTATTTTGAAAGATTTATACTTTTATTTTTATAATTTTTTTAATATCCAAATAAAGCAAGCTTTGTTGTTAATTCACTTGTCCATGATGTCTACCTCTATGTGTGTACATGCATGCGTTTTGTTTAGGGGTTGCGCAGGGAGTGTTTTGGGGGGCCACCAAACAAAATCTTGCTTAGGGCCACCAAAATCCCCTGGCTGGCCCTGTTAATAAAGAAAACAGTACAAGTATAACATAAGCTAACAAGACAGTAAAGCCGAAATAAGATAGAGGTCTACCAGAGTACCGTTTTAGGGTTGTTGTGGTCTTAAGTTGTAAAGTCTGGTGCCCAATGTGATGTTTTTAATGGGCCCTAGATTCTCTAGCAGCGCCCCTGTCCTTGAAACAATAACACTAATAAAAGGGCCCGTGGTCTGCTGTATTTACTAAGCCGAGCTGCGCTTGGTTCGTCATTATAAACCCAACATTTATTCTTGTAAATCCCGTGATTTATGATCCGGATTCGTGTGGGTCCACATCAGAGAGTGGGCAGGTTACTCCGTATCACGTGACTCGACAGGAAAAGCAGCGATGGAGAAAAGCTAAGGAAGGTGAGGCGTTTTAAGGTGTATTTCTCTGTGTTTGTGGCCTATACGACCAAAACAGGACGCCTTACTGTGTGTATGAAAGTGACAACAGATAGAGTGTCCTTTTATAACGAAATATTAACAGGAAAGAGGGTTTTATTTAGCGTGGACGTTGCATATGATGCTGCTAAATATTAGCTATCGTAAGCTAGCTTTGCGACGTTAGCTGTCAGGAAGTCCTGACTGTTATCTGCAGACAAAGATCACATAATTATCCAGCTTCCAGTCAAAATAAACTGGAGCTGTTGTTTTCTTGTGTCAAACTGACATTAAAACAGCGTCTTGTGAGGTTTTGTGTCCATGGTGCCATTTGCTTCTGCACCATCACCTGATTCAACACTGTGGATGTGAGGAGGAGGAGGAGGAGGGTGGGGATGCTTCTCCATTTCTGTCAATGATTTCTTCATGTCAGCACCATCTCTTTATTATACAGTTCATTATAGTAAGGCCAACAAGTTAATCTGTCTGAATTTGGACCTGGTTGCTGTGTTTCTTTGACAGGAATCTGCCCAGGCAGAGGATTCCTCTCTACCCAGAGTGCTTGTGGAATGGCAGCAGTTTGGCAGCAGGTTTTGGCCGTGGACGCAAGGTGAGACTAAACCACGCAGCAGATTTTAATATTCTGCAGTAATGAAGAAGCTATTCAGACGTGTAATTGCCTATGGATCAGTTGTAAGTTATTGTGTGTGCTGTCATTTCTTTCCCCTCCCTCTTCCTCAGGTACAATGCTTACCGCACGCCTACGTTCCCACAGTTCCGAACTCAGTACATCCGCCGACGCAGCCAGCTGCTCAGAGAGAACGCCAAGTGTGGCTTTGAGCCGGGGCTGCGCAGGCAGTACCTGAGGCTGCGCAGTCAGCTGCTGGCCCTGCGCTACGGGCCCCTGTCTGAGCAGAGCAGTTTCAGGGCCAGCAGTGTGCGCAGTTCCCGCACCACACTGGACCGCATGGAGGTCAGACCCAAAGAAACAGACAGGGAAGAAAAGAGAGGGGATTTGTGTGCTGAATTGGATTGGGGAGGATAAAAGCATTGAAGAGCTGGAGTGACAACTTGAGATATAGCATATGAGAGCCATCTGGATGGCTAGACCTTAGTTTTTGAGCCAAACAACATATTGGTTGCCCATGCAAATTAAGCTGAGCAGCTTGGTTGAAGTGGCTGGCACTGCAAACGTACAAAGGCAATACCATCAACCAAAAATCAACATAAAAATTAAAATGAGCTTTCATTTCTTGATAACGTCAGTTTAAGGATACTTTGTTGTTAAAGGCTTTGTCTCTGCTCGCACTTACTCCTACGAGGTTCTGTCTCCCTTCCCTCTCTTCTCCTCGTCATCAGGACTTTGAGGAGGACCCCCGTGCCCAAGGGGCTCGTGGTCACCGCCGATCTGTCAGCAGAGGTTCCTACCAACTACAGGCCCAGATGAACAGAGCCGTCTATGATGAGAGGTACCCCAAACATCGCCCACAGATATGAAAACAGGATTTGGCTCATTGTCTCATCGCCTCCAGCAGTTGATTTACTTCTCCTTTGAGCTGTTGCATTTTGTTGGATTTACTGGCTGAAATGCTGGTTTATTTGCACTGAGTAATGATCAGACTTCCTATATTGAGCTGTCAGCTGAACCCTGAGGTGTGTTGTATTGATTATGTGCTTACATGGTGGTTTTTATTTCCTACCGCAGGCCTCCGGGCAGTCTGGTGCCCACCTCAGTGGCAGAGGCCAGTCGTGCTATGGCAGGAGACACAACTCTGAGTGAAAACTATGCTTTTGCTGGCATGCACCACATATTCGACCAACATGTCGACTCTGCAGGTTAGCCGGAAGCTTCTAATCGAACTCTGAACTTAAAATGTGTTAACCAGGATTTTAAATGATCTTCTTCTGCTTTTTTTTAAAGTTCCTCGATTGCAGTTCGCCAACGATGACAAGCACCTCCTTGCTTGCTGCTCGCTTGACGGCACCCTGTCCATCATGACTCTGTCCCCGTCTCCTCCCAGCGTGAAGGTGACCCTGAAAGGTCACGGAGGTCCTGTCACAGACTTTGCTTGGTCTCTGAGCAACGACATCATCGTGTCGACCTCCCTGGATGGGACTCTGCGTATCTGGAACACGGAGGACGGACGGTGCATCCGAGAGGTCAGAGACCCAGAGTCAAGCGAGTTGCTCTGCTGCACCTTCCAGCCGATGAATAACAACTTAACTGTGGTGAGTTTGATGTTAGAAAATCAATTTATAGTATATTCTCTAGTCTTCCTAACCCAAGTATTACAGTGTTCCTAAAGGGTGTATAAGAACTTCATGTGTGACATTTCTTTTTGAGCCCTTAACCGAAAAATGTTACTCTGAGGATGCATCGTTTTATTACCCTGTTATTCCCACACTAATTAATAGATCTCCAAGAATGTTTGGGATATTTTTCCTCTCCAGTTAAGGTACTTTATGACCTACTTACACAGAAAGTTTTGGTACCAAGTAACAGAATCATCCATAAACAAGTGGCAGCAGCAGAGGTACAGCTGCAGTGAGTGTTTAATGAACTGATCATGTTTTTTAACGCTGAGGATGAATATATACGACCTATATCATGATGCTGGTAATAACAACACCCATGATTTCATGCATATCCTATAGCTATGAAAATGTCCGCTGTTGTTTCAGAAGCTGCAGTAAAATCAATTATTTTTAACATCGTAACAGGATATACATTAAAGGGATATTCCAGCGTAAAATTAAGTTAGGGTCAAACACACCATAACACAGAGTTAGACCCCTTTCAAGAGATGAATGTTGCTGACCGCTTATCTAGTTATACCAACTAAGGTAACGACCGCACAATAGCAATATAGAGAGCCATGTGCTCAACCAAAACGCCACTCTATAGCCACAAATAATGCTCAGAACAGCACCTAACTTCATCAACAGTACATATAGGGTCCTAGCCACAGTACTAGCCATCAAACATCTTTTTAACTTTGCCTGATTTCTTTAGCAAAGAGACTAAACACAACTCACCTACTCTCTTCCAGCAGCCGCTTGTCTGTAGCAAGACCTCGGGCGAGCCCATCGACTGCAGTTGGGTGACGCAGCTCAAGGAAGAACATTTATGATAATTTCTTCATTGAGATGCAATCAGACTGAGACGCTAAGGCAGAAGAGCTACACTACTACTTAAAGGAAATGAGAAAGTAATTATCATAAATGTTCTTCCTTGAGCTGCGTCACCCCGCTGTAGTCGATGGACTTGCCCGAGGTCTCGCTACAAACAAGCGGCTGCTGGAAGAGAGTGGGTGAGTTGTGTTTAGTCTCTTTGCTAAAGAAATCAGGCAAAGTTAAAAAGATGTTTGGTGGCTAGTACTGTGGCGAGGACCCTATATGTACTGTTGATGAAGTTAGGTGCTGTTCTGAGCATTATTTGTGGCTATAGAGTGGCGTTTTGGTTGAGCGTGCTGCTCTGTTCTGCTATCCTGTGGTCGTTACTAAAGTTGGTATAACTAGAGAAGCAAGCGGTCGGCAACATTCACCTCTCAACGGGTGTCTAACCTGGTGTTACGGTGTGTTTGACCCTAAATTAATTTTACGCCGGAATATCCCTTTAAATACTTGTCATATTTGATTTGCTGTTATCAAGAAAGGGAAAAACATTATCATTTAGGGGGATGTTTGCATTGCCCATTGTTGAGGTTTCTGCAGCCTGTATCAGCAGACTTTATTTGTTTTCTTTCACCAGACTAATTCAGACAGGTCTCAGCAGATACTGATTATTTCAAAATACCACTAATCGGTCTCTAATTGTGAGTCTCATTGGCCTGACTATGATGCCCTCATTCGCCACACCACATTGGTATGTGACACATCATTTGGGAATTTCATATGTCTGGATTTCAACCCTAGTCGACACACACAAATCATTTGCACATACTCTCTCGCACAGAGGGCTAAAACTCAAAACACACAGTTATGTAATTCGCTGCAGATCTCGTCTAGTGGTTCGAGGACTATCTGAAGACCTACCTTCATACAGATTGCGGCAGAATAGTTTTGCCTGCTTCGCCACAGCCAGCTGTTTTACACATTTACTGTTTTCTTTTTTTACCTCAAGGTGAAATCCGTTCACCGACACACGGCGTCCGTCCTCAAAGAGAGGTTTAATTTTGCCGTGCTCCGGTTCTGATGTAACCTTGAACTATCTTCAAATCGCGGGCTGTGCCTTTATTTTTTTACGCAGCTGCTGATTTCCTCTTAAGTGCACACAAGGTTCTGCAAAATTAATTAATCATCCTGCATTTTAATTAACAAATTAATGAGAAACCTGTTTTATTTTTTTGGCTGAATTACATAAATAGAAAAACAAATGCAGTCTAAACCTCCCTATTGTAGCTTGTAATTATTCTGAATACATATTTACTCTTTGCGGCCGCTGATTAAAATTTAATTACATCTATTGTTCCCCAAAACAAAGATTTCAAATGTCTTTGCCTGTAAGATATGAAGAACTTAATGTCTACCTAAAATTTTAATGGTGAAGTTAGATTATTCTGTTTTTCTTGAACGGCAAATACTGAAAATTCATGAGCATCATGTTAAATCAAAGCATTTCATATTTCAGCAGCTGTACCAAACAGTGACCATTTATGTCTGATTAAACAGAATATAAGGGAGGTGGATGTTCGTCTCATAGTTAGTGAGTAAAATAAGCAATAGTATTATGAGGAGTGGCCTTGTTTTCATCAAGCCTGTGCAGGTTTCATTCATCTGTTTTATAAAAAAAGCCCTGTGGCGATCTTATCTGCACAAACAGATCAGAGTTCATACTGGTGATCAGATAAACCTGTTTACGTGTGGCAGTAAAAGTCCTCACAACTGTGTTAAAAACTGTGTGTGTGTGAGTTAATGTCCTGTTAATAATACTTAATCCAAGAATGTGTTTGCAACTTCAAGTACTGCGACCTGGTTTGTATTTGCAGAAGTTAGGAAAGTTGAAAAAAGTGGCAAAATTACTGAACATTTCTGATGGTTGATTGGACCTTAACAGGTGAAGTAATCCATTTATTGAGAGAGGAGAGGAAGGAGGGATGACATCAGGTTTAATCTCTCCTAGTCTGACTTTATTTGATCAGTTCAATTGATCTCCTTCCCTAAATATGACCTTAAATATGTCTAATTTTATTCATATAAGGGGTGCTGGGTGTTTGGCCTAAAACGAGTCCTTATTCAAAAACGGGTCCTTATTCACTTACAGACACAAACTTGCAGAAAGAGAGAGAGAGAAGATGTTTCCCATAAATCTGATGTTATTTCATAATTAACACAGCCAGAGTGACTCATGCCAACGGTTTACTGTAAGCTTGAATAAAGGGTTGTGCAAACTAAATAAAAGCAGTATGTGTGTGTAAAAAAAGGGAGTTTCTCTGCAGGAAAACTGCTTTGAAAATCATCCCAAAAGTGCCTCCATTCTGCATTTTTAATGCTCACAACATATGCAAAGCCTATACAGTCCTCATCGTCTCCATTTTCTGCCTTATTTTGATGAAGGCAAAAATCAGCCAGACGTCTATTTTCCCACACAGAAAAAAAATGAATGGTCTGATCCATTTTTACAGTGCATGCTGAAATATAATGAAGCCATCCTAGGGCTTTCATGCTGCCAACTTACTTCTTGAATGAAGTGCCCAAAGGTGCAGTTGGCTGTAGAAACAAAACCAAGATCCGGGTTTACCATAACAAAGCATGTCCGAGTATATTGAACCAAATCCTGGCTGCTTGGTGGAAACACACTAATGATTAAAAGTGACAAAACAACATTAAAAAAACAGAAATTGTCGACAAAAAACCCACAATCCTCATTTATTGACATCTCAAACTATACATTTTTTCAGTCACTGTATCAAAAAACAAACAAAGCATCCATTCTTATCTCCGTTTCTCAGTGCCGCCCCGCAGATACAGTGAGGGTCCTCACTGCCGGTTATGTCTTTGCAGGTAGGAAACAGCAAGCACCACCTGCAGGTGGTGAACATCTCCACTGGGAAGAAGGTGAAGGGGGGCTCCAGTAAGCTGACAGGCCGCGTGCTGTCTCTCTCCTTTGATGCTCCTGGGAGGATCCTTTGGGCTGGCGATGACAGGGGAAGCATCTTCTCCTTTCTCTTTGACATGGCCACAGGTAATGACTCCAAATGTTTTATCCCCGCAAAGGAGAGAGTGTGCGCTTACCGAGTCCCAAATTCTAATTAGCATTTCTGTCATGCACTGAATAGTGTCTCTGGTTGGAAGGGAAAGCGATTGATGTGTCTCTGCCGGTCTCTGCTGTGTCTGCCTGCCCCCCCCTGCAGGGAAGCTGACCAAAGCCAAGCGTCTGGTGGTGAGTGAAGGCAGCTCCATCTGCAGCATATCTGCTCGGTCCTGGATTAGCCGAGAGGCCAGAGACCCCTCCCTGCTGGTTAACGCCTGTGTCAATAAGCTGCTGCTGTACAGGTCAGTTTGTAAGGCCAAGTCATCGTTAACTAATAGGCAAATTTGTCTCCTCCGCGCTGTGATGTGACTTTAATCCATCTTCAGAGGAGGAGTTTGTCAGTGAGACGTATTTACAGCGTTCTTGAATCGTCTGTGTGTACAGGGTGGTGGACAATGACGGTACACTACAGCTGAAGAGGAGCTTCCCTATCCAGCATGGTTCCCAGCTTGTTCATAGCATCTTCTGCCCCCTCATGTCCTTTAGGCAGGGGGCCTGTGTGGGTAAGAAGTCTCTCTGTACCTGCTGTTTTCAACTGAAAAATAAACCACCGGTTATCAATTTCAGAGAGCAGTGTACTTCTGTTTTTGCAGAAGAATCCAAACAGCAATCGCCAACCGTGCTGTAAAAATTCAATTGCAGTTATTGAGGGTTTTTTTTTTTTTTTTTTTTTTTTGATGCAGAGATAATTGACCCAGCTTTACCTCCCGAGTTTTACCTTACTTGACTTTCTTCACCTCACCACTTGTTCATATTATGCAAAGCTTCCCAGTGTTTCAATTATCAGGTTTCTGTCTCCAATTAACTGAAGTATCTCACTTAAAAATACCCTAGAGGAGCTGTTGAGAATGATGTAGTTCTATTGTTACAAAAAGGTGCTGCTGAGATGCTGTAACACAATAGCTCGTATTATTTTGAGTGGTGCGCGGCCTGGAAAACTCAAGGACACCTGTGAAGTGTTATTGCGTGATTGTATATGTATCCCAGGGGTGTTGACTGACACCCAAAGTTTTTCTTTCCTTGTTAGAAATGTAAAGGCAGTCTTGTGAGTGTGGGTAATTTCAACGCAGCATCTCTGAAGGCTGTTTAGGGACATTTGGGACTACTGAGAAACTCATTTTAAGTCAAAATGAGCTGTTTTAATGAGCCATCCAAAGTTAATTTGTCTACTTTTTCTTGTAATTTCTCTTCGCCATTTAACCCCTCGATGTTCTGACACAGTGACTGGCAGCGAGGACGCCTGCGTCTACTTCTTCGACGTGGAACGCAACACCAAGGCGATCGTGAATAAGCTGCAGGGTCACGGGGGGCCCGTGCTGGACGTCAGCTTCAACTGTGACGAGAGTTTACTGGCGTCCGCCGACTCCACCGGCATGGTCATCATCTGGAGGCGGGAGCAAAAGTGACTGATCCACCAATGAAAATGCTTCCATCCGCATCAACTCCGTCCAATAACGATGTGTAGTTTTCCACTGGAATGTAACAGGATGCGTTAAAAAGTTTAATTTAATGATACTCAAGTGCAATCAGATAGAAATCCGTGCTGTGTAGGTGGTAGGGATGTTTTAGAGAAGTTCAAGGGGTTGGGGTGCTGGTTTTTGTGCGTGCGTGCGTGCGTGTGTCTGTGAGTGTGTGTGTGTGCGTGTCAGTACTCCTACGACTGCAGCTGAGAAATTGCTTTTCAACCAAGGAAGAAAGAGCACTACTCCCATGCATGTGTCATGGCTTACCTCTGACTTGTAAGGATACGACTGAATTGAAGCGGAGAGAAGAGAACGTAATCTTCCAGATATACCTGATCCAACACTCTTTGCATCACACTGACATTCCCTCTGGCATAGATCTAGTTCACTATTTATGTAACTGTTATCCAAGCAGTGTAATCAATGTGGTAACTGCCTTTATTTGCTGTCAGATCTGCAATTGCCTGTTTGCATTTAAGACCATGTGCATGACATCGGCATTTTAATTTCATCATCACTTAACAAGCAAGTTTCCCCCTCTGTTTGTTTTTGTGTGTGTATTTCATGATGGTTGCAGATTAATATAATTTATTTAACACATCCAGAATAAACTACTGTAACTGTCAGCCGTCTGTTTCTCTCTTTTTTCTGTTATTGATAATTTAATTGAATATGGGAGAAGAAATAGTGGCAACAGAGGAGCATAGTGGAGTAGCCTACAGTGGTCTGACCCACTGTGTAGGATGTGTTAGTCATGCGTGGGTCCTTGAGATCTACACTGAATCCCCCATATGTCAATGACCGAAGCATTTGTGAAGAAAACCCTTAACCACGCCATTTTTGTATTAGCATGATATTTTGTGATGTAACTCACTGTCCCCAGAGGGTAACCCCCAATTTCCATCGCATTCGGAATGGCTACGAAAAGGCCATATCAGCTGATCGCAACCATTCAAATGCGTCAATTTGCAACAGCTTCTTTCCGTTATGCTTCGGATCGCCGGACTCTGCAGCTGATCGCAAGAGTTAGATTTTTTTGGTAAGTACTACTAACATTGTTTTTTTCCCTTACAGAGAATTAAATAGCATACGATTAAAGACAAAGTTGATTATTTTGGTCCAATTTTCAGCAAGCCATTAGGAATTTACATAAAACTTGTGTTTTTGTGCAAATGCTAGCTAGCTGCAGCATGCTAATCCAAAATGGCGAACATGGAAACCATCTATCTAATTAAGTTAGCATGCTAACTTTAGCATTTATCCTGAAATGCTAATGTGTAGCCTGGCTTACACCATCTATTTTCCTGTTTACTCTTTCACTTCTCAAAACGAATTACCTATATTGATTGGACCTACAGGCCCAGTTTCTCATTCAGGGCTTAAATAAAACCAGGACTAGACTAATCTGGTTTGACTTAATCCACACGAATCAAATTGCTTTCTGAGATGTTATTGAACTTGAGATTTACCAGTAAATCTTAGACTGAGGTAATCAAGGACCAGTCAGATCACGTGTTGGAAGCCTAATCAGATTAACGAGGTGCACCTGGTGCAAAGGTGAGAGTGCTCTGAAAACATGGGGTGGAATATTTCTAGTATGAATTTTAGCTGTGTGTGTGTGTGTGTGTGTGTGTGTGTGTGTGTGTGTGTGTGTGTGTGTGTGTGTGTGTGTGTTGCTTTTGAAGGAAATAATTTCAGAGTAACCTGAAATTGAAGATAATCATCATGATTCAGCAGCAGAAATGAAAAAAATGCATGGACTGCGATCATGAATGAATATAATTCAAATGAAAATGTATCCAACAGTACCCTCCAGAAACTTCAGGTAAGATTTAATTTTATGTCGGCTTGATTTCACTTATCATTTACTCTGAATTGTATGTTTTCTCATATGAGGCACGCACAAACACATTCATATCTTGTCTTGTAAAGGTGCCATGGACAAAGAAGATACAGTTAAAGAAAACCACAGCAATCGCTCAAAGGGAGCGCTTCAACACAAGTGGGGGACCCCAAGTTAGACCAGAGACCGATGACCTGGGAGATTCGTTGAAAACCAACAACCCTAGGAAGGTATTCAGGATGATGATCATCTGGACAGTTCAGGTAGGGAAACACTTGAATACTCATTTGATATAATGTATATAATTATCCTGAGCAGGTAATCTTAATTGTACTATCTGTGGCTCTCTGAGTGGTGTCAAGGAAATCCATTTTCACCATGCACAGTGAAGCGTTCAGCCTTTACTCTGAAGTTAAACCTGCCCCTGACCAGGTTTAATTTAAATCGTAATTTAGACCTGGATTAGCTCTAGTCCTTCTTCAAGACTGGAGATTATTTAACCCAAGACTAGGACTAGTCTGAGACTATATCTAAGAAAGCTATTTCAACAAATCCTGGATTAAAATGGGAATTAATCTTGAACTAGGCTTAATCCCTGTATGGGAAACCAGGCCACAACCGTGAATAACTAAATGCCTGACTTTGCCGACATCATGCTCAGATTTTGGAGGATAGGAACCAAAGAAGTCGACTGTATTTCACAAAAGAAAAAACAAAACCAGTTTGTGTGGCTGAATTTTCTAGTAAGCCTGAAGTATTTACAGCCTGTTGATGGGTTTGACCCGCAGTTTGTGAACCACTGCGAGGGATGACAACCACATGCTCATGCCCCTACACATGTCGAAATGTCTGTTTACTCTGTCTAGACAAGCTATGAATATTATACATTAGTGTTGCATGTCAGACTAATGTATTGTGGCGATGCGTGACATTACTCTCACATTACCATCTCCACTCTATTTGCTCTGTCTCAGTGTGAGAGAAAGAAATGCACCATTATCTAAAAAAACGTGTGGAGCCAAGGAGTCCCAGGAAACCTCACCGAGGGTCTGAATATGGGATTTAACATTTCAAACAACATTATGCAGAAATGCAGCGCCCTCAGACTTGATTGTTTACCTCTCAAGGTTGGTGAGGGTGTTGTGACGTTTGACTGTGGCTGTGTGGGAGTGAAAGCACAATGAATGGTTGCTGTCCGGGAAGGTCAGGACAGGGCTTTGTTTGAAACAGGCAGGTTAGGTGCAGATAAAAAAAAAAACCCAAGTAAACCTTTCCAAGAGTGACAAAGAAAACTTCTCCTGAGCTGGAACAGTGCTTTGCCTCTGCACAAAAACCCTGCATGTCCAGAATATACAGTTAAGCTCTCATAAATGAGTAAGGCAGCCTTTGTAGGAGTGTATCATGGATAGAATCTGGGGAAAAAACAGCTAAAAATAAGCTTAAAAAACAGCGAAAGGCTGAAGCACAATCCAAATCAACCTGTTCAACCTGAACCATTCAGAGGATGTTTGCATGGTTGATGCATCTCACTATGGAAACATATTTTTAGTCACAGTCTGAAAGCACAAATAAAGACAAAGGAAATTATCCGGCATTCAGATTCAAAATACAGGAGAGTAGGCATCTGATGTCTGGGCTGAAACAGGCGCTGATGAGGACTGAAAAACCTGATTTCCTCCCACAGTTTCTGCTTCATTTACATGATCTGAAACATGATTATTTACTCGGGGGCACAGGCAAAGTTTTTCTGTTCGGTTAGTTTTCCCTCAAAGGAAATTTTGAGTATATATAGTATTTTACAAGTCATTTACTTTACTAGCAGAGTCAATTTTTACCTTTTTAAAATGAACTTTTTATTCAAGTTTTCAAAAGCTTTACACAACCAATTCTACAGCTGCAAGTTTGTAGCCTTGTACCCAAGTGTAGTTGTTTTTATTTACATTATTTGATATCATTGTTCCTGAATTGAGTCTCTTTTGAATGGTGGTAAAGAGAATATGCCAAAACAGCTTGAATCGGAGAAGAAACTTTAATGAATGTTATTTAACAGTTTGCCAAGTCCTTCAGTGAGTCTGCGCTTTCTCCTCTCGTTCTTTGTCCGCTTTTAACGAGAGGACCTTGCAGTATAATTGATTTTGATCCGGTCTTTAAAACCTAACTATGTAGCTTTCACAGATCGAAAAAACCCCTTTTGTCTTAAAAGTTGAATTCAAATGAATAAAATTAATTCCTGCTCAATTGAAAGCAGACAGAACAGCCTTGCTTGGCCACAGCCTGCACTCCGAAGTCTGATGTAGGTTGGCTTCGCCTGCTTGCTTAAAACTGAGCTAACTGCCTCTGACCTCTTTGACCCATTATTTTTTCCATTTAAAATCCTAAATAAGCTTTTTTTATTTCCTTTTCTTGACTAATTTGAGAAGCTTGTATCTTTAGAAACCATCCACCATCCTGTCAAGTGTAAATGAAAGATAACTTGAATTTAAGGCGGTAACATGTACAAAAAAGTACCACATTTCAAAACATTATGTATCTGATATTTGTTGCTTTTTTCATGTTGTACCAGAATGCACTGTGGGTGTAATTTGTGTTACATATACCATGAAGTGGTCAATTATCTGCCAAGTGTTCTCCACATGGCTGCAGTCATGTCAACACCCAGGCAGGTCATGACTCGAGTTGCATCAAAAGTAGAGTCTTTATTGATGAGTGGGAAAAAGAACCACCTCAGTTAAACTGTACAGTTACAGAATATCATCTCGCGAAGGAATGCCAGACGTAAAAATTATGGACCTCAGTTCACTTTTCTCTTCATCTTCCCGTATCAACATCTGTACAAGTTGTAATCCACAATCTTGAATCTATGAAATGCAGTGGGATGCATGCTAATACAGTATGCTGTGCAAGTGTCCACATTTAGAAAAAATTGACTGCACAAATATATCTATGCCTAACATACTGTAGGTCTGACAGTTTTGTTTTACATGGATTTTTAATTTGGAGACGACTCAAATGTGGTCTCAGCGGGTTTTTCATACACCAAACATCTCAGGGGTCAAATTCAAGCCTGTTTAGACTGAGAATTACTGAAATCCAGGAATTAAAAATGTGATATTTCCGTCGAGGGGGGGATAATGAAAGAGCCCAGTAGCTTTCAAGTTTCCTTCAAATTAAGTGCCACTTCATGTCTTCGTATTTCTGTGTTCTTATGAGAGCATATCATCACTTTAAAAACATTCCCATGATCATCATTTGCAAATAAACGTTCATTTGCTAATGATTTTTTTTTCAAACGGCGTAATTCACATCATCATTCAAGTCATTAAATCCTATGGCCTGTTTGCAATGTACAAGTGTTGTTTTCTAATTATTCCGTCCCCTTTTTCATTATCCATCTATAGTTCCCATTTGCTTGTTCATTAAAAAAAATCAGACTACATTTTCAGTTACGGAAATCCATTTAGAGGATTAATTTCCATGTGATGATTGTTCAATTTTGCATGATTTTGAGACACCAAGATGAGGCTGCTTTCATACTGACTCAATATAACTGGAACCTATTCTATCATCATTATTTCTCTCATCTGTCTCCCTGCCTCCCCTCCTCTGCGTCTACCTCTTCCTCTCGCACGCACACATACACACAGTTGCTATATAAAAACACACAAGCAGGAATATACATTCCTGTACAGTCTATACAATATGAAATCAAGTCATATTTCAAAATAGTGTCATCTGCTTAACATGTATAGTTTACAAATAAAGGAAAACAGGCAATTTTTTTATGATACAAAGAAACCTGACACGCCCTAAATCAAGTCCAAAAAATCAAGCATGTTAGGGGCTTCTTGGGTTCACAACAGCTATTTAAATGTATCCAAGGTTATTGGGTCCATTCGATACTCTGCAGTCTCCTTTGAATTACATGAAAAGGCGTCCGGGGTGGTCTATAAATCCATTCAGACCCTTTGAGTTCCTTGATGTGTTTCAGAGTTAGTAACGCTCTGATCAACACTTTCTATTCACAGTCCGCAGCACTTTTTTTTTTTTCAAGGATTTCAACCCTCTGTGTGTCTGTTTTTGTGCCTCATATGACACACAAAATCATTCTCAGTTGAAAGCTCTGGGGCGTGTCCCGCTGAAATAAGGCAACATTATTTTAAAATGGCATCTGTCACACTTAGTTGGAGTGGTGATTGTTGTGATCGTTCCTACTTATTAATCATACAGTACATCATCTGGAAAACAAACTGTTTTAAAGTGTAACCAGGGCTTTTTTTTTCTTTTGTATGGCCCTGATCTAATCTTTGCACCGAACACATTTATTCAAATATCAACATTCTTAATGAAATGGCACTGTGCCTGCATTTGTTGGCAATAATTTGATTTTGTTGTGCAACACAACAAAACAGACACTTAACCAAGGTGCATTACATCAAGTCTTATCTCCCAGTTTCCCTTTAAAACCTGAAACATTCCCCTCTTCGAGCTATCACATGATGCAGTAGGCCTCGTCCTGGGGCAGGTGTTGTTTAGTCCTCCAGTAGGTGGGCAGGTGAGCTCGCAGCACTTTCCTCAGGTCCTCGTTGAGCAGGAGACAGAAGATGGGGTTGACTCCGGCTTGGGCGAAGCTCATCCACACGGTAATGGAGAGGTACCTGTGAGGGATGGTGCAGGATTTGACGAACACCCTCCAGAAGCACGCAACGATGTAAGGAGCCCAGAGGACCAGGAAGAGCAGGGTGATGGTGTAGAACATCCTGCCCAGCCTCCGCTCTGACCTCACCTCCTCCATCCCGAGCAGCCGCCGGTGTTGATTGTGTAGATTCTGCCTGATGCCCAGCAAGGTGGGCGGCATGGGACCACGACCGAACCCCGCGATCCAGTTGGCCGCTGCTTGACCTGTGGCCCCAGGACCGTGGAAGGTCCAGTTCTGGCTGATGGCCGGCACCAGCTGGACCGGTTTCATTTTGCGGTGCCGGTACTCAAACAGCAGCAGTTTGGCGTAGAACCCGTGGGTGGCCAGGACCACCACAGCAAGCATGAGCATGAAGCCCAGGGTGTCGTTGGTCTTCAGGTAGCGGTGTTCGAAAATGCACTGATCCTCATCACGGATGAACTTGTATGTCCCCACGTCAAAGACGGGCGGGAACGCCATGGCAACAGCCAGAGTCCACACCATGCAAATGATGGCGGCACAGGTCCAAATGGTCATGCGCTTGGCGTAGAATCGATGGTGGGCGATGGCAAGGTATCGGGTGACGGCCACACAAAACAGCATGAAGGCAGCGTGAAAACAAAACAGCACGGCCATAAACGCCACAACCTTACAGCTCAAGGCGCTGTAAGTCCAGGCCGAGCTGTTGTGGACAGAAACCAGCACGAAGGGGAAGCAGGCGGCGGAGCGGACTGCATCAGCCAGGCACAGGTCCAGGAGAAAGAAGTAGGGAGCCTTGTGAAGTGTCCTGTCTCGTAGGACCAGCAGGGAAACCAATAGGTTGCCTACGAGGCTGACACAGATGATCAAACCCAAGAAGACCAGCTTAAAGTAGGCGGACACATCTGTGGCAGAGATTCCTCCACTGTTGCTGCTGCTGTCACTGCTGCTGCTGCTGCTGCCGCCTCTTGCCAGTCCGCTCTGCGAGGCCAGCACAGCCAGCAAACTGCCAGGGCCGTCGATGGCAAAGCTCTGGTTAGCCATTCTTATCACCTTCCACCTGAGCCTGCCTGGATGAGGCCCTTTTATAAACACTACTGTTCCGCCTCTTACAGCCGTCGTCTCCCACGGCTCTCTCTCGTCTTTATAAGGCGAGGCCGTAAGGATCTTTTCTACATGACAGACTCATCTTTCCTCTTTGTCCACAACCTCCCCACCTGCGAACAGAAACACATTTTTTTTTGAAGAATGAAAAACAAGATGTCTGACAGTCCTGCTAGCTCCAAAACAGCAACACTCAGAGAAACAACACTCACATTTGACATCACTGATATAGAAGTGCTGTGTCGGGCAACACAGTGGAAATCTCAGCCTTCCTGTTTCTCTACGGCTGGGATCAGATCAGCAGCTCTACAGCATGCCAGCTCCTTGGCTCTCTCAGTAATTACCTTGCCCGTTGCTAAGATACAACAGCTCACATACTTTGTGCAAGTGTGGGTGTTTGAGTGAATGCATGGGGGTGTACAGGGGGATGGAGCAGACACAGTATAACCAACACTGGGCATGTCCAACAAACAGAGATGTTGTAAATGAGCAAAGAACATTTTATGCTTTGTCTCCGCCGCTTTTGTGCATTGACGTGGTAGTCGGTTACAGAGCAGAGGGTGTGATTCGAACCATTCACAGCACATAACAAATAGAGGAATATGAGCAGGGAGCCATTTGGTTTTTACACCACAGGCCCCCTTTTTTTTAACACAACAAGAAGAGGACGGTGATGGTAAAGCCTCGGTTTTTGAGCAAGGGAACAACAATCAGCCTCGTTGGAAGAATAAAACATGAAAATTGATTGGAAAAACAAGCCGGGGATTGAGATGCAGCCCCTCTTAAAAGCCTAATTTAAATGCATAAGGTGGTGATAAAACATAGCTGTGCTAGTCTGGGTGGGCCTTGTCTATGTAGGCCATGAAACACAATGTGATGTGCTCTATAACTGTAGCCTTATTTCCTCCCCTACATCACAGCCCTCTGCCACCTTGACAAATATCATTTCACCTGATTAGATGGCTGCCATGTCAGCTAGGCCCCTGAAACACGGGCTGGAGTGCAAAAAAAAAAACACACACACACAGATGAACAGGTGTCAAAATCACCTCTGCTGTGTGTGTACGTGTGTGCATGTCTGCGCGCGTGTGTGTGTGTTTGTGTGAGGAAAGAGAGAGGAGGATGATAACCTACCTTTCATCGCCTCATTTCTGCTTTTTTTGAAGGGGGGGAGCCGCTCGTCGTCTCGCACGACAAAAACAATAAAAAAGGAGCCCGGCCGCTTTGTTTCACCGCTTGTCAAATCGAGGGAAAAACACATAATAAAGCCTCATGCTCGTGCCGATGCTCTCGAGCTCAAACAACACCTGTTATGCATAAATCCATCGCGAGAGAAATTGAGCAACATATAATAAACATAAGACGGTGGAGGCGACGTCCTAATAATCAACAGCTGATCAAACAAATCCAGGATGAGGAGGACTCTGCCAAAATAAGAGACATGTATAATAAAAAAAAACAACACATCCACATCCACTGCCACCCTTCTTTCACGGCTTCATACGGAGGGATGTGTTCATTTTTGCTCTGTGTCTGAATATCATCCGACAAAACAGCTTTTATGTTGCATCACGTCGAGGATGGATTTCCAGGAGGCTCGAAAACAGACGCGATCAAAAATATATATATCTTGTTCTTGTTGCTATAAAATCCAAATGATGTCAGATTTTCAATGCTTATAATAACCCACCCACAAACGATAGAGAGGAGAAAAAGATCGCGCATCCCCTAAATGAATCGTCTTGGCGTGTATATTGGCTAGTGGCACCAGAACAATTAGTCCACATAGACAACAGCCTCGAAACGTCTCTTTTCCCCATCTTTGAGCCGAAAAAATAGACGATGTATTTACCCTGAACTGCTCATATGCAGTCTTTGTTTTGCTGTCCAGCGAAGGTGGACTACATCTTAATAGTCCACAATAAAAAAGCCTCCATGACAGAAGAACAAATGCATCTTTTTTTTTTTTTTGAGGCGGGTGACAAATCCACCGAAATCACGAGGAGATTCACATCGCCGACGCTTGTCGAAATCACGATTCAGAGGAAGAAAAAAACACGGAGGGAAAAAAAAACAACGCGGCTGGATTAGGCGAATTATTCCTGAATAATCCCAATTATGGCTGCTTGCAAGGAGGCAGCTCGCACATTCGCGGAATCAGTCGGTTTTATTCGGAGAGATGGAGAGAGAAAGAGGGAGGGGAGGGGGAGAGAGAGAGAGCGAGAGATATGGAGAGAGAAAGAGGGAGGGGAGGGGGAGAGTCAGGCGGACCTGTGCGGTATTATAGGCCACTGCTTGAAAGTGATGTTTTATTCCAACAGCCTCTCTTCAGCTTCATATGAGTCTGTTTCTAACTGTGGACCTCCTCGGTCTATATGGCTCAAAGTGACAGGATGTGGTTTGACTTGATCCCCCCCAAAAATGATCCACACAGGCCTGACAGGGCAAAAGCAAGGGATTATAGGTCCACTGTAACTGTACTTAGCACCTTTTTCCTCCTTTTTCAAAACAGTACTGTAAAAGTTACATTTATATGGAAGTCCTCAATACAAAAACAGCTATAATACAGTATGAAATAAAGTGCTTTAATTACAGCCTTCCTTTACAGTTTAGGCTTTTATTTTGTTTATTTTCAATTCCTATGATTTATATTTATATGTATTAATGATGATTAACATTCCATGTACTGCGCATGTGCGAAATGTATGTCACGTCCTCTCTTGGCATTTCAATGTATTTTACGTCAGTGAATTGCTACATACCCAATCTGTACTGCGCAAGTGCAAATTTATCTCACCTTCGCCAGAGCTCCTGCCCAGCATGGTGCGACCTTTTGGGCCACAGAGAGCACCGTCACCTGGCCAAAATTATGGTTCTCATTATGGTCCTCTGACTTTCAAAGTATCAAGGGGGGATTTATTTCATTTATTTTATTAATTGAATGTATTAACAAGAAGCCAACACATTATGGACAATGAATTTCAGTGTTTTTATACAACGTACTAGCCTTTTATAACTTTGATGCAATTTTATCATTTAGGGCGTAAAACTGAGCGCCATTCTCTTGACTTTCCGGCGCTCTGCTTTAGTCGAGGGAAAAGCATGTGGCTGTTTTAAACTGAAGCATCTGTTATGAGGAAGTGACATACATTTCGCACATGTACGAAACGGGTTTCCGGGACGGATCAGGTAGCAACAATACCAATTCATTAAGGTTTTAAGTTTTGCATAGTTTTGCTGTAACTGACTGCAGCTGTTAGCAAGAATGTTAAAGGCTCCACCCTGCTTCTTTGCTTCATGCAAGGTCAACTGAAAGGAAGGTTGGGTCAGCATTTCCAATATGGCGACCACCATCAATATGCTTCAAAATTTGGTGGCATCTCTATGACTATGTCCATATTTGATACAGTCGATGGTCGAGTGTCCAAGAGCTGTGAAGGCAGGCACTCGCCCCATGCCGCATCCACTCATTGGCTCACCCTGACTTGAAGTGGACACTATAAAAGGGGCTTGCAGAACAACTTTTAAATATCCAATGTAAAAAAATCATCTGTTTCTTGTCTGAATGTTTCCAGGAGTGAAGGACATGTACAAAATGAGGACAAGGACCCACCTTGAAACTCTATGTGAGGGCCTTTTGTAAATTCTAGTACATTTTAAGGATTCTCCCTTTGAGTGAGAGTCAATGTTTTTTTTTTTATCCCTTTTAAATATAAAGAACTGAATGTTTTCAAGAGTTTGGCCATGAGAACTGATAACAGACTCTGTTGGATGTTGTGGGCTGGAGGAGTGGGCTTAACAGATGTCTCACTTGGACAAAACTTGTAGTGAAACAAATGTTCTTTACTTTTAAATTTGTACTGAAACTTGGTCGTGATAAGACAAAAATAGTAAACATCTACAGCCCGTGCGTCTTCTTTTGAAAGTTTTCTCCACTCTTACAGTGCTTCAAAGGTGACATACAGAGTGGAAATATGTTCATTTTGCTGCAAAGACAGGCTTTTGTTGAATGGGTGTGACTGTGGCTTCTGTGGTTTTTGGATCAGCAGTTTTAGAACGACTGTACTAGCTTTATTTCTGAAGGATAGAGGTGAAGCCACATGGTGAATCTAGGGTTAGTAAACAGCCGCATCTGGACACACACAGTCTGTCCCGCCCCGCCTGCTCAGACATGATACATCGCCGCCACCTCGCCCCATTCTTTGCATTTCATTACAGATGGGGCTTAAAAATAACAACAAAATATGAATTCAATGCTGCGTTTGAGTAACCTCGCATGTCAGATGTCAGAGCTGAAGATGACGTCACACCTGAGTTACCGGCGTTTCAGTTACCAAGTCGGGAAAAGGTGAAATTGGAGGCCTGAAACAAGATGGCTACATCTACGAAAGTTAGACAAGGCAAGCTCTAAAATAACTTTCGTAAATGTAGCCATCTTGTTTTAGGCCTCAAGATTTTTCTTTTTTTCCAACTTGGTAACTGTAACTCGGGTGTGACGTCATTTTCAGCTCCGACATCTGACTTCCGAGGTAACTCAAACGCAGCATAAGTCATTTACCGGCTGTTTAGTGATAATAATGTCACAACGTTCATATACCCTCGTTTAAATCCCAGTTAAACATGTCTGTCTGTGGTCTACTCCTCAAAAAAGGACATGAATAATTTCAAAGTGAACGTCTGTACAATTCACACTGATTATCCTCCTTGGGTCAGTTTAAGTCTGCTTAAATTTTTAATACATTCAACACTTGGGCTATGTGACCATCACACAAATTAATCTTTCCCACCCTTTCTCCCTACATGAGTCGGTGAAATCCGAGTGAGCTCTGTTTGATAATGTTTTAAGGCCCAACATGTAATCCACATAATCCAGAGGATACCTTACATGTACAGGCGGGTTTAAGAAGAGTTAAAACCAGAAAAGGTACATGGATTTTGCTGCAAATATGAAGAAACCTAAGAGCTCCCTTGTTCAAAAAATAAACATAATCTTTTAGATATCAGCCTACAATCAGAAATAGTCCGTGACAGCTCATCTTGAAGCACCCGAGGAGGTTTCCTGAGAACTATCAGCTCTCGAACACTGATTTGAGCTCACAATAGCCACTGTGTAATGCACTCTTGTATGACTCCATGACTTCCGCGCAATGCATGACCTTTGGCTCCTATCTGCAGCTCAGGTTGCTCTCTGTGTATTTTCACTTCAAGCGGAGCTGAGTGCGCTCCAGAGACAGAGGCGCTAAAGGCTCTGATGTTATTTTTGTGGTGTGTCAGTCAGTCCCTCTAAAATGCTCTGCTCTGCACTGCTGGGCCATTACTGTGCATGAAACTGACATGCACACATTACTCCGGCGGAGAGGATGAAAAAGAAGAGAAATAAACTAAGACACAGAGATACAGGGTATAAGACCGTGTTTTAATGGCAATACACTGCAAAAACTTTCATCACTTCAAACACATCATTCAGTGTCTCAGTCTGTTCGGCACAGGAGTGTTGCGAAGAGACAAATCGATGGTTACAGAAGCAAGGTGCAACGGGAAGACTCGCAATTTACCAGATTCCTAACAGTCATTTTCCAAACATGGCGCTCAGGCTATGAAGCTCAGATGCTGGACGGTTATCAATTTGGCATTTGATGTTAAACAACATGCTAACACTAGCTGCTGTCTGGTGGTGGTTCAGTTTGTTTACGCCTACTTTACTGTGTTGCTAGCTTGCAACTTGCTAACTTTAACGTTTTCTCTCATTATTTTCTATTTTTATTGTCTCTTCAGTTCCAGGAAGATGCAATTTAAAGATTTAAGCGACCCGTGTTCGCACATTTATGCAAATCTTCGAACTCTGCAGTGTAGCATCGTAGCACTTTGAGCTCTACATCCTCGGCGAATGTTACAGGAAAACGTCTGCCTCGTGAACCTGGTTGATTATTTGTATTATTTAATGTGCAATAGTAAGAAGGCTGGTGTTGTTAAATAATCACTTTAAAATGTCACACACACACGCTCACTCACACACACACACACAGAGTTAATTATATTATGTCCCTTATTAAGTGTATTAGTCAGTTTACTATTTAGACATTAAGGCGAAATGCTTAATATAGCCGTGTTTTCTTTTGCATTTTGTAAACAAAATCCCATTTGTGTAATACTTTTCTTTATGGTAATGTTTTTTTTTTTGTCCATTATTATACATATAAAAACACACAGAGCCAACATGACAGTGTGGTTATAGACAGCACTTACACTGACAACACTACAGTACAAAAACAAACAGAAACATTAATGTATTTTAGCACTGACTGGATAAACCAGAGTCTAACACTGTCGCCACACGAGAAAGAAGTACTCACAGATACGTACAAAACACCTCTGTGCTAGAGCATTAGAGTGAACACAAAGCTACAGTAGATAAGGGAACATTACTGACCTCTTTGTCTTTTTGCACTTTTTTTCACAAAATGCATGAAATTATTTTCATTCTAACTTCCTCTGTGCTTGGGCTTTTTGCTCTGAAATGCTTATATACTGTGCCCGATATCTTTTTTATTTGATGAAACTCACACACTGATGCATAACTTCAATAGGAGCTTGTGTTTTTTTTTCACTTTCTGCTAATTTTGGAATCATGAAAAGGCACTTGAGTTGAGAACAGATCTCTGAGCGAGCGAACTTTAGAGGCGTTTTCACAACCTGTACAAGACCAAAAATAGTCCAATGACGAGGAGGGCGCCGGGTTCCTGTAACACTATCAAAAGAGAGACAACTACACTTATAAAGACGATGGATGGCATCAGAGTTGTATTTATGTCAAGCTCAGTCTGAAGCTCGGAAACCTCTGGCTGCGTGTTCGGCGGATCCTCTAATGTCGTGTCAGGGGAAATCTGTGTTGTATCTTCTTTCTCTTCGTAGGCAGAGACGGGCTGAAGAGCAGAGTTTTGGCTCACCTCAGTGACACCTGTACTCACTGAGGGGGTTTCTGTGAGTTCAGGTGGTGTTGAAGCTCCACCTTCTGCTTCCAGAGATGCTTCAGTCTCTACCTCAGGAGAGAAAAGTGCAGGTGTACTGACTTCATGATGCATAGCTGACCTGCTGGAACCGTCTGATAATCCTGCGGTAAATTCGCTCGATCCCTCTGCGACCTCTTTCTCAAAGCCAGAAACACACTCGGGGAGAAGTTTAAGGCTAGGAAGACTTTCTGAGCTGTCGTTCGACCTGTCCTCTCCTGTTGTTGGACTCAGGTTTGTCTCTGAGGTAGGAAGATGCACACATGAGGCCTCTGAAGGGGGGGCTTCCTCTTCGTCGCTCTGGCGGCCGTCTAAACTGGGCCCTGACTCTTGTTGCAGAGCAGAGGGACTACTTTGCGGCTCTGACACTTGTTCACCTAATTCACAGTGGAGACTGGGTAAAGGCTGTGACTTATATGGCTGGGCTGATTCGCTGGCATAGGGTACAAAGGATGAAATAGCTGGAAGTGCGGTTTCAGGAGACGTACAGGGGAATTGTTCACCTGGGGATACAGTGCGAGGGGACAGTGAGCCATCAACAGATGGAAGCTCCTGGCTGGATGGGACTGAAGGACCAGATGAGCGAACTCCAATCTGTTAAAGCGAAAGAGTGAGACAACAGTGACAGCTAGGAGAGTATAAAGACAAAGAGGAGAGATTTGTATTCAACATTAACGGTGCACACAGAAAGACAGAAAGCATTTTGCTGCATACTAATGCTTCTCTGTGAGATGGATCCCATGCTGACATTGTAATTGTGAGGAAGATGCAAACAAAACAGGAACAGTATGATGGGAATGACTCACATCTTTTGGAAAGTTATTGGCAGAGTGCACATTTTAATGCTTTAAATCCCTTTTCTGCGGGTACAAAACTCTCAAGAGTCCAAAGACATTTGCATACAGCACACGTCAAACAAAGGTCAAACTCAATTTCAATAACTGTTTTATCCCCCGGTTTACATATTTCCACAAACTGAGCTTGAGTGCGATTTCCTCCCTTTTAAATGCCAAGAAACTGAAGTATTACCATCCTTAAAAGGACCTTATTTTCATTATCACTTAATTGTATTCAAAAAGGAAAGTCGCTGGTAATCTAGAAAAGGCTCTGCCTGCTGTGAGGCTGCTGTGACAAACATCCAAGGTCACACTGAGATAAAATCACAACAACAAAAATACAAAAGAGATAACAGCACCCAGAGGAAAAAGTGCAAGAGCAAGGCACGTGAAACACATATAAAAGAAGAGTAGGCCGAGTATGTTAGATAAATAGGAATCTGTGAGGACTGAGCACCGTGGTGTTTTTATGGTTTCAGATGAAAATCAAAGCTAGCACAGAGTTACAGAAAGACAGTGTTAAACATTGTGTTATTGCATGTGGTGCATGTATTCTTGGTATCTGATGCCTCATGACTTTGCCAAATACTTGTCAAGTTAATATTTTCTCTTAAATTCTTGCAGCAGATGTCTCACATTATTGCCTCCTAAATTCCTCCCGCGTCAACGCTTATCAAATTCAAATGCGGCTTCTTTATGCTGTGAGAAATGAATCCTGCTACATAGAGAACAAGGACTGAGTTTGTTGTTTACTGTGCGAGAGTGACAAGGAAGCACCTTCGAGCGGTACAAGTCGATCAAAAGTGCTGAAATGTTCCTCCTTTGTCGGTGTGTGGGACTTAATTTCGATTTGTCTCGAGCGAGTCTCACGAGGCGTATCAACATTCAAAGCGAAAGTTGAACAGTTTTAGAAGTGATCTTGTTTGTCTGGAGGAGAGCTAGCATCAGGATTGATTTTTTTATTATTTAATATAAAGCTGCAGCCAGGAGGTTTGAGCTTCTTTTAACTTAAAGACTAACAAAGGAAGTGCGTCAATGAGGTTCATAACAGTGTTTCTATCATTGATTTTGTTTTTATCATATGTAAAAATAAGAGACAGGCTGCTCCTGTGACTCGAATATAATCTTTGGCACACATAAAAAAATTGGTTTCAGCTTTTTTCACCTGATTTCTGCAAGAAAGCAAAAAACGTTTTGTCTGTTTTTCCAAAAATAAGACGTCAAACTAGTCCTTTAAGAATACATTCACAAAAACACTCAATATGGAGATTGGTCGTGATCACAAACATAGTCAACACAGACAGGATGAGACACCATTGTACCAGGTGGAGATGAATATTAGTGTTCAGAGTTACTGGAAAATGAAAAACAAATGAAGTGAAGTTAAACAGGGATCAGATCAAATGGTGCACAAAAAAGAGCAGCATGCATCGTGGATGAGAAGAGAAAAGAGCTGACATACATTACTCATGCCGCAGCGGGGAAAGGGAGACATTACCTAGGTTGTTGCTGAAGCTTCAATGAGCTGTAAACAACATAAACAACCAAGCCAGTGATGATAAGCTTTAAAAGTTGAACAGAAATGTTTGTTATGTTTTATTAGACTCGTGAATCGCATAACGGGGCAAAGCACTAATCCTGCTAACCTGTTACATGGGAAACATGTCAAAACTGCATGCAAATTTAGATATGTTTTTGAGTAACTTTGCGTAGGTAAAGGGTTTTTCTGCCTTTATCAAATAGGGCAGCTGAGGAGAGACAGGTATATGGGGAGTGGAGTGGAGGAAGACATGCAGCAAATGGCTGTGGCCAGGCGTTGGACCGGCAACTTCTGCACATTTGGCGCATGCTCGAACTGCTAAGCCAACAGTGCCCCGAATTAATTTGAGCATTATCCGATAAAGGATTCCCTAAATCATGATCAGGGGTAGTAAACGTGACTGTTTTGACCTTCTCAGGTCGTAGAAAGTTCATTAAGGACATAAACCAGATGAGCTCTCCTGCTGGTTTAACATTTAGCAAATGAACAGCTGTTTGTTTCCTTCCCTTGTTAGTTAAATCTGACCCTTACCTCGACGTCAATCTCAGGCTGTATAATGACTGGGCAGATAGCTGTGGGTCTGACAAGTCCTGTCATGGAAGGCCCCGCTTTTTGAGCTGATGAAAAATGACACACACACAAAAAACACTGTCACCTTTGTGTTTTAGGTTTCTTGTATCTGTGGTGTGTAAGTAATTTAACAGACACTCTTTCGAGGATTGAAGCAGAGCCCTTAAAGGTATGGGACAACTATCCAGATGACACTAGTGCATCCTTTGAGAGGTGCATTTCGAGACCAATCGCATCACATCCACTTGAAGACTGTCCCATTTCAAAGGCTGACAAGTGCATCCTTTTATTTCCCAAAGAATGCACCACATGGACCAGGTGCATCTTCGGTTGCCCATCTTATCCTGAGATTCATTTCATGCCAATCGAAATGAGATGGGGGACTCTTAAGCAGCTGGGAAATCCACTTTTAATTTCAGTTATTGGTTCAAACGAATAGCTGTTGATGCCAATGAGGGGCGATGAAACTTCAAATTATCCTTTAAATAACAGGATGAGATTTGTGAGCTAAGCTTTGCCGGCTAGTTTCCGTACAGCTTTCAAGGTTGCTATGCGACAGGAGCAGGACTCAGTATCAAGGGGGGAAGGGGCGGGAACAGCTGGCGATGTAAATAAGAAATCCTCAACGGTCCTGACAATCTAATTTTAGTTTGACCTCAGTGGTCTACAAGGGATGCTACCCCTGAATCACGACACACCTTCAATACTCTGCGTCCAAAGACAGACAAAAGTGGCACCAGGGGAAACATGAGGTTCAGCATGTTCGCAGATGAGCTCATTGCACCGAGGGCCTGTGTCCACCGGAGCAGTTTTGTCTAATGCAGGCAGCACCGATGCAGTTCTGTGTTTCAGTGGTAGCTCTTGTTGTTGCTGCCATCTCAACACCCTCAGTTGAAAAAACTAAAACCTTTGGAGCCTGATGTGTTTGTCCTTCATGTTGATTAGAATCTAACCACGCTCATTTTTCGAGGTACATTTTCCTTGTAGAGTCCCATTTAATAAAAGCGATATAGAAGCACACACTAAAATTCTCAACAAGCTTAATAGACGCCACTAAAGGAGGTGGAAGTGATGCTGAATAACTTCGTAACATAGCAACAGTAACCGCTGGTGAGGAACACGCTGGAACCACAGTTGTGGGCGCTGACAGTGCAAAAACTGCTGTTAATGGACACAGGCCCTAGATGTTGAAGAACCCAATTTTATGAAAGTCCAGCACTTCTAGTTTAGTCTCTTTCAATCCGACATTTCATGTGATATAGCAATATATTAATTTTTAAGCAGTAACAGTGAGGCTTGTTTTCTCAAAAGTGTTTTCATACTGTACCTTCTTTCTTTTCCTCCTCGTCTCCTGTTTCCTCAAAGACATCGTCATCGTCCTCATAATCATCCATGCTGTAAAGAGAACAAAAAATACTCAGAATTATTCATTAAAACATGGAAAATTTTACAATTTACTACAACTAAGTTCTACCCAAGAATCAATGTTACATTACTGACCAGATATGAGGTTTGAAAATGTCCTCTTTAAGGGTTTGGAATAACATGTACATAGTCATTATTCTCTGTGTCATTGTGGTAGAAATGTGGGCTGATGCAGTAGGTGAGGACTTTGAAATAATAACAATGGATTCACTCAGTTTGCAGCTGTGGATGGGCAGCAAGACAAGCTAATATCCATTTGTGATTAATGGCTTTGTAGCCGGTCCTCCACAGGATTAGTCAGACAGTTCTGCGTTTCTGACTCAATCTGACTGAAAGGTAAAACTGAAATCACCGGAAAAATGCATTTACCGTAAACCACCGCCTACCTTGGATAATTAAGCGTAATATTTAGTAATGTTGTCCAGCTGTTTCTGTGTTGAATGGGATATTTTCACTGAACATCCCAGCTGATTTCTGATCTGCCAAACTAGATAAGCAGAGTGTTTTGGAGTCACAAGCCCCAGCAATGACCCATCTTGTTATACTGTTAGTTAAAATAGACAGCGAGGTGGGAAATTGCTGAATGAGTCACGATGAACTGTGGCTAAGGGTCACTGAAAAGTGCAAGCACAATAAAAGCTGGCGGGAGTCAGATTTCAGTATTTAAGTGGATGAATCTAACATCATTTTGACAGGAAGTAGGAGGAGAAATTGTGTTATCTCGGTCAAATTAATGTCTTTGAACTATCAAATAGTCTCTTTAACACTAATGATGGTAGAATTGACGGAATAAAGCTGTGAAGTGAATGAAACTTATCATATTTTCTATACAGGGGTACCTCTTTTGGAAAAGGAGGGGGGAAGAAAAGTTGCCAAGAGTCGTGCAAGGGATGCCAAATGAAATACAGGTCAAGAAGTGTAGAGAGCATGTGACAGGAGCTACACAAATAGAGTGGAAATAACCTGAGGAGATGTTCAGGCTCCCTCTGCTCAGTGCCCTTACAGTTGCATCAGCCCTGTGAAAATCAGAATCTGATAAAGATCTGACAAGGAGGTTATCATAAGGCTGCAAACTCTGATACCTTTCCAGACAAATTTCCAAAATCGACTTTGGCAAGAGCAGCGCCAATGATTTTAAATCACCGTGTTCACAGAGTGGCGATTTCCCTCTGAGGACGATCTCGGGGTGGGAAGCTAACAAGATATGATGTTGATGTTGTACTAATGGGTTATCACGTTGTAGGTTATTGCAAGATATCTCAGAAGTTGTCATGACTTCACAGCTAGACTTGCCAGGAATTAAGAGAGTGGAAAGTGATAATCTGGGGACCCATGAGGCTATATATAAATGGAAACCCATTAGCCAACAATGTAAACATTACCATCACGATGCTAAATTACTTAATTTTTCTTAAGTGGAACAGTTATAGTAGTCTTTATAGTGTTTTTGAAGTGGAATAAGTTTGAATTGTTTTGAGTAATACTATCAATCACTGTTGTCTACTTGGATATGCTTGGAAGCCACTGCTAGCTAGGTCATCAAACATGCAAATGTGTTTTTTTCTGAACTTAACTGCTTCAAAGTATTACTTAATTTGTCTCGAGTGGAACAGTAAAGTTGTAGTCGTCTCTATAGTGTTTTTAATGTAGAAAAGTTTGAATTTTTATCATTTTTTGAGTAATACTATCAATCGCTGTTGTCCGCTGGGATATGCTTGCAAGCCACTGCTAGCTAGGTCAACAAATATGTTTTTTTTCTGAACTTAACTGCTTCAAAGTCTTACTTAATTTGTCTTGAGTGGAACAGGACAGGTATAGTAATCTTTATAGTGTTTTTAATGTAGAAAAGTTTGAATTGTTTTGAGTAATACTATCAATCTCTGTTGTCCACTGAGATATACTTGCAAGCTAGTGCTAGCAAGGTCATCAAATATGTTTTTCTTAACTTAACTGCTTCAAGGTCTTACTTAATGTTTCTTTAGTGGAACAGGAAAGTTAAAGTAGTCTTTATAGTGTTTCTGAAGTGGAATAAGTTTGAATTGTATTGAGTAATACTATCAATCACTGTTGTCAGCTGGGATATGCTTGCAAGCCACTCCTCGCTAGGTCAACAAATATGTTTTTCTTAACTTTACCACATCAAATTATCTCTACACCTTGTCCTTTCAGTAGCCTGCTAACCCAAAGAAAGCTGAAAAGAACAATTAGTTATGACACACAAGCTCGATCATAATTACGCCACACTTCCTTAAAACATATTGACTCAACCTTTGGCCCTGAGGTCTGGCTTGAGCTTAGCCTGTAAACAGGATACTGTGTCAGCTGATGTGTCAATCCGTTTTATGACCACACTTGAAGATTACCCACAGGAGCTTTGGTGTGGCCTATGTCCACAGTAGCCCCAATCAAACACAATCTAGAGGTGTAAACCAAGGCTAGATGCTGGAATATATTTAGTGTTAATATCAGTGACACAGTCAGTGGGTCCAGCTTCTTTGAGGTCCTGGTTTGATTTATATTTAACTGAATTGGATCCACCCCAGATAAATTTAGACGTGGCACATCAGAGTCGCCGAGACATGAATAGAAAAATAACTGATATTGGTTTCATTCCACGTGATGAAGCTGCAGGGGTGTGTCTCAGACTTCAACTTGTTTTTACCACCAACACCTAAACCTGCTTTTCCTGTATTCCCCGTGTCTATCTTGTGATTGCGTAAAATCCAATTACCAACGAACGTCAGAGCACCTTATGAATTTATTATGATGGCTGTGGTTGGGGTGCTGGTACAGTTTCTGCTCCTCAATCCCCTCCTTTCTAATCTGTGACTCATCCATCCCTATCAACCCATCTGCTTCCAGACAGTAAAACGTAGGTGACCTACATTACAAGTTTATCTCTGAGTCTGTTATTTTTGGAAATCTTCACTAACTCAGGAGAACTTTCCTCATTCCTTCAAACTTCCTCTCTCTGTTGATCTGATCTGAATCTGAAGGTGCAAAGAAGGAGGAGGGGCAGTTTAGGTGTCCCGAACTACACCGAAGAAAGAGGCTGATCTTTCCTTTTGAATCTGCAATGACTCTGCAATGAAAGGTCAGAGGTAAACTTGACGCAGGGGCCTGAAAACGACACCTGCCCTTTGCCTATTTTGATCGCCGTCATACACCACTGGATGATTGGCATTCTGATGGGGGTGTGTGCTCCCTCAACAACTCTGTCAATCTCCTTTGGCTTTGGCTGAGTGAACAGAGAAGAGCATGGCGAGCTCTATGAACGGCTAATGTGGTAACTCACCCCTGCGCCGCCATTATGCAACAAAATGTGTTTGCCAACATCCTGTTTAGCTTGAGTTCTTGGTGTGTTGAAGCAGTAACCAGGCAGAGCGACTGAATAAAGCTGTATGCCCACTACACAAAACCTGGAGGGGGGTTAAGGAGGCAAATGGAGCTCTGTTGCAGTCATGGAACCACAATGTCGGTAACATTTTGTACATTCAGTGCTAATTCAGATCATCAGCGGATCAACTGGTGGAGGTCAAAGGCCAAAGAAGTGTCCACCTGACAGTGACCAACAGGGAAACATAAATGCTCAGATAGGCTGTTGAAGGATTTACCTGTAGGGTTTGGGAGGTTTCAGGATACCCTTTACATGTTGCGTGTCTCTGCTTGTAAGAACAGAATCCTCTTCATAGGACAGGAGCAGAGTCACCACGTAATTCATGTGGGAGTTGTTAGCCCAAAAATCCCCTTCAGAGGTTTCATAGCGGACAACAAACTCAATACGTGAGCCATGTGTGATGTAAGGTGGTGCAAAGGACAGCTTAAAGGAGAACTTATCAGTGTCTCCATCGTGGGATCCCTGGACATACTCTGCTGGGTGATCAAAGTAAGAGGCCCAGCTGTCCATGGTTGATCTGATGTACACTGCTTTGTGGAAGGAGACGTTCAGCACTCGCACAAGACCACTGAAGGCAAGTGGTTCATCCTCAACTTGAGACAGCTGCTCAACCTCCACTTTATTAGTGCGCACTGCCTGCAGCAGGGCACTGTCGGTTGGTGCGTGAAACTCAGGCTGCACAGCGTAAGTGGGCTCTTTCCCCGGCTTTCGGTACTTTGACTCCTCTTCCTCCCACCTTGCACTCTCCTCTTCGTCGTCCGACTCAAAGGCAACAAATTCCTTCACATCCACCAGATCTCCACCTGTTGTGTCCGCGAACGACACTCTTTTTCCGGCAGCTAGCGTCTGGTGAATACGCATGTACTCGGCTGTCTCGTCGTAGATGGACGCCCCTCGCTTTCTTGGCACGGGGGAGCATCTCGGGATGAGATGGACATTCCCGGTATCATCGTCTTCATCATCCTCATCATCATTATTGTCCCCGTTGTCTTCGCGAGATCTACTTTCTGCCTCCTCTGCTGATCTGCCCGTCTTAATCGTGGTGAAAAGCCCCTTTTGGCTCGGTATGGATAAAAAGGACATTTTTGCAGAGGTGTTCACACATGGAAGCAGCGTGCTGACCGGAGCACATATGGCGTCTTTAAAATAAAAAACTACCAAACACTCATGTTTTGCGCAGCAGCAGCAGCAGAAGCAGCAGCAGCAGCCAGTGTGGATCCAGCGCTGTCCCTGCGTTACGCACAAGAGCCTCTCCAGTCAGCGTGTGGCGTTAAATGTCATCCACGGGAAACATGTCTTTACTGCCAACCCCTTGTGATAGTGTATCCCCTGGTTTACATGACTTAAAGCATCGCAGTTTGGCTGCTGTGGCAGGAGGAGCAGATGCTAATTTTAGCTCTGACCTACCGGGTTTTCCATGCTCCGAATTTGTCTTTTCGGTTGGTATGATCCTGCGGCTCCCCTCTGCTCAGTTTGGTTCAGGCTGGCTAAACGCCCACTGCTGGAAATGGAAGGTAAAATTGGCCAAATGCCATTTTTACCTAGGCGGTAGATTTTTTAAATTAGAATTATTATTAGTGTCATTAATTATCAAAACTTATGCACACATTTGTTTTTTGCAAGATTATAATTTCAGGATGCTATTAATCCACTGTAATTGATCAATATTTTCCAAAACAAACTGTCAATCATTTGCTATGTGGTATTTATATGCTGCAGATAAGCTCAGTCCTCCTTGAATTCAGTCATTTAGTCTCTGCACATATTAATTCAACAGCCTTGGTGAAAGACGTGGCCTTCGCTGCAGTGTTTGTTTAGTCATCTGTGCATTGATAGCAGCATACCATGAATACAGTGGTTGTTATGTAACCAAACATTGAGGCATGGACCCAGTGGCAGAGTCAAGCTGTCCCCAGGGCAGGGGGCTACACAACCAAAAGGGCACCAACTGCATGAGGTGGAGCATAGAAAGGGCACTCAGGGGGTACTTTATCACGTTTGCACTTTGTCACCTTTTCTCTATGTGAGTACATCCTGAACAGCGCATTGTCTTACAGGAAAGTCACTCCTTGTGGGAACACTGTAATCCTTACATTGCGACATGTTTTCAGCTTTCTGTTTTCTGTGTCGGCCTTTAAAGCATGTTGTCACACTTATAGGTCCTTGGAGGAACACCTGCAAAGACATCTTCTCCCCCAGAAAAGAACCATAGAGGGCACCAAACATCATTTTCTCCACTGGGGGGCACTTTAAACATGTTTCATACATGGGTATGACATTCAATAGTTTGCCTTATATCAGGTCTTTTTCACAAGAAGGTCACCCTGTGTGCTAAACCTTGTCAAACATAAAGAGATTTTCTGACAATAGAATAGGGGCTATATTTATTTCCAGGATAACTTTCATGTAACTATGTTTTTGTTAATAGAAAATTTGGAAGCTCTGGCAGACATGCATCCATATATGTCTGCCCATATATTATATGGGCATATTATATTTCTCTTATTGCAAATGTTCATTTTAATCAAGTTATTAATGTCTATTTTTGTCATTTTATTTATTACCTCTGTTGGTAAAGAGCTCTTACTTATCTGTTTATTTAATATTATTTTCTTGTTTTAGTCCATCAGGTTTTACTCTTTCTTTTTACCATTAAATGTAAGTCTTTCCTCACATAATGTCTCGGTGTCAGGCCATGTCTCTTAAACAATATATCTTAAATTCTCACACCTCAGCGCTTGTGTGTGTGTGTATGTGTGGGTAAGTGAGGGTGGGTGTGTATCTTTGTGTATGTGTGGGTCAATGGGTGGGTGTGTGGCTGGGAGGTTCGGGTTTTGTTGTTGTTAATTGTTGTTTTTAGCCTCTGTGAGGCACTTTGAACTGCATTTTTTTTTGTCTGAAAAGTGCCATAAAAATAAAGTTGAAAATTTGAAATCCATATGCTGGTTTGCCCATTAAAAAAATCACCAAAAGGCCGTAACATCAAGTGATCAAAGTCACCTGAAAGTTATTTCTATTCTACCAAAATACAAGTTTTGTTACCCCAGAATCATGAAAAAAAAAAATAAAAATCTGATATTTCAAAAAAAAAAAAAAAAACATGAAATCAAGTCAGATCACTGTTGTTATTCTGGCAACAGGTCTGCTTGGTAAATTGGGGTCAGTGAGTGATTCGTTCACTGAACATTTAAAAGAATTCACATTGAACATGCACCGTTCCCTCGCAAATCGCTGCAATGATAGGATGCTGCGGGTTTAATGCACTATTTGTTACATGCTGTGTCCTATTGCATGCAAGTTGTTGTGGTGACAATTTAGCAGTGAAAAAAAGGTAGTTTTTTCCGACAAAATGATTCCAGAGAGTGTAGTTCAATGCATGATTCGTTCACCAAGTGATTCAGGCGTCAGTGCGTGTGGTCCCTCATTCGCCAGCTGCTGGCCTGGCAATGTTTCTCACTCAACTGAAGTGAGAAACGAACGAATCACTCGAGGAAGTGATTCGGTTCAGTACGTTCACTTAAAGATTCGGTTCTTTGGAACGAATCGTTCGCGAACGACTCCACACTGATCAATAGGCCAGTCTAGAATTGGCTGAGATATTGCTATGATGAGATAAGATAACAAGATATTATCAATTTTAATGGGAAAACCAGGAACCAGCAAACCTAACAATGCACTTCTTTTTAATTCAGCACTAAACCATGTCCATCTTTGTTGACATGTAGTCTTTATCCACACGCCAAATGAAATTAAATACATATTTCAACATTTTAGGACCCTTTGTTGACATTTTAGCACAGGTAGTGCGTAAACTATGTGATAATGTGATGTCTATTTTGGTAATTTGCGTTAAAAACAACATAATTTTCGCATTAGTTCATCTCGTGACTGCTATTCTTGTTCGCGTGCGCAGTTAGACCACTGTTACAGTCAGACTACCATGTAAACACACCCTTGTCGATGATTGGTGGAGGGATTTTAGCGCGGCGTGCCGCAGCCAATCAGAGGATTGTTTTTCTGTCACGTCGATGCAGGGATAGTAAGCTAACGGATAATGCAAAGTTAAACTAACATTAAGAAAGCGGATTGATGCACAAAGGCTAAGTGGCGCGAGAGGGATTAAATCATTCGGACCGAATACTTTTTTGTCGGAATTTAATCTGAGGAAATGTGTGGCGGTCGACACCAAAAGGAGCCACAAATTGGGTGACGCGAGCTAACCGAGTTAGCCGTAGCGTGCTAATTTTCAACGCTCGGAAAGGCCGCGGAGAAACGCACGAGCTGCTTCCTGTTCTCGCTCCACTGAGAATGTAGGTTACACCATTAAGTAGCAAAATCAACGTGATAAATTCAGCCGTTTGTACCGTGGAGTAATCGATTGCATTAAGGTTTGAATTAGAGGGGTATTCACAGGCTATCTAGCTTGTTAGCTCTCCAGCTAGCTAGCTAGTATGAGCGAACTGAGGGGCTGCACACAGTCCGCTGACTCCGCGTCGAGGAAGCGGGGTCCATCACCCGAGCAGGATGAAGGTAGCACGATTCCCAGCAAGTCGTGCAAAGTTAGCGGCGCACCAGACGTTAGCGCGGAAAGTTGCAAAAACAGTGAAGCTGAGAGTAAAGAAATGACTGAAAATGAAACCCAGCCTAAAGGTAGTGAAGGAGGAGAACCAGCTGTTGCGCAAAAGGATCAGAGTTCACATGGCGCTCAACTGCCAACTGTCAACAACTCCAGCAGTGACGATCACAAAGCCAACAACTCCGAAAAACCCGAGTCGTCAGATGCAAGAGGATCAGCTGATGCAAAGAGAGATGCAGCAAAGACAGAAGCATCCAAGCAGTGTCCCTCAACTCCTCTGGACCAGTCCGACTCAGCTGCCATAGCAGCCGCTGAGGCACTTGCAAGTCTCACAGGAGGAGATGGAGAAGACAGCCAAGAGACTCCTTGTTCATCTGAAAAGGCCAAACAGGTGAAACAGGGGAGCAGGTTCAAACAACGCGGGGGTCACCCGTCCTCGAAAGCGGGCTCCAGGACGCAGGCTGCTGCTGCAGACAGCTCCACATCTGTGCACAGTACAGACAGAGAGGATGCTGATGACATGCCAGAAGCAGACGATGGCGATGAGTCGATATCAGGATCTTCGTCTGACCCTAGCTCCTCGTTCCCATCAGACAACGAGGACAATGATGATGGGGAGTGTGCCATAGTGTCGGTGAAGATGGCCCCGGAGATGAGACAGTCTGTGGCTCTCCTGGCTCAAGTGCAGATGAGACTCGAGGCTCTTGAGAAGAAAAGCGCCCGGCTTCACCAGCGGCTAGAGCTGAAGATTAGTCGTCAGCGGCGCCCACATCTCGACCAGCGCAGCTCCATCATGAAAACTATCCCAGGTTTCTGGGTGACAGCTGTATCCTTTTACATAAAAATACATTCCCTGTTCTCATATTTATCTTAAATCGTGACAAATTTTAACCAAAATTAAGCTGGAGTTTGTCTTAACCTGATGTGCAAGCTCTTGAACCATCCTCACCTCTCAGCTCACATTGATGAGTCAGATGAAGATGCTCTCAGCTACATGACTGATCTGGAGGTATGAGGGGTTGGTTTCCTCTTACTACATTCAGCCTTTTAATGTATTTGTCTTTAAAAGTGAGTCATTTTCTCTGTTTCTTTCAGATCGAATCATTCAAGAATAATAAACTGGGCTTCAGGATCCGCTTTCACTTCCGACGAAACCCGTACTTCCAGAATAACATCATCATGAAGGAGCTGCACCTCGGGATGGGAGGTAAAAAGCAATTTATATTTCTCGTAAACTATCATGCCAAAGCATTCAAAGACCATATCATCATTTACTCAACTCAACTTGATTTGAAAACCACAGCCGACCAAAGTTCTGTACATAAATAGACAAAACAGCACAGACATAAAAAACAATCAAAAAAACAATTAAAACAGTGGATAAAGTAAAAGCAGATATTAAAAAGTAAAATATAGTTTCAGTGTTTTTAAAAACTAATTTTAAAAACATAGAAACAAATAACTAAAAACAAACCATAAAACACTAAAACAGGAGCCGAGTCTCATGCAGGGTTGAAAGCCAATCAATAAAAATGGGTTTTAAGGCGAGTTTTAAAAAAGGACAGTGTGGGGGCTTGTCTGATTTGGAGGGGTAGCTCGTTCCATACAACAGAAAAAGATCTAACCCCTCTGAGCTTCAGTTTTGACCTCGGTACCTCCAGAAGCAGCTGATCAGCTGACCCGAGGCACCGAGCGAGCAGGGGTGTAGGGGCAGAGAAGCTCAGAGAGGTAAGATGGATCCAGACCATTTTAAGATTTAAAAACAAATAAAAGAATCTTAAAATGAACTCTAAAATGTACGGGTAACCAGTGGAGGGAGGCCAGGATGGGAGTAATGTGCTCCAGTTAAGATCCATTTACCATCATTATTTTCTCACACCAGTACACTTCAGGTTCAGACAGGGTTCATTTTTCAATTACTGCCAAACAAACGCTGAGAGTGACGAGTACCAACCCAGAAAACAGAACACAAAGTTCAACCAACTTGTCAGCTTCACACCCACAGTGAGCAGACTCCTCACTTAAGCTGTTTATGCCAGGATAAAGTGATAGTCATGCTGGAGTTGTTTTCTGCGTGTGTGTGCTTCAATGAATAAACAACTTAACACCTCAAAATGATGAAAAGTCTGCCACAGTCATGAGTAGATTATACAATATTTCACCGACTGATCAGTTTCAGGGCTGTTGAATCACGTTAAGTAGATCTACAGAAGTTAGTATAATCAATCAATTAATCAAACTTAATTTATAAAGCGCTTTTCCTACAGGGATGTGACTCAAAGTGCTTTACAGTCATGTTAAAGACAAAAACAAAAAACTACCCCAGATGCCCCCTTACCCCCCACGAACCCCGTGGCCGGCCTCTGCAATCACAAGTGACCACTGCTCCTGGTGCCGAGGGCTCCTTCAGAGGAAACACTGGGGGTCCTAAAAATGATAAAAGGATAAAAACAAGTAAAAACTAAAATATGAATAAAACACAGACCTAAAATTACCCTCCACTAACTAGGATAAATGAAGATAAAACTAATGAATATCAATGAAAAGTTAAGCTAAAAAGGTGGGTCTTGAGCCTGCTCTTAAAAACATGAACGTTCAATGCGGCCCTGAGGTCCTCTGGCAGGCTGTTCCATAGACGAGGGCCGTAATATTGAAAAGACGCCTCGCCATGAGTGTGTGTCCTGACTTTGGGAGTGACTAGGGTCGCAGGGTCCGTGAAGGTTCATAAGGTAAAAGCAGTTCTGAAAGAGAAGAAGGCCCAAGACCATTAAGACATTTAAAAACAAGTAAAGGAACCTTAAAATCGATCCTAAAACACACAGGGAGCCAATGCAGTGATTCTAAAACCGGTGTAATGTGGGCCCACCTCCTGGTCTTAGTCAGGAAACTTGCTGCTGAACTTTGTAATAATTGTAGACCTGAAATATTTTTTTGGGGAACACCAGAAAGCAGGGCATTACAATTGTACAAATGACTGTTGATAAAAGCATCCATTAACGTCTCCGTGTTATAAGGAAAGTATCTACAGTAGTATAAGGAAATATCAAACCATTAAAGACTTGTGTGAGTGCTTTTAAGAGTAAAACCGACCACATCTCACATGTTCAGCCCAGAAGCGAAGAAAATATCCCCTACTGGTGACTGGAGCAGCTTGAACACAGATCACAAGTGTGTTTGGAGTGAAAGTAGAAATTTATCCCTCTGTATGATGAGGCAGCGTCAAAGAATTTGCCTCTCAAATTGACATTTTTGAAGCTGGTTTTTGCATTTTAGGTCACTCACATTGCTTGTTGAAAGTTTTACTTCCTCCTTTATAGCATTAGGATTTTAATTTGTCTTTTAAACTCCAACCTGATTCAAGATAAAAGTGTGACGATCAAAGATAATAACCCTCCTTTTGTTTGCAGGATCACCCATGTCCTTCTCCAACCCCATCCTGTGGCATCGTGGACAAAACCTGACAGCCAACAGCGAACCCAGGAAGTCGTCACGTGGGGTCTACCACACTTTTTTCAGCTGGTTCAGTGACCATAGCAACCCAGGACAAGATGATGTAGCACAGGTACATCTAACTGCACCTCCTCAAAAATAAAACTTTCCAGCAAAATATTCATTAAATGACATATTTGACTGTAAAGAGTCAGCAGGATACGATTTGTAGAGGACAGGATAAGCAGTAACTGTTTTGTCCATCACTCATTAAAAATGTATTGTGACGTGTTTGTGTTCAGATACTTAAGGACGACCTGTACAGAGACCCTCTGAGATACTACCTCACGCCGCTCTGGGAACCACGGGAGAACGGCAGGTAAATCACACACATGTTTACAGACAAACACAGAGTAAGGTGGGGTCTGTGTATGAACCACTTATTAAGCTATAAATTGTAGAACTATTTCCAGCCTCGGGGCCTTGAAAGTATAGTTCACGCTTTAGATTTTAACAGTTTCCTGTGTTTTTTTTCTTCCTTTCCTTCTACTGAGACCAGGTGGGATGCACACCTGAGGAGTACGTGTGTAAAGTGTTAACATCAGCATGTGTGTGTGTTTTTTTTCTCTCCAGTGGTGGCAGCGGGGCCAGACCAGCTGACAACGGTAATGGAGACGACTGCGTAGTGATCTCTGACTCAGACGAGGAGCCTGGTGAGGCAGAACAAGGCCACAGCAGGGAGGAGGAGGAGGAAGATGATGATGAAGAGGAGGCGGAGGAGGAGGAAGAGGAGGAGGAGAGGGGGCCAAGTGCTGGTGAGTGATAAAGAAGAACGTATAAGAACAGCCTCAACCCCAGTGCTTCATTCAGCTGGATGGGGTGTAGCAACACAGCTGTACATGACACATTAACTAGGGCCCGACCGATTTATCGGAGAGACGATTAAATCGGCCTATTTTAGCGCGTTTGAGACTAATCGGTAATCGGCCAAAACTCGCAGATTTTCGATAAGATTCGTTTTCACTTCAAAAATTTTCCGCCATTTGAAAAGTTCCCCGACTTATCCAGTAGATGGCGCAGGGACCTCATGACAATCTTCATCCACGAACTACCTCACAGCACAGCAGAGTGACGGATCTGAAGCAGGCAGCTCAGGGATGCACGAATCGGACGGAGGAGAGTGGTCCGCCTCAACGGTAAATAAACCAGTTTCTGTTCAACCCACTTCACCATGTTCCCCACTGTGCTGGTCTCGGTCACGCCGAGTTAACGGTGAGCACCATGTAATATGCAAGCTAAAGTTAGAGTTAGCCACCTGCTATTAGCCTTGCTACACTGTTAGCCGTGCCAGTAACGGTAGAATAAACAACAGTACACATTATGTGATCGAGCTACTTCTCTTACTGAGGCAGCTGCATGTCTGAGAGCGGACCGGAAATGGGTCACGTGAGTTAAGACGCAGAGGCACCAATCGGCGCAGTTGAAAACGCTTTTCTGGTCGAGTTTGATTTGTCGGTCTTTCTGTCGGCGTGAAGAGCAGTAGCCTACAGTATATCCTCAGTTTATATATTTTTTTTATAACTTCATAAAAAATTTAAAAAATCGGCCGATTAATCGGATTTTTTCCCCCCTAATAATCAGTATCGGCATCAGCCTCAAAAGATCCATATTCGTCGGGCCCTAGTTTTAATATTAGTTTGAATTCGTACTGATAAAACAAAGTGATCATTGCTGTTTGTGTTATTAAAGGAGAGGCAGAGGGAGTGTCAGCGTACAACTTGACTAGCTTTTGTTGTAGCTATATTAAGAATGCCTGGGTAATGCAGCCTAAACTGAATAGACAGGAAATATGTCCTCCTCAGATGAGAGCCCAGAGGAGGGCGAGGAGGATGATGCTGGAGAAATTGTGATCGATGGTAAGACACCACTCTCGACAGCAGCGCTGCAAATTCACTCTTTAAAAATGAACCACAGGTTGGGATCGAGTAGAGATAAAAATTCATCTTGTTTTGAATCATTCATGCTTCTTAGTTACACTGTTTTTTTTACAAATTTGATTTGACCTCAATCCCCGAATACAGAGTTAAAGATCATTCTTCCTCTTAGCAAAAGTCCTCTGAAACTTCAACTTGTTTTTGTCGTGCAGGCTCTGATGACAGTGAGCAGGAAGAAGAGGAAGAGGAGGCCTGAGACGAGCCGGAGGAGACAAACGCGGGACCAGCTACCAGGAAGATAACGAGCATGCCTACTTCGGCAACGAGACACAGAGCAATTAATTCTCATTTTTATGCACAGAATATCATTGTTTTGTTGTTGTTTTTTTAAAATCTAAATTCATCAAAATCCTTTTAAATCAGGGTTAACTAATAACGAAGCCAAGGCAGCATGTCCCCCCCTCTATTTTATATAGTCAGTGCTGTGTACTCTGATGTACTCTGATTCACTTTTTGCAAAAATACTGTTTTCTAAACTGGTTCTGAGGCACGATACGTCTGTCAGTTCATATTAGGTATCGCTCTTCTATAGTGGAGGAGCGTACACTCACACTCACGCACACGCGGGCACACATTGATGAGATTTAGATGGTCGCTATTTATGGCGTTAAAAAAAATTCTTCAAAGGAAACAAAAAAAAAAAAAAAGCAGAAACTTCAAGTGGCATTAAAAGTGATCATTTCCAGACAGTTTTTTTTTCTGTTTTTAGGAACGACATGCAAAAGACAAACATGTCAAAAGTTATCAAGATAAAACGAGAGTACATTTTAGATGCACCGAACCAAAATTAGTTCTCAGGGATGATCATGGTAGTAGTTTTATCGAGTGGACATCACTGATTTTTACACATTGACACACTTTGGCTGTTGTTGGTTGTATATAAGGAAACGTGTACTCTACTGTAGTAAATAGGAACAGATATTGTTTAAATATGCTCCCTGTGTTTCTCCTTCACCTCTTGATCTTGTCACACCTGATCCTGTAAACCGTCATTGCATAGTTTTACTGATGTTTCTGTGGGTACTTCAACAAGTAGTTTTGTGTTTCTTTCTGTCTTAACTTGCTTTCTGAAACATTTATAGTTTGATTTGATGTTCTGTGTTTTAAAATCTGTTGTGTTATCTTCTTTTTAAAAAGACTGTATTTATTACCTGGCTTTTCTACATGTCCACATTATGGCATGCCTGTGAGCATGAAGTGTGAGGTGAGGCGATTACATTAGGGCTTTTTTTTTTCCTCTCTGTGCAGTGTCGGTAAATGTCGTTAAACTCACACCAACACCACGAGGTGCACTGTAACAAAACTAGTATTTGTATTTGCTTACTTTCTTATTAGCAATGACCTGTAAATAATATTTCAGCTTTGTCTTTTGGACGAGACACATATTTAATCCATGGATAAGTTTATCAATAATCTGGACTTTTTTCATAAACATGATCAGAAAGGTATATTTTGTGTGCTGTGTTTTATAGGACACTGTAGTTTAAGGAAACCTACCTGTTTGTTGCTTTGGTTCATTTCGTTTGCTTAAAGATAAATGTCCACCTTTTGACTCAGACCTAATAAATAGGCAGTTGTTAAAATATGTTGTCTGTTATCCTTTACGTAAAATGAAAGCCTTTATAACCACATAGTACTTCAGAGTCACCACTTTACTAAAAGTGCTTCATTAAGTCGGTAATTTAAACCCCAACTCCAAGAAGTTGTAATATTAAATAGTATTCTTGATGATTTACAAACTTTAAAATTTCTTTAATCTAATGCATTGATAACATTAAATATTGAAACCATTGTTTAGGTAAGATTTAATACATTTTACATTGAAGCCAGCAATATATTTAAAAACAGTTCTATAAGTTGTGTGATGGGGGAAAAAAATCCCTGTAAGGAATTTCTTTCGACCAATTAATTTGCGACAGGTTTGTAAGTCAACTTAAAAGAAGTAAAGTCACTCAAAAGCAAAGATGCAAATATATTATATACATATATATATATATATATATATATATATATATATATATATATATACATATACATATATATTTAGATAGATACAGATTTTTTTATATGTGTGTGTGTGTATATATATATATATATATACTTAAAAAATATATATATATATATCTAGGTAGATAGATATAGATATTTTTTATGTATGTATATATATATGTATGTATATAAATATATATATGTTTTGCTGCATGATTAGAGTTTGTGTAAAAAGTAACCACAAGATGGCAGTGTGGATCAAGTTATAGTCATCTCTCTTTAAACAAGGTGTTAATTTTCTTTATGGGTGAATACAGTATGTTACACACCACTTTGATACCAGTGCTTCAACTTTAGTGTGTGCATAAATGAGCAATGATGACACCCTGCTTATACCCGACTGTCTCCAGTCCTCAGAACTTGTAATGACAAAGCATGCACGGTGTGACTCACTGACGTAAAAGTCACACCTCTGTCATGCTCAGCTGCAACATTAACAAATCAAATAGGACTCAGAGAGCTACAGCTGTTCTTTCATCTATTCTGTCTTTGATATGACGCCAGCCTGTGATATCTGACATTTTGAATGTAGCACTGCAAATAGCTCGGGGCAAGACATTTTTGGACAGGCCCAGACAAAGGAACGGCAGTGGTGTTGCAATGGTACACTTAAACCCTTGATTCCACTTTTAATGCACAGCTATAAATATTCCACCAGCAAAAACCTGTCGTGCTGTAGGCCCAGCAGCACCCAGGGTATGCAGTCTAGGATAGGCATATACTATTAATACTGGTGATGCTAACGCGTCCTACCCCATGAAATGCTCCCACGTGAAACATAGTGTTTGTCTCCTCTTTGAAGCAGCTTTATTCAGGGAGCACAGCATGTTTTTATGATTATGAATTAATAATGGGTTTGGTTCCTACAATATTGATTGTGACAAACTAAGTACAGATTGCTGGGACAACAAAGCCGTCCTCGGGCTGCTTTGCGGTCTGAGGGTTGTCTGTGAAGCCTTTGTTATGTGTGTGGAGGCAGAAGCCTAAAAGGATTCCCCCCGTGTAAACTACACTCCCCTGGGTTGAGCCCGTGTTGCTACTGTACACAAATCATCTTGTCGTGCCGCTTCATGCTCTCACGTCTCACAAAGTAGTTCCTGGTAGGAATCTGGAGGATTCACAGCGGGGTGAAAAATGAAAAGATAACATGCAGCAGCTCATGCTTTATGTCTGATTGATGCCAGGAGGGATGTTTTCTCCTGTAAGGTGTACATGAAAAGAGCCTGTGCAGCTCTCTGAGGCCCATCTATAGTGAATAATCTGATAGGCAGAGGTAGCACACCTGAATACTAACTAAATGTGAGCCCTTTTTAGGGGGCAGGGGCTGCAGGTTTTCTATTCCTACCTTAGTTTGCACTGCAGTCCAACACTTAACTCTAAGAATAATTCACAAACTTGAAAACTTATGAGGTTCATTACTTAAAAGTCACACAAACAAAGAGTCTCTACCATCTCTTTGGACTTTCCAATTTGTTCTAATTCTAGGTCACTCTTTACGGAAACAGACAAGTGAGCGTCATTCAATGCCTGTGAAAGGATGTGTGTCACTAAGTGCGCAATGGGTGATGATATTTTAGGTGCTTTTATGAATCACTGAGGGAACAGGAAGCTGGTGATAAGTTTGGAAAAGTCCTGGTTGAATACTAAGAAGTGGTCCAAAGATTATGGACCCAATTGAAACACTGGTTTAATTTTATTTTTGCAAATAGGGGAGAGTGGGGTCAGTTGAGTCACCTCCTGTTGCTTGGAAATGGTAAAAGAAATTGATCATGTGACCAAATATTTAGTAGATGGGTATCAATTCATGGAGTCTGTGAAGGTTAGAAGCACATGTGTGAAGGGGTTAGAAATTTATTTCCAATAAAAAAACATTTTTCACTCTTGAAAGTGAATTTAGTCTGTCATAAGTTTTATTAGAATTGTGTTCAGACCAAAAAAGATCATTTTAAATTTGTTTTATACATCAATTGTGGTATCTAAGTCCGCCATTTTAGCTTAGAGGACTAATAAAGTCATAATAGTGGTTCTGGGGTAAGTTAAGCCAGTGGCTCAACTGAGAAAGTGAAGAAGTCTGATGGGAGGATCAGAGTTTCAGTTCAGATTGTTTAAATGTTTGACTTTTTCTTTTCAAAAATACAGCTGTGAATGTTCTGAATCACTTAAAGACATTCTTATGTTAAAATGACTTTTTACAAAACAGCTTTTTAGCAGTTATATGAAATAATAATAAAAGGAATTAATGAATGTGAAGAAGTGACTGTTATTTAGGGAGAGAGAAGGTGAGGAAGGGCTGGGGTGGAGAGTTGGGGGGTAGCAGGGATACGGCTCAACTTACCCCACTACTATGGTCAACTTACCCCATACACAAGGGGCTATACTATCAAGACAGTTAAGTTTAAACTCATTCTGTTGGTTTGCAGGGATGCACATCTTGAAATATATGCAGATACACTCGTTAGAGACAATACTATGATCGCCTTAATGTAGTGATCCAAAATTTGAAATCTTACCCCGCTCTCCCCTATATGGGAACATAAATGTACCGATCTGTGTAGGTTTAATGAGAGACTGTTGCCAAAATTGCATATATGCATAACAAACACATACAGAGAGCCAGGTTTAATGACAGCAGGTTGTTTAATGACAAACTAAAATTGCATATTGAGAATGTGTCCTTATGTTGTTAAAGTATTAAGCTGTCATTTATTGTATTTAAAACATAAACACAGTAAACAGTAAGATGCTTTGCTGATGAATACCAACCAAGTCAAGAGTGAAGGCCCCAAACCCACTTTGCACTCTACCTGTGCACGTTATTAGTGTATTTGCCTGTGTGTGTGTGTTCACTGTGGATGCAAGTTCGCGAAAGCCAGCCCCCTCCATACACGTGTGCACGTCACCTGCAGATTTGCAGGTTTTCAACACCACGGTGCACCTATGCGTGATTGTCCGCTTGTCAGCTAATCAAGATAAAGCGCCGCATTTGAACTGTGCAGAGGTGAAAACCGAGCGAATAGAGTGAGTATGATTGAGGGGAAATGGATGAGTGCAGTGATAAGCGGAGCTGCCTGGGCCCTGACAGATACACACAGCAGATGGATGACTCTTATCTGGGAGATCACAGAGTGCATACTCACGCCTAGGCCCAGTTACACATAGCTACGATCACACCAGACAGATGAATAGGCCTACCCCCCACCAATCACATTGCACATACAGTACACACATGGGTGCACGCGCACACCTACACACAACCACTTGACAGAGTGAACAGATTGCAGCTCCTGCTTTACCTTCATGACTTTGACATTGAAATTCACCTGGAGTCCAGTGTCTCAAGGATGTGCTCAAAGGCAGCAGAAAGGAAGGGTGTTGAGGGAGATAAGAGAAATCGTTTTTATTTTAATTGAAGCTGCAGAGCATGTACATGCCGTGTGTATCTGTGAGTGTGCGTGCACGCGTGTGTTTCAATGTGAATCCTAAGGCTGCATACTAACACTGTACACATGTAGGTTGGCATTCAAATCTGATAACCATGAAAGTACATCTTGCACTCTTGCACTGTTTCAGCTTTTCAATTGAAGCTTCAGAGCCTGGATATGTCCATTTGAAAGTGTGATTTATTTGTGCATCTGTATCCAATGTCTTTATATCCAGCATGATTGATTTGTCTCAAATATTGTCTTAACCAAAGCTACACGACAAAGAGAGAGGAGCTCAAATATCATTACAGTATTTTACTTGAGGACAGTTGAACAAACATGGAGGATTTGACCACAACAGTAGTATATTGAGATATACCCACTGAGCATTTTTTGGTCTAAAAGAGGTCTAATAGACGTCTAAATGTAGCCTAGATGACTAGTCTAAAATCTGGCCACCACAGGTCTAAAAATGAAAGTTTTTTAGACATCTAAATTTAGTCCAAGTTTAGAGATAAGTTATGCAACTCACAGTTGCTTTTTGAAATAAATAGTTATCGAATAACGGGTTAAAGTGCAACGTCTTAATTCCGTCTAAAAAATACAGAATCTAGTTGGTTGAAATTAGGTCTAAAAAGAAGCTAGACGTCTAATAGCCGTCTATTGCTCGGTGGGTAGTTGCCTCCTCAAATGAGCTTTTTTAACCTTTTAAATGTTTAGTTTAATTGCTTAATGTCATTTTCTTGATCTTACATGTTTTTAATACCTTGGACACAGCGGTCTGACATTTTCTTCCAGATTCAAAATTCTGACCCCTATGCTTTGTTTCCACTTACCTAAGGAAGGAGGTGAGTCAGCTGGAAGTCTATTCATTTCTATGGGAATCCCCTCTGTAATAATCTGGTGCAGCATCTACCTTGAGTATGTTTATAAAAAAACCTGGACCTCTGTGTTCGCTTAGCTGTTTACTTGCTCTCAGGTTTTTCCCCTTAAATTCAGTCGTCGATGTTGATTATGAAGTGGGTTTGTATGATTATAAGGGACTTGTTTATCTAGATTTAACACATAATGAATCTAAGAAATTTCATTCTGTAAAAAATTATAGTCATATATTATCCAGACTGTCTTTATCATTTTGATCTAAAACAGATCTCAGTTAGCTCCAAGTCGTTTCTATCTCGTTAGTAGTACTTTTACACATTTACCAACACCAGTATCTGAAGAAAGTGGCACGAATGTGATTAAATCAAAGGTTAAAATGGCACTCAAGTGAAAAAAAGCATTGTGGACATGACTGTTAACCTCGATTTCTTAGAGCATTTTTCCAAACCCCTGACAGATTTATCATCCAAGACATAAAGACTATACTTTCACTAACCCTCCTTACATCCTCAGTGTCCTCTTTTTCATGTACAGTAACCCTCCCTCCCTCTCCTTCTCACTCTCCTTGTTATTTGGAAAGAGCTCTTCTTCGACAGCTGTTGATTCTCCCAGCTGCATTTTATAGCGAGGGAGAGTGCCAGTCTTGTCTTCAAGGCAGATGGTGGCTGGCTGGCTGGCTGGCCAACTGGACACGTGGCATGTTGGACGACTCCAGACGGTGCTCCATCTCAGGGAGGCTTCAGCTACAGTTCTCTTGTATGTCTGTAAAAAAAAAACCTGCAATCACCTCACATCCAGTATAGTGAGAGCAGGAGAGCAGAGCAGGCGAGCTGTAACTGGAATGTGCGCCACGTATGCGCCCTTCACGTTGAAGATGTTTTCCAAAGTAGCTCTCCTTTGATAATCACCAGTGTGTGAAGTACCTGGATGTCACACACACACCTGTTCCCTTTGTGCTTATCTCGCATTTTGATGTTTACATTTTTTCCTGACCCGTAGGATAATAATTAGGAGGCTTATGTGAGAGGTGCTCTGGTTGTAAATAGAGAAAATAATCCTGGGGAATAATTCTACCCTTATTTTCTCCAACCTACAATTTCCCCTCAGGGTCAAGGTAGTCCACCCCTGCGTGCGTTGGTGACGCCCTAAACTCGCTTTTCTCTAACAGGCATGTTCAAACACTCTTCAATTCATCAATAAACTCTTGAAAAGACCATCAGAAGCTCAAATAATGGGTTGTTTTTCCTCGAGGGGACAATCCTCTGGCCCTAGCGTTGTCATGATTGATGTGTCTGTGGGCCTGGGATTTATCCGGAGCCTTTGCTTGGCCTACGGGGATAAATGTCTACCTCCCATTTCATGTTACCTATCCATTAAAAGAGGAGATCCTCTTGACAGAGCTTTTTGTGGACCAGAAAAACAGACTCTGTGTTTATTTTCTAATCCTACGCTGTCTGTCTCCATGATACAAAAATCCATCCATCATGTTGGGGTCCTGTTTGGACACTGCTTCCTGCTCCTCGTGCGCACGTACACAGGAGCAAAAATACCCATTTCACCGGTGGGTGAAGGGTTGTTGCTATCATGTCGGCATGCAGAGGCAGTGGTGGGTACATGCTGGTCAGATAAGACCGTGGGATGTACAGTAAAGAGATATAAACCGGTGAGAGGTGCTTTTGAATGGGTGAGCTGGTCAGAGTACTTGTGTACTTGGCCAAAGTTGAGAGCGTGCGGAAACCTGAACTTGGCACACGCTTCTGAGTCATTTCCTCAGCTGGAAGCAGATAGATGCCTCCTGTGGGGCAGGAAACAAAGACTCCCTCCTGGACACATCATCTTGTCACTCCAACGCCTGCAGATTACATTTGGCTGATACCCAGCTTGAGATAAGGTCGCTGCTTACACACTCAATGAGTCAAAGCTGAGAATGCAGGTTAAAGGTTTGATTAAAAAAAACAGATGACCACAGTACTTGGACTTGAGTATTAAATAAACCTTTTTAATACATATCTATAATAAGTTTGAATGTTAATCGTGATTATTTATTGTAAGCTGGTTCAGGGTACAAGTACGAGCTAAAGGCTCTGAAAGCTTTGTTAGTCTGAATGTGAACCTTGCCAACAGTATATAAGTTAGCTTTTGAGATCAAAGTATATGTTAGTTAGAAAAGCTGCACTTTAAAGGGATATTTCGGCGCAAAATTAATTTAGAGTCAAACACATCGTAACACCGAGCTAGACACCGTCTTGAGAGATGTTAGTTGCCGACCGCTTGCTTCCCTAGTTATACCAACTTTAGTGACGACTGCATGATAGCAATACACAGCAGTCTGAGGAGCCATCAACAAACCTCAACCAAAAGGCCACTCTATAGCCACAAATAATGCTCAGAGCAGCACCTAACTTCATCAACAGTACAAATCAGGCAAAGTTAAAAAGATGTTTGGTGGCTAGTACTGTGGCTAGGACCCTGTATGTACTGTTGATGAAGTTAGGTGCTGTTCTGAGCATTATTTGTGGCTATAGAGTGGCGTTTTGGTTGAGTGTGTGGCTCTCTGTACTGCTATCATGCGGTCGTTATTAAAGTTTGTATAACTAGAGAAGCAAGCGGTCAGCAACTTTCATCTCTTGAGGTGGTATCTAACTCGGTGGGTTTGACCCTAAATTAATTTTTCTCCGGAATATCCCTTTAAGGTAGGGGGGAAGTGCTTAGCTCACCAACTATAGCGGCTATAAATTTGCAGTAACTGCATGAGCTTAAATTTACGATAACACTTGTTGCATCAAACAGTAATTTTATCTTCATTCTTTCTTGGTCAGAAGTGATAATAAATGACAGTATTGGACTGGTATGTGTACTCACTCTTACTGTACAGTCTGATGGTGATTCTGGTATTAGTATAACTCCATCAAAGTTACAATCTAAACCCTGTGAGGCCTGCCAGTAACTGCCTCCCTCCGTGACCTTTTACACACTGACACACCACATTGCCTCATGTGTTTAGCCTATCCTATTTTACTATCTGGCTGGGAATACATTCACTCCTTTTTTTCTGGTGTCTATAGAGCACCACAGTGCGTCACAGCCCACCACAAAGCCAGTAACGATGAGCCCTGAAAGCTGTTTTAATTTCAAGCTCAAGGCTCCTGTGAGCAGGATGGATGTCCTTTACGTCCAGTCCTCCCCCCCTCTCGTTGCTTTGTCACTGTTGTCATGAGTGCTGGAGCCAGCCCCAGAGGAATCCCAGGAATCTTTTTTGGGCTGACCTGGCTCTCATGGTGACACTGTCCGAGGGGCAGCCCCGGCTCCTCTTTGATAGTGTATTTCAGCCCCTGCATCAAGTATAAGAATAGTCTGCAGCCCTGCTGAAGCATGAATGACATTTGTATAATACGGAGGCCAAGAACCGCCACTGCTGCAAATAAAAGAGAATGCAAAAAAAAAGAAAAAAAGAAACCACAATGGAAGTTACTGATGCAAATAAAAAGAAAAGAAAAGAAACCAAAGCCCGCTGCAAATAAAAAAAGAAACGGTGCAGATAAAAAAAAAAGGGGTGAAAAAAGTTACAAGTTGCTCACTGCCAAAATAAAAGGATGCAAATAAAAAAAAGCCACAAAGGAAGTGAGCTGCCGGGGACCAATAATGATGATGCACCGGTGTTTTATGATAACATGACCTAACCAAATTACTAATTAGAGAGTTAACAAAGCGAAATTCAACAATAACCTTTCCACTTACGTCTTTGTTCGTCTTCTCGCCGTCGTTGTCTGTGCCTAGATCGCGAAACACCGGTGCATCATCATTATTGGTCCCCAGCAGCTCACTTCTGTTGTGGCTTTTTTTATTTGCATTCTTTTGTTTTTGCAGTAAGTAACTTTTTTTTTTCATCGCCACTTTTTTTTTTTGCATCGTTAACTTCCGTTTTTTTTTTTTTATCTGTACCGTTTCTTTGTTTATTCTTCGGTTTCTTTTTTTTTTTTTTTTGCATTTATAACGTCTTTGTGACTTTTTTTTTTTTTTGCATAAAAAAAGTAACTTTTTTTCTCCATCAGCACTATTTTTTTTTTTTTTTTTGCTCCCGCTGTGGCTTTTTTATTTGCAGCAGGCTTCGGTTTCTTTCTTTCTTTTTTTTGCATCAGTAACTTCTGTTGTGACTTCTTTTTTTTTTTCAGCACCCTTTCAATTTTTATTTGCACCGGACTTCAGTTCCTGCTTTTTTTTTTTTTTTTTTGCATTAGTACATTCCGTTGTGGCTTCGTTTTTTTGCATTCTTTTTTAATTTTTTATTTTTCCATTGCCACTTTAAAAAAATTTTTTTTTGCATTAGTAACTTCTGTTGTGATTTTTTTTTTTTTTTTTTTTTTTTTGCCGCAGTGGCGTTTCTCGGCCACCGTAGTAAAAAGCTACGGCTACATGTGCCAACTGATCTGTTCAGCTCAAATAAACTTCCCTCAATATAAAAGCATTTTGAATCAGAGAGGCGCACACACCAGCAGCGACAGGGTTAATCATACCCATATGGTGTACCGAGGGGTTTGGTCCAATGCTGCTGTGGGCCAACAGGAGAGGAAAGGCAGGGTGGGGGCAGAACAGAAGGGAGAGGACAGCAGGGCAGACTCTCTCTCCCCACACCTGCACCTGGTCACTTGATTCACACTCAAACTCAAGGATCAGCGGACCAACATCTTCCCCACATCCAGGACACGGCTGCTCCAATCCGGGCGTAAACTTTTTGGAAAGAGTGGAAGACGCGTTCAGGGATCAGCTGTGTTTTTATGAACGTTTTCATTGGAGAAATCAGCCGATTTGAGAGCGACTGATTAGGCTTTGTTGTTTTCATTTTTTTCTTTTTTTCTCTCCAAGGGATTTTTTCAAACCTATCGGATTGTTTTAAGCCTGCGCAGAGCCGCTCCTGCTTCTCCTCCTGCTGAAGGAGATTTTCAGACCCAGCTCCGAGACACCAACGTGGGGGAATGCAGCGTTAACATCCCCGCAAGTTTGTGGACCTCAAACGCGTATCGAGAAAGTCCGAATCTAAAGGTAGGACATTTAACCTCCCTCTGGTTTAACTTTTAACTCCTGTTTAGTTACTCTGTCACTCTGAATGCTATTAGACTGAAGTCCTGGACACATTTGCTCGGCTCCTATTTCTGGATGTTGAGTTCACAGGTAAGAGCGCACTCCCCTCTATATACGAAGAAAAGCACAAGGTTATCGAAATCCTGTAATTATTTCCCTTCAAAGGGACACCCTGTGTTTTCACAGCTGAACTTTAATCTGATCTGACGGTACCACCCAGCTCAGAAAACCAGCAGAAATACCGTCATACAGGGAAATAAGTAGCCTATGGTCAGGCCATCATGCATGAAGCCCTACAGGCACGTTATTTGACTGGAGTTCCTGACTGAGCATGGAGGAGATTTCATGGGTGTGTGATGTTTGGATTGTTTTTCTTATTAAATCTAAATGAAGGTGACTGAAATATGATTGATTTTAATCATGCTAAGATAGATCTGCACATCTATTACCCTGTTGCTTTGACATGAGCTGAAATTGTGTCTATTTTTCTCTGATTTAGTTCATTTGTTGACATAATTCATCATCATATAAGAGTGTAATCTCTCTAGGGTTGTTTTTGATTGTGTTTTTTGCTTTCTGCAGCTCCATGTGCATTTATTTTTTACACCCATTGTGCATATTTGCATTATTTTACATCCAATATGAGTCCCATTATCTGACCCTTTTTACAAACAAAACTTCAGTCATTAAAGTCACACACGTTTAACAGATAATACACAATCAGACACAATCTGTCAACAATTTTTAGAAAATACGCCACAATTGCATCGATCAGGAGTCGTATTTTCTGTTTCCAGTGACCAGCAGATATCAACAGTGAGTCTGTTTGATGGGAGGAATTGAGATCAAGCTCCCCCGGTGAGCAGATATATGGCAACTGTGTGATGATGCCAGGAAGCCTGCGAGGCGTTCCCCCTGGCTTCTGTTTTCAATTTCTAAACATTCAGGCATGCCAGTCATTTTCACTTTTATTGCGATGTTCATATTTTTCAAGGGAACATATTTTCATATAATGTGGCGCGCGTAAATCCTCGTGTTATTGTGAAACCAAATGAAATCATTTTGCGAAATCTCTCACTTGTTTTTCCGCACGAATGCCTTCTCTCCCCCCACCTAAAAGCCCTCGTTTTTCCAGGCTTGTACCTTGTGCCACCGGAGGCCGAGGCTTCGAGGATGCCATGAGGGGAGAAAAAATAAAGGAGAGCCCGCTGGGATGGCTTATAGGCCGAGCAAAGCACACCTTCAGGGAGACAATTTAATGGATGTTGTGGACTCAGCTTTTAGTATTCATAATTTATATGGGATCCTCTTCAGCAAAGTGCAGATGCATAATGAATGCTTGAGTTAAGGTCTAACAGTTGGGCCACGTTTCAACACCCCTAAACTGTCAGAAATTGTTTCAGCGAGGACTACCTGTTTCTTTGAACTGTCATGTATTTCACTCGTCAACTCCTGGAAGAAAGCTGACGTGCTTTGTTGAAAGAGAAGCAGACGGAATTACTGATGGGCATCAGAGTCTTTCTTTAATCATTTCTCTATAAAAACACAGATAAATACATGTCCAAGAAAGCAAAACATGTTCGAGAGCATGTACAAGAGGACGAGGAGACATTAATCACCGTTTTTTCAGACTTTTTTTTCCGTGTGCATGTGCCCTTAAATGCTATTTTGCAGTCTCAACACATACCTCACTACATTTACACTTTAAATAAATAATAGGCCTGTCATATTTTCCAGAGCAGGTGTGAAGATTTGGACGTTGTTCTGTCCTGCCAAACTATACGTCTCCCCTCAGAAGGCTGCAGGCCAAACTTCTGATCAGAGAGATCAGAGGAAAAGTAGAAAAGAGAGACAGAGGAAGAGAGGGAGAGAGTCTCTTTCCTGTCCGTCCTTCTTTTTCTGTCTCCCATTTCTCATGGGGCACTCTGTAATAATAGTTCATTCCTCTTTCTTTTTTCTCCTCCAGATTTAGATCTCTGTGGGCTACCTGCATGACTGTTACCATGACAGCATCTGGAGCCCGACTCCTCCTGTTGGCCTTGTGTGTTTACAGAGTCTCGGCCCTGCAGCAGTCTGCTCCGCGGGTTCGCCTCTCCTTCAAAGGTGAGCTCACACAGATTAACCAAAACTCCTCTGACAGCGCCGATTGTCATCATTTCTCTTACTGGTTTCCCACGCACACACACACACACGCGCGCTCTCGTCCACACCGACGCGCTCGTTTCCTCTTGTTACATATGTAAAGAACGTGTTTCCTGCCTCATGTCAAACAGTACAACACTGAAAACAAAAGGTGGATGTTACGTGTGGTGAGTTACTGGTTTTGCCCTTCCACCGAGTTGCTACCCACACCCTCGAGGCAGCACACACTGCTCTGGACCTACTGTACGTCTCCTTCTTTGTTTTTGATGTCTGACATGATGACACAAGAAGGAAACACCTGAAACTTGATCAGCGTTGCAAAATGATACTTCAGATCTGTAAAGTTTTGGCCGCAGGGTAGAAAAAGGGGCCGGATGATGGTTTTAAGAGCCTTTTTTGAAGCTGTTCAGGATTTCCCCGCGTGCCCATTAAAATCCAACAGCAACGTCTCGTGTTGCAGATATTTGGATGACACCTTTGATCTAAACAATGCGACATGATTACAGTTATTCCTGCATCCCCATCATGCTGTCACTGCAAGTACAAATGTCACACCTGAAGTACCTGTAAGTGAGAATTAGAGGTGCGAATCAGATTGATAACATTCTTTGGTGCTTTCATGTGGGGGTGAGTCAAAAAATGTGGTCTAGAGTCAGGTCTAGACAACATCAACATGTTTGGTGTCTTATCTTGTTCAGCTACAGTCGTGTTTTTCTTCTTTCGGCAGTTCTTTATTTAGAAAATGGTTGACAGGGATATACTTTTACAAACAAAATCAGAGCAGCCACTGAGATAAAGTCCTGTCAGGAGCTTTGCAGCAAACATACAGCAGGACTCAAAGAGTTTTCACACTTTAACATGATGGGAGACGTTTTAGTAAGCCGTCAAGATTATGAAGCAGATAATTCAGAGATAAAGAATCTGTGTGTACATGTTTTATACATCCGTGCACGTTTCCCTGCATTCTTGTGGTCGACAAAGTACACAGCTTCATTACTTCAGTCGAGACTCTTGGTCAAATATTGCTTAAATACATGTGCATGTTGCTCAGTCAGTCAAATTATTTCTAGTTAAAAAGGTCCTTTGAGGCTTTTTTTATATTAATAAGATAGACTGAAATTTATACTGATGCCCTTTTATGACCTACAAAAGCAAACAGTACAACTTCAGCATGTACAAAACAAAATAATAAAGACTGCTTTGTCCACAGGGGCTCTCAAGATATATAATATGCAAATAAACTAGTATATTTACAAATATTTAATATGCAGAAAATACTCAAGTCAAGCACAGACTCTCAAAACTGTACTTAAAACTCCTGTAAGGAACTTTAGGTTTGCTCTGATTTTGGCGCCCCCTGTGGACAACCTGATACTTATTTTTCTCATATAGATAAGTAAGGAGCTTTTTTTGTATTATGGGTCTCACTTTGCTTTCCTATAAGGGTCACAGATGACTCTTGAGAATCTTTACTGTAAAAATTATGCATAAAGAAGTAAAGTGTGCAGATGACCAGCTGGTCTGGCATCAACCCTGGAAACAGTTACAGGAACACATAATTACAATATGAAAAATATGGACTGACTGATTGATTTATTGACTGATAATTTGGCCGATACGAGTCCGATTGATGGTATTTTGACATAATCGGCATTGTCCCTCATAAGGCTTATATAACTATAATCTTTTCCATATAAAACACATATTTTACATCACAGATGAGTGCATATCAAATCTGAAACATACATCTGACAGATATGTCTGCTGTAGCATAACCCAATATTTTTTATACTTTATGACTTAATTTGAAACATCTACAACATGTTGCTGGCTAGGATAACCAAATATATCCTTTTGATATGCCTGAAACAAAAGATTTATATGTGACTTTCTTTCTTTTTTTTTGTCTTTATAATTTCAAATAGCTGGACAGAAATTGCAGAATCTCTTGTGGCAATATTTTACCGAGCCAGATATTTTGTTGTCTTCATTTGTTGGATAAAAAACCCTCAACTTCAGAAGTTTTATTTCTCTTTTTTTTAACAATATCATCAATTTGATATCCGCATTATTTATCAGCCACACTGCTCACACAGTATCAGTATCAGTATCGGCCATTGCAAAACTGATATCAGTCGAACACTAATGAAAACAGTGCTAATGGTTTTGTCAGCTTTTGTAGGTCATACATAGAGAACAATAACATTTTTCACAGTCTGATTCATAATCAGATAAAAACTCCTCATATAATGCTCTTGTTAATTAACATGGTAACTATATTCACTGACACGTCTATACATACACATTCACACTCACACAGACTCATGTAAAAGCACAAAGATCCTAGTTTGCTGCTCGTCTTTAGGCCACAGAACTGTGAGTTGAATCACCAGAAAGAAAAAGGAAAAGAAATTGCAAGTTTTCTTTTTCGTAAAACTCAAATGAGAGGGACATCTGATGCAGATTAGAGGTGAGCTGATCATGAGATGTGTCATTGCTGTTCTGAATTAAGCTGATTTTGTGCGACTGAAAACAGCTGCCTGCACGGCGCTGTGTGTGGTTGACGTAAATGACAACGGCTCCATTCGAGTGTGTAATTTCAGCACATTCTTATATGAACTTAAACACTAATCCCCTTTCCGTAAACAGCTTATACACACCCGTGTTTTTTTTTTTTTTTTTTTTGGTAGCTTGGTGCCGAACGTAACAGCCTGACCAATTACACAAGTTCGGTCTTGAACTTGGTGTGTTCCTCCCTGTGTGAGATACAAGAATTCATATCCGCCCAGACTGATAAAGTTTCTCTCTCGGAGCATCTGTCCAATTTTTTTTCAGATTGTTGATAAAGTTTGCAGCCACTTTGAATGACTCACTCACCCTTTCCCCCTGAAGTGAACAAACATACGAAAAAAAAAGAAGTTGGATTTACTGGCCGAGCGTTTTCTGCCACCCCAAGGATTGATTGTTCATTGTTTGTGACACCGGGTCTCTTTGTTCCCCCGAGGCGCCTGTGGAGGAGGTTTTTTGGGGCGGCTGTAGGGCATGTGACTTCTCTGAACGAATGGGCCGGCATGAGTGACACTCCAGAGGATACAGATCTAGCATTGTTTCCTCTGTCGCTGGGAAGTTGTGTCACATAGATGCACTTCAAAGGGCTTCCCTCAGTCTCATTTGATAGAATTAGTCAGCATCGCCACACAGCAAAAAAGTGCGGCGTAATTAGAGCCTCGTTTGAGAATCCCAGGCCCTCGCAGCGCCGTCGACGGTTTACTCATACTCGAGATAGGCCGAGGACTAAACTAGAGTGGTCATTAGAGCCTCAGTGACAATATGTTGTCAAGTTGTAACCCGAGAGCTTACAATAGTGAGCTCCGTGCTCGAATTGTACGTCCTTCCCAGTGTTTCCCTGTCAGTGTCACTATGCTGTCAGGGGATAAGTGTTAGCTGAATGTTTACCAGATGATGGCAGTACATTGTTTGCTATTTTTAGAGGATGGAGACATGTATAGGGGTGTGGTGTTTCTACATTTAGCCCCCACTGTGAATCCACTACGGCCCAGTGGAGCCCATCCAGAGGCTTGTTATCCTGTGTTTACCTCTCAGGAACAAGACCGGACCCCCCGTTCCCACCTCTTCGGCTCCATGTCGTGTCGTCCGGAGATCCGATTGCATAGCTTATTTTAGTCACACCTTGACTACATCCTGTTAACATTGACCTCAAAAGGAAGATGGCCGGCACTTTGATGTAAATAAAGATTGTGCTTCCTGCCGAATCCCTGTAAGCCGGCTTCTGAGGGGTCTCTGCGAACATTTGTCATTTTATAAGCCGGCTGTCTCTACCAGACCTACAATGTGCCCCAGAGTGCAAACATGACTCTGTACATGTGTCTGGGTGCTGCGTTTTTGTGTTTTTAAATGGAGCAAAAGAACGGGGGGGAACAGAAGAATGGAAAAAGTCACATTCAGAGGCAGAGTGCAGCACGCAGCCCTCTCAGCAAATGAAAATTGTTCAATCAAAGCTTTCAGGAGAACAAAAAAAAAAAAAAACAGAGCAGAAACATTTTCCACTGCGGCGTGTCTTAACAGGTTCTGCTCTGCTGAACACAATCCTGATCTTAAGAATTAGCAGCGAGTTCCACTGACCGTGTTCCCTGAGGGACCTGCATTTTCGCCCAACTCGACAGGGCACGTGGTGCCTTAAACTCAATCACACAGGCAGGACACATGAAATATTCAGATCTTAAAAGCGAATATGTTTCTTAAAATGCACCACGTTGAGTTATATTTAATCAGTGACACACATTTTCCAGAAAAAGAAGTGAGAAGGGTGTTGTTAAAGGGGGGCACAAGTTCATCCAAGTCAGTGATGAAGCGTGTTAGAGGAATAGATGATGTGAAAGGTTTGCAGAGCTTACCTCTGCTCCCTCTGCTGTTACTTATTTTAACCAAATCTTTATATTGACGGCCTGCTTAAGCTTTCAACACTAGGTGCATGATGGGTAAAAGTCAGGCCAAATCAGGAGATCTGCACAACTTGGACTTTTTGTTCTGTCTCAAATATCAAACAAAACCGATGCGTGCTGTTTGTTTCACCAGAGAGAGAAAAAAAAACAAGTGTGAGATTCTCTGACTTCAAATAGTCTGGTAATAATCTTGGCGTGTGCGATAGGGGGAATTATCTTGGACAGCGCAAGCACAAAGAAAAGATGGAGATGATTATATTTACAAGCAGCGCTGCACAAGAAAACAGCTCTTTACTCGGGGTTAGTGTGTGATCTGAGTGAGCAGAGAGGACGTCTCTGTTAAAGGCTCATTTTACTTATCTGTGTAGAGCACTTTGTAAGAAAGCATCCTCATAATAGGAGCTGTAATGTGTGTTGATTAGTTGTTTAATTTGATCCCTTTTATGGTTTTGAAATCAGTCCCAGGTATTTGCACTTGGGCGTGGTTTACGGTTCAGGTGTGAGGCAGTAACATGCCCACTTAGTCTGAAGTTTTAAGTCCTTAAAAAATAAGGTCAAACGTGTCTTCACTGCTGCTGCAATTAAAAAAAAAATCATTTTCAGGATTTATTGACTTAAAGTGTGGAGAAACATGTGCGGTAAAGCAAACAGGGAGCGTGAGGATTAGGTGTGTTAGTGCAGCAGAGGGTCAGAGGGAGCAAATGAAGGGAAGCAGCAGCTTTAACGAGCATTAATGAGCATTAACAAGTGCAAACAAGCTTATGACTACATGGCTTAACTGTGTATGACTCAGAGGTTTGATCATTTTGAAGACTCGGTCACATAAGCTCACGTCTCTCTGTTTTTAAAATGAGGGCAAAAATGTGTGTAAGTAGGTTACATCTGCAGCTACACTCTCATTTACTGTCCATTATATGTCCAGTTTAATGAACACAGCTACCTTTGTGTTAAATAAAAAGATGTTTATATTGGACCTCCATAAACTATCTCGTCCCAGGGGTCTGTTTGCACACTTCAACATAAACTGATCAGACTCTAAACCGGTCGTGTCTTTTGTTCTGTGCAGAATTTATTCGAGGATGTGGTGTAAGAGGACTCTGTAATGAAACTCCATTAGATTTTAAAGCTGCTCTTAACTGCAGATAGAAGAGAAAGGATGATTGTAGTCGATTGAATACAATCGTAAACACTTATAAATGTCCCCAAGTGTATTGACGCTTTTCTCTCTCTGGCTTTGAAAGCAAATAGGATAGCTGCCAAATTTCAGTCGAATGTCATTAAATAGGGGGAAACCTGGATTTTATCACAATTTAATGTAAATTTTATAGGTAGATAAAGTTGGCAGAGATGACAAAGGGTAAATAAATGATTTTGACTGCTTAAAATCTAAGAAGATTGAATTATCCATGTAATTATTCTCTCTTTATTCTTATGTACTTTGCATTTTCCTTCGACAAATAGGCTGCTGGGGTTAAGGCGCGCTTACATCTGTGACTCGTTCAATTATTGGTGCGGTTTGAGTGTTAAAATGTGGTTTATTGTTCCAAAAAATAAAAGAAAACACTCTGATCCAGGTCCAAAACTTTTGCCTTTAAATGTAAAAATGATGCGATGAAATAAGGTTAAAACAGGGTGAGCGAAACGGTCAAGAGAAAATGATCAGAGCTTACTACAAACCTGTTGTCTGACTACACCAAGAAAAGGACGGTACAATTTAAGAGGGGTTTATATTTTTAAAACAGATAATAAAGCAAGAACAAATGTGAAAGCTAGATGTGTTTCAGTTTGGGGAGTTAAGCAATGGAATAACCTTAATGATGGGTTAAAATTGTGTAACTCACAGGTAATATTTAAAAAAGCATTAAAAAGCAAAATAATTCAGGAGTACATACAGCTTTGAGTAAGACATTTTCTTTAATTCTTTGTGGGTTTTTTTTCCTTTCGTAGTGCAACATATTATTTTAATGTTTTCTTTTTAATATTAAAGTGTCTTTCTTTTTTTTTTATCTTATTTCAACATTATCAACTGTTTTAGATATTAAAATGATGTTATAAGGATTGTAAAGGATAGGTAATTATAAGCATTGTGCTTCCGCCTAATCCTTTTTTTGGTCAAGTTTATAATTCTGTTTGTTTCTCATTTGTTGTGATTGTGACCAAAAATAAAACCATTCATTCATTCATTCATTCATTTAAACAATGCGCCAAACATCCCAAAACCGCACCAATCAGTCACGATCCCTGGAAGTGACATATAGTAAAAAATCAGACTTCCAACAAACATATTTCTGCTCCTACAATGCGGGTCTTTCTGCTTTTTTTCCTGCCTGTAATAAAGCTTCGACTGAATATTAAATCTGCCTCCTTTCTCACACAGAACTGATGGACACAAAAGCAGCTCGGCCCTTCAGCTTCTCCTTCAACACCAGCGATTATCGCATCCTGCTGATGGATCAGGATCAGGGCCGTCTGTACCTGGGCAGCAGGGAGTACCTGGTGGCGTTGGACATGCACAACGTCAACAAGGAGCCTCTTATAGTGCGTTCAGACTCCGCCAGCCTCCTTTTTTTCATAAATCCAGTCTGCTATTTGGTATGTAGCGGTTAAGTCTCTGAATGCAGTGATCCTTAATAATCCTGTATTTCGCAAAACACAGATCCACTGGCCGGCGTCTGCGAAGAGAAAGGGGGAGTGTCAGATGACGGGGAAAGGAAGACAGGTGAGGTTGAGTGTTAACATCCGTCTCTTTGAGAAAGAGGACACCTGCTTTTCACAATGACGAGGATGATGTTTGGATTCCATTTGTCTTACTCCTCTTTGTCCCAGGGTGAATGTGCCAACTTTGTGCGCCTGATAGAGCCCTGGAACCGCACCCACCTCTACACCTGTGGGACCGGGGCGTACCAGCCAATCTGCACGTTTATCAACCGCGGCTGGAGGGCAGAGGTGAACACAGAAACGTTTACGTTTTTCCCCCCAGAGCGAGCTTTACCGCCAAGATCCCACAGCAGCAGCAGCGGCGGGCCTGGAAAGCTTCGTCCTGATAAATATTTCAGCACTACAAACTAGGACAGTGATTTGTTTATGATTTTCCCATGTTCCCTTGTGACGTCTATTTTTAATGCATCTTCTTCCTGTCTTATCCGGCTCTGCAGGACTACCTGTTTAGGTTGGTCCCTGGATATGTGGATTCAGGGAAGGGAAAATGTTCTTATGATCCCAAACAGGAGAGCGTTGCAGTTCTTCTCAGTAAGATATGCTTCATTTTTAGACAAAGAAACTTATTAAAATTCTTTACTCCAGAGAGTTTCACTGTTTTTTTCCCCCTCTGCAGATGGTAATCTATATGCAGGTGTCCATATTGACTTCATGAGCACAGATGCTGCTCTGTTTAGGACCATGGGAGGCAGAACGGCGATCAGGACGGAGCAGTACGACTCCAGGTGGCTCAACGGTGAGTAAGTGTGGGTGTGAGGGAGTAAATGTCTCTGATTACAGGTTGTGGTTCCTCTCTTTTTATTTGACAACCACTTTGCTCAATCCCCTCTCTGCTTATGTGTCTTTATCCTCCCAGAGCCAGTGTTTATTCAGATCCAGCAGATCCCTGACAGTGCGGAAAGAAACGACGATAAACTTTACTTTTTTTTCCGCGAGAAGACTCTGGACTCGAACGGCGGGGCGAGCCCCAGTGTCCTAGCCCGGGTGGGGAGAGTGTGTCTGGTGAGCCAAAAACTCATCCCATATCCTGCGATAAGAGATCTATCTTAGTTTGTAAAATGAAACCCACTGTAGGTATCAAGCCTTGACCCAATTTCCTTCCTGTCTAGAATGATGAAGGGGGGCAGAAGTCCCTGGTGAACCGCTGGACGACTTTCCTGAAGGCTCGGCTTATCTGTTCAGTGATCGGTGAAGACGGAGTGGAGACACGATTTGATGAACTACGTGAGCACACAATGAAATAACCGCTGGCTTTAAACTGATAGCATTTTAATTGCAGCGGCTTTTACCTTCCTGTTATTGATTTTCGGCCTTTTTTTTATCTTCCAGGGGATGTGTTTATCCAGCCGACACAGGATGAGCGAAACCCAACAGTGTACGCTCTCTTCACTACAGCTGGGTGAGATAAAATCACACCTTCTCCAACCTAATCACACATTTTTTGTGGATGATTCATGGTGGAACTGCTCCTTTAATTACCCTAATTGTCTCTTTCACTTCAAGCTCTGTGTTCAAAGGCTCAGCCGTCTGTGTGTACTCGATGGCTGATATCCGTAATGTCTTCAATGGACCGTTTGCCCACAAACACGGCCATAATTACCAGTGGACTGAGTACACTGGCAAGATTCCCTACCCTCGGCCTGGAACAGTAAGTCTCAGTTGTCTTGTCTCCAAATTAGATCAATCTAATCCACCAAACACACCGTGATCTAAAAATCGTCTCTTTCTTCATCCAGTGTCCAGGAGGGACCTTCACTCCAGGGATCCGCTCCTCCAAGAACTTCTCAGACGAGGCTGTGAATTTCATCAGAGCTCATCCTCTCATGTATCATCCGGTTTATCCCATCTACCGCCGCCCCCTGGTGGTGAGAACCGGCGTGGACTACCGTTTTACATCTATGGTGGTGGACCAGGTGGACGCTGTAGACGGACGTTACGAGGTGTTATTCCTGGGGACAGGTGAGTTCTATATTGGGAATTAGTTTGGCAAGAAAAAAAGAGGTTATCCAATCCAATTCAGGTTTATTTATAGAGCACATTTAAAAACAACAAAGCGCTGACCAAAGTGCTGTACAGTAAAATTAAAAACAAAATAAAAAGAGCCAGACAATTAACATGAACAATAAAACAAAGACACAGGAACACATTAAAAACATAGATGGTTCAGTAAAAACAGGATTAAAAGGCCAAGTTCTCAGGAGTTAAAAGCCAGGGAGTAAAAGTGCGTTCTCAAATTTGATTTAAAAACAGGCAGTGAGGGGGACAGTCGGACATGAAAGGGAAGAGCATTCCAGAGCTTTGGCGCAGCAACGGAAAAAGCCCGGTCACCGCTGAACTTTAATCTTGACCTCTGGACAGTCAGAAGGCACCTGTCAGAGGATCTGAGAGTCCGAGATGAAATATGGGGTTTTAAAAGGTCAGAGAGATAAAAAGGAGCAAGCCCGTTTAAAGATTTATAAGTTAATAATAAAATTTTAAAATCAATCCTAAAACACACAGGAAGCCAGTGAAGAGAGGCTGAAATCGGGGAAATGTGGTCATATTTACGGCGACCGGATGAAACACGAGCTGCAGCATTTTGAACGAGCTGTAAACGATTGAGACAGGTTTGGCAGACACCGAAATAAAGTGCATTACATGATCAAGACGAGTTGTGATAAAAGCATGCATAACCTTCTCAAAATCATTAAAAGATAAAAAAGACTTGACCTTGTTCAAAAGACGAAGATGATAAAAACTGTCTTTGACAGCTGCATTTATCTGCAGATCCATTTTAAATGTGTTTTCTGTCACTTCTAGATCAAGGCACTGTTCAGAAAGTAATAGTCCTGCCAAAAGACCCCACGAGCATGGAGGAGCTGACACTGGAGGAAGTGGAAGTTTTCAGAGTATGTTCAAAACACACTGAAGACTCACAATAAAAACAAAATAATCGAAGAATTATATTTTATTGAGAGATCTTCTTCTGTTTGTTAATTTTCAGAGTCGCGCTCCTGTCAAAACCATGAAGATCTCCTCTAAAAGAGTAAGTCAATCCCTCTTTACTGCAGATATCAAAACAGACTCTTCATTGTGACACTGAATTTAATTTATCTCCTTATCCTTGTGTCGCCATAGCAACAGCTGTATGTGTCATCAGACGCGGGCCTGACCCAGGTGTCGCTGCACCGCTGTGGCGTGTACGGCCGAGCCTGCTCCGACTGCTGCCTGGCCCGAGACCCCTACTGTGCCTGGGATGGAGAGAGCTGCTCTGCCTTCACCCCGTCCACCAAGAGGTCAGTGATCGCTCTGATCTGGTTACGGCTCACTGCAACTAGGAAGTCGACTCAGTCTTTTTCATTAATTTTCTCTCAGGAGGAGCAGACGACAGGACGTCAAACACGGCGACCCGCTGAGGCAGTGCAGAGGCTTTAATGCGAAAGGTCCGGACACTTTTTGTTGTGTTTGAAAATCATCAACTAAATGTAGTATGAAGTTGTCAGCAGCTCTTTCTTTTTTCTCTTTGCAGTTGAGAAACGTCTGAGAGAAACGGTGCAGTTTGGAGTGGAGGGCAGCAGCACCTTCTTGGAGTGTCAGCCTCGCTCTCCTCAGGCCACCGTGAAGTGGCTTTTCCAGAGGGAAGGGAAGAGGAAAGTGGTGAGCAAAAACCTTAAATTATACACTTCAACATTAAAGATGTAGTTTGTCATTTAAGGTAACACAGAGAGGTATAGGTTAGATTATCTGGTTAACTGATTTAATACTGTGTTTTAATTCAGCCGATGTTTTGGTTTTAAGAGTGACCCTGTTAACTGGTGACTTTAAGCCAAACGTGTCAGTGGTTGTTGTGGTTATAACAGCTGTTAAAACACCTCATCATGTGTCCCAGTTTGCTTTTTTCTGATGCCTCATCAGATATTTCTTTAATGACACACTAATGACATTTGCAAGAGATGCACAACACTCACAGCATCTGTAGCCCTGAGCTATCGAACGTGTTCGGGTCACTGTATCCAAGCTCAGTCTAATCCAGTCTACTGCAAATAGATGATCTTAATCCTGAACGTTAAGTAAACCCAATTTTCACCAAGTGTAGATGATGAAAAATTTGCTTTTGAGCCGTGGTGGTGAGATAATCAGGACTTAATATGTAAAGGTAATTTCATGGAAGCTGTATTTACACTAGGGTGACCGTACGTCCTCTTTTACCCAGACATGTCCTCTTTTTTGGGGGGCTGACCGGGCTTGTCCGGCTTTGTCCAGGAGAGTTTATAAAATCCTTCAAATGTCCAGAGTTTTGTCTGAGAGTTTTGATTTTGTGTCAAGTGGACTTAATGAGTTAGAAGCGCATAAAAGACCCCAAAACTCTCAAAATTAACTTTGTGCGACTCTGTGACTCCGCCCCTGCGTTGCCGTGTCCTCTTTTTGGGAAGTCAGAATATGGTCACCCTAATTTACACCGCCCCCTGCACCTCTCAGTGTTTCCAAACAGTACAGAGATCTCTAGTCCTTGGTTGCTGGTTCCACCCCTGGCCATGACCCTTTGCTGCATGTCTTCCTCCAATCTTTACACCCTACATATATACAAATAATGACACCAACTCCCATGATTCCACACTTCTTTGCAGTAGGAATAAACAATGCATTCTGTTATTGTTTATATAGACACAGAGCAACATATATTACCTACTGTGTCTTTAAAAGCATCACCATCTCACCTTGTTCCAAATTTAGATACTTGATGTTTCATTTTTCTGCAGCTCAACCGTCTTGGAGGTGTTCTCAAAACCAACCACGGCATCCTCCTGAAGTCTCTCAACCAATCAGACGCAGGGCTCTATCACTGCCTCGCCACTGAGAACAACTTCAAACACACGGTGGCCCGCGTGGCGCTGCGCATCCTGGACCGAGACATCGTTTTGGCTCTCACCGCTCAAGACGAGGACGAAGAGCCGAAAACACGCCACGCGGGGCCTTACCCGCAGTCGCCGCTCGCCTCCACGCCCTTCCCGCCTGAGATCAGACTGATAAACCAGTACTGCCAGTCCTACTGGGAACAGCTGAATCCCAAACAGCAGCAGCAGCAGCAGCAGCAACAACAACAACAACGTAAACGCACCAGCCGCAGACACACAGAGAGCCAGGACCAAGGCCTGGGCTAGAGAACGAGACTCACCGTGTCCAACACTGGTCTGTCTGGACTTTTACTGGACTTTTTGTTCGACACGCATGATTGTGCGTCACCACCGTTCATTGGGCAGGGGATGCTGTCATGCTGTTGTGTTAGTACTATACAGGTGGTTTTGCAAGTTTCCTCCTATGAAACACAAATTGTGTATATTTTATGTCACAAAAACTAAGGTATGAGTCGAAGTTATCAACTGGACACTCGCTTCGGATTTATCACCCATTATAGGGATTATTACAAAACGTACTGATCTATGTTTTGCCTGGGAAGACTATTTCTCGGTCTGTGTTTTTAACGTTCTCCACTGGGCTGGTGTTAGACGAGGTGACATGCAGGGTGTAGACCAAAAGAGAGTTTGTTTACATTTTCCCCAGCAAGGTTTCACAGTGAGTAGTACGTGAGCTGCTGAAAAGGAGGAAGGGCGAGATATTTTTGTTAGAGAGTACTGCACTTGTGCGGACAGGGCAGGAGCAGCTAAGATGTAAAAAAAAACCATGTCATCTCTTTTTCCACGGCGCTGCAGAAAGTCCCTTACACTTGCTTTAAATGTTACATTTCCAGCAGTCCTTAAATGCACCAGTAAGGGCTTTCTAAAGACATCCGGATTTTCATTAAAGCACAACGTTACTGTGGTTAAAAGTCGAAATAATCTCATATGTTTTGCTGCATCTTTGAAATAATCAGACTGTGATGTAAAATATATACAGTGTGTCGTAAATAGGCTCAATGTGCAAAACCACAGGTGTTGTACTTTTAAGTATCTTGAAACAGAAATGTAATATATTGATTGTGAATATAATATATATGTTCCTTGGATTACTCTTGTATTGTATGAAGATATTATGATGATACAAATGCATAAGTTGCATGCATTTCTCTTGTTGTTTGTTGCAAGTTGTACATTTTACTGTGTTGGACCGTGGTGTGTACTGATGTTTGTAAGGTGTAATGTGTTCTGCTAAGCTAATTCCAGTGGATGTTGTCATTTAATGACTCCTTTTACTGTCCTGTGCTCTAGTGACCTCCTGTATGTGAGTGTTGAAGATTTGTATAGCGTACAGTGTTCTTCCAGTTATGCACTTTGTTGGTGGTGGGATTTGAGGGAAATGGGGATCTTTGCACAGATGTATGAGAAAATGATACGAGAACATGGTTTTTTTTTATGTACAGTATGTTATAAAAATGGGAATGAATATGGATCAGATTTAGTATTGGTTGTTGGTGTTCTGTCATAAGCTGTATTTACAGGATTTTAAAAAACGGCTCTTTTAAAGGAAGCACAAAAGACGATATTTCCAGTCAGAGCCTCCGTTCACCTTCATTGTGAGTAACACAGTGCTGTTATGATGATGAATCCTACACTGGAAGTGTTCAAAACAAATATATAAACATTTCAGAATTCTCTAAAACTTGTTTGTTTTTTCCATATCAAGTCGTTTTTATTGTTTTTTTCTCTCTTTAATCCATTACCCACACAGTTTCTGTCCATTGACAACAGAAAGATGGACAATGCATCTCCGATTCCTCCTGTTTTCATTTCTAAGTGAAGCAAAAATACTCTGGGAGGTGCTCGAATCTGTGTAGAGGAGAGTCTGTGCAGAGGAGATGAACTCTCGGATTTGCAGTAATTTTGAAGCAGACACTCACAATTATGGAGAGGTCAGTGAATGCTATGTTTGTGTTACTTTTTCCTTTCCATCCTCAACTGACGTGGTTGAAAACAGGGCTGTCACTCATGATGCTATAACCTATAACCACCGAACACTATTTAAAATCTTTAAAACCAAAATTAGGAGAAAAATTAGAAAGAGGACTTTCTGTGAATCTTACTTTAGCTTCCCTGATTTCTCTGGAAACTTCTCTGTAACCTTCCACTCCTGTCGCTTTAAGAGAGTCACATATATTGTCACTCAGTGCGTTTACATCCACAGCTTAATTGGACTTAGCTCATAATTCGTTTTTTTCGCCGAATCGGACTTCTCTTCTTGTCCGCGTTTACATGCAGCTGAGGAAATCGTTGACGTGAACGTGTCCCCCCTCCCAAAACTAGGGCGCGATGTTTTTTTTTTTTTTTAGCGGCGCTGTCAACAACAACAGGTCCGTGCCAGACGTCAGAAGTGTCTACAACTGCTGCTGAGCATTTTTGAGCAAGAAGATGGAGCATCGTACAGCGTTGTTTTTGTCGTACATGAAGTACGCGCTACTTTTTCTGCAAATGAGGTGCACGCTACTCCTCTTCTCTCGTGTTTTTATTCCGGGGTTACGGGGTCGTTGCATGTATTGTCCAATCATACTCCGACTACACTGGTAACATGGTAGAGAAAATCGAATTCCAATCGCATTATCTGGATGTCTTAATCAGAGTTCTCCGTCTCCAATGACATGCACTTCAGCTATCCGGTCTTAATTGGAGTAAGGCAATAATTCGGTTTTCTCGAGTGTCATGTAGACGTACTGAGTGATGCCTGCTCTGCTTGGTTGACCCTCTGGGGTCTTTGCTGTTGCTCTGCCTGCCTTGGCTTTTCTTTCTTTCTTTTTTGAGTGATTTTTTTAGGCTTTTATTTGTTTTTCTTAGAGAGTTTATGACAGAAATCTGTTATCTGTTAACATGGAGGACGCAGGTTTATGACCTATACTGCATTTAGTCAGCAGGGCTTCACTTTTGGGAATCTGTTGTATTGTCCATCATTGTGTACGATCAATGTTTCTGTCAAATACCAGTCAAATTCAAGTTACAGCGAGTAAAAAAAAAGACTTATTAAACCGTTTCTATAACAAATCTCACATGAACTTAGTATGAAATACGATCTAGTCATCCCATTCGTCATCGTCGTCGTCATCATCTCCTCCGTCGTCTTCACTTTCATCTAAGAAGAAAAAGAAAAGGAGCGTCTGAGATATATTCCTTCTCCTTTTTCAGTGATTAAATAATTTGCGGACTGAAGAGCGGTGTTTTCGTTTTTACCAGAAGAATGGATGACTTTACTCCTCTTCTGCATAACCGACATAAGAGCACCAACGATGCCCTCACCAGACCCCGGTGAAGCACAAGGAGGCGGCTCAGGATTATCTGTAACCTGAAATGCAAACCCAGACATCATTTGAACAACATCAACTATCTCAAGTATAAAAGCAGATTTAAAAAGTCAGCTCTGCAGCGTGAGAGTGAGAATTTAGAATGAAGAAAAGTTACTTTACATTTCTAAGCTTCTTCCCAAGTCGGATCTGATCCAGCAAGGCTCCTCTGCCCTCACCTCCCCCTTGGGATGGAGGGGTAGGTGGTGGCGGACCGCTCGAAAAAGAAGGAGGTGGAGGAGGAGGGAAGTCTGATGATGGAGCAGGTGGAGGAGGAGGTGGTGGAGGGGGAGGAGGAGGACCACCTCCACCTCCGCCTCCTTTGGCATGCGCAGATGGGACAGGAGGAGGTGGGAAACCCATGGAGCGCTGTTGGCTGGACGGTGGCGGAGGAGGAGGCATGCTGTGCGAGGGCAACTTTGGTGGAGGCGGCGAGGAGAAGTGAGAAGGAGCCGAGTGTGCTGGTGGAGGTGGAGGAGGGGGTCCGCCCCTGTTTGCTGGAGGAGGTTGGGGTGGGAGTGCTCCTCGTGCCTGAGATGGATGGGAGGACGGGCTCCCTCGCTGCTGGCCTGGGATAGGAGGGAGGGGGCCAGAGCGTCCTCGTGGAGGTGGAGGAGTTGGAGCAGAGTGACCGGAGCCTGGGACAGGAGGCAGAGGTCCTTGTCTGCCGGGTGGAGGAGGTGGAGGTCCAGATGCTGAAAAGTAACCGGACAAAATTTGAATAAAAGTTGAGTCTAACCTTTGAGCTCTTGTGGAAACGACTTTAAAAAGAACAAGAAGAACCCTGACCTCCTCTGTTGACCTCCCTTTTCACCGCCTCCATGCCTCCAGACTGTTCGATGACGTTGTAGATGAGCTGGGAGGTCTGTTCATCCCTCATCTCAGCCTCACCGATCCCAGCCTGGGAGAGCAGCTGCCGCAGATCAGGGTCCAGGTTGTTTGGATCAAAACCCACATGAGAAACATGTCTGACAAGAAAGAAACAGAACCAGACAAAGTCACAAAGTTACTCATGCAGTTTAGTCAATATTTTTGTCATTTTGCAACCATACTTGTCAAATACATTTGACTCCCAGCCTAAAAGTATAATAAATTATTAGTTTAGATGATTTTCTCTTCTTGTTTTATCACAAAAAACACAACATTTGTTTAAGTTTTTGCATCAGTAATTTCTGTAGTGTTTTTTTTTTATTTGCAGCGGTGACAGTTCTAGGCCACCATAGTAATTATCTTCAGAAACAAAATAAAGTTAAATACTTTCTCTGTTTTTTTTTTTTCTCTTTTTTGACAAAAGTTACCTTATACTTTTGAAATAATATTTTTTTTTATTTTACAAAAACACTTAAGTAGTTTTCTACTACTGGTAAAAACGTATATTTGTTTACCAATAAAAGCTTTAATTTAGTCTTCATGTATTTGAAATTATATTTCGGGGGTTAGCTAGCTCTGCTGTTGGTCAGCCTCGTCTTTTAACCGGAAGTTACGGCTAGCTTACTTAACCATGTCATCACAGCGGCTCCTCTCAGGTGGACATTTAGAACTTAAAAAAAAGTTCACAAAAACTCACTTGAATCCACTTGGAGCTCCTATATCTGCTTTCGAGAGTTTGGGGCCCTTTTTCTTGCTCTTCTTATCCTTCTTTCCTTTTCCGCTCGCTGAGGCAGATGTCGGTGAGGGCATGGAGCGGTACCGTGAAGTCTGGATGTCCGGGTTCTGGATGTCCACTGTGGCCATGTGGAAAGAACCGGGTGACCCTTCGGAGGAGATTGGGAGAATAAACAGGTAAATATATTTTTATTTTTTAAATTTTAATGCACTGTTAATGGTGTAAGAGTTGGTAGAAAGATGTTGGTAGGAGATGGTTACCCTTATCAGGTGGAGGTCGAGGTAAGGACCCTCTTTCTGTCGTTAGAAAAAGAGGAATATTTAGCTTTAATAATTTGTCACATACTACATTACATAGTCTTTAAATATACTGTTTTCCTACCATTGGTCGGCAGAGGGCGCTGTTTCTTATCTGAAAATAGAGACCACTTTTCATAACTTGCACCACACCACAAAACAATATTTACTCTGCTGCTAAAACACATTAAGCAATTTCCTTTATTCATATGAAGAAGAAAGACATTTGATTTTCTGATGATAAAATCTCATCCTGTCAGGATTTTGTGTATTTTTACAAGAAAATTTGAACTAATTTGCTGTTTAATTGATACAAAAATCTCTGAGTAGACTATTTGTTGAAGATTAAGTGAATAAATGACCTCATACAAGGTCAATTTGAGTAGTATTTCCTCCTGACACATATTTAAAGCTTTATTTAGAAACGTAGTGGAGATGCAAACATGACACACTCTCAAATTCTAAAAATAAGTAGGATGTCACAGAGCCGGACGTGACTTCACTCACCCTGACGGTTGTGTCTTTGGTTGATTTTCTCCAGGATAACATTTTGGAAAGTTTCTGCCTCCTGTTGCTCAGCAAAGTTCAATCCCACCTGACAATCCTGGAGTATGAATTCAATAAAATAAGAAAAAGAAATCCCACTGAAGGAAACTAGCTCTGGTCTGAGGGTTTAACATGAATCACATTTGAGGTAATTCATCATAGTAGTCAGTCAAATCAGGTTGTGCTTACATCTGCAGTAAAGGTGTGAAAAAAGGGCTTCGGTGAGGAGTAAACGATCTGGTTGTAGAGCTCCTGCTCCCAAATCTGCCTCCCTGCCTGTGGAAAAACACTCTTATTATACCTGTCCATTATCATCACTCAAACAGACGTGAATGATCTTGTGTCATCGTTCAGTAACTTTTAAACACTTAATTATCTGAAAATCACCTTCAAATCAAACATGCGGATGAAGTAGGAGCGCTGAGGGTTGTCTTTGACGAAGCAGACCACGCCGGTGAGCTGCAGGCTCCACATGGATGGATTGTGAGGCAGAGCCATGAACAGCTGTGCCACTGCTGAAGCCATGGACTACACACACACAAACACAAACACATGCCACATACACATTTAACCCGAGTAAAGCTGCAGGAGATCCGTAAGAACTATGTCGCACTTATCATGCAAATTTGCACTTGAGCGGTGAGGACTTACTTCCTCGTCTGTTGTCATTTGCTCAGATAACAACTGAAAGGGCCATAAAAGTCTGTCAAACATGAAGCCGTCTTTGCTTTGTAATGCTTGTCTGGCTTTATCTGTTGTGTCTGCTTCAGTAGACACAAAAAACCATCAGAAACAGAGGAAGCTGAACTCTGCTGTAAGACTGAAACATGCTATAGTGTCTAATTCTGACAGCAGAGGAAGAAACGGTTCAGCAACCGTTTCCTGTTACAGCTACCTCTTTTGATGACCTAATGGCAGCACTTCATTTTTGAGCTGCAGCTCCTTCAAAGTGCAGTAAACTCTGAAAAATATATAAATTGTTCAAGAATAAAATGTTGTTTTTTGTTGATTTGAGTCAAAAGTGAAAAATGAGGACTAAAATACACAAAAGACAGGTCAGATGAGGGGTCAAACAAAAACTAAAAGTTGTACAGAGATAAGTGTAAAATTATATGGCTCTTACTTCCAAGTTCAGCGATCAACAGTGATCATTCAAATTCAGGATGTGATGGTAAAGAGACGTCATGAGGCCTAGAGTTATTTACATTCTTATGAAGCAGCCTGACAAACCTGTTCGGTTACAATCACCTCGTCTGTAAGTGAAGGCAAAGCTAAGAGACATTCAGGAGGACATGAGTCCCACAGAGGACCCTCATCAGTTCAGGACTTACAGCACACCTTCTGCCCAGTAGCTCCTCTAACTTCTCGTTCTCCTGCGGGCTCAGCAGGGAGCTCCTGGCGCCGTCCGATTTACTCTTCGATCCCCGGCTCATGTTTCTGTGTTTCCAGCTCCCAGTTTGTCTCAAATTAACGTGAACTGCATTTGTAAAAAGAGTCCTCTCTACAGCGTCAGAATACTGAGCTCTACAGTCAAGGAAGTTTCTCTTCTCTGTTCTGTTCTATATCAACTCAAAGCAGGAAACAGCCAACCGCACTTCTCTAACACCCCGCTTTTCTTCTCTCTCTCTCTCTCTCTCAGATGCAGCGCACAAATGAATGTGTTACTTCCATTTTAAGAGGGAGGTAGTGCACTATTACTCCACTGATGTGAGTCAAAACTAAAGCCGATGACTGGTGAGTGAGTATTTGACATTAACATAAAGCTTTACAAATGAACGACACATTTTATTGACAGAAAACATTCAAATTAATTTAAAAATGTACAGGATGAATAACAAAATCAAAATATTTGAGTCAAATTTCAAGACAAAAACAGGCTCCATTCATTTAACTTAAACACCATAGGTCAGTATTCTTCACACTGAGTTTCAAGGACTGCTAAAACAGACATCATTTTTAACACTGCATTTTTTTTATGTACAATTTTTAACAGGTCTCTGCTGCACACATACAAAATTGTGTATGTACAAGTTAACTTCTTTGGTTTGCCGCTAGTTTGGTTTTAAGGAATAACTTAAAAATTGCACAAACAACTTTTATTGTCTGTTCACTCACATTTGATTGTCAGTAACTCTGTATGACCTCCATGGTTAGCAGCTGAACACCACAAATTGCACCATCTCTGTTGGGATTATTCACAAAGTAAGGTCACAACAGACTCATATTGAAGGAATATAATCTTAGATTAAATTAATAGAATAACAAAGAAGATCACATTATAATTTAACTGCGTGAAAGTGATTGGGAGTTGTGGTTTGGAATGGTCAGAGTGAAACTGCTGACTAATTCCTGCTGTTTAAATGTCGGGAAAGTGTTGATGAGACTCTACCAGCAGATTTGAGAGTCTAAAAGGTGGAGTGGAGAAGCATCAGAGGTGTTTTTGTGGTAAAAATCATTCACTAAATTTGCGTTGTGATGCTTTGTAATTTCTGCCCTGTAAATCTGAAATGTAGGGAAGTAGATCAAAAGATTTGGCAGTGACTGAACTATTCCAGGGAACTGTACCCATCCATACTCTAAAATGGGATTTCCATTTGAGTCATGCTGTTCCCATTCATGCTTTTAACATCTCTACACATGCCTCCAAACAAGAACCTCACTGTGAGCCATTACATGGGTTTTATTCAGTCAGAAAACACTGTTTCTGTGTTCTCTCCTCCATTACAGGGCCTTTTTTTCTGCCCTGTCACATGTTGAAATACTTTTTTTTTTAAATTGTTCTAGATGAAGGGTTCACTACGTGTCCTTCATGTTGTGCAGCCAGACCTTCCCGTTTGGCTTCGAATGAGATCTCAGCAGATCAGGGGTTTGTTAAAAGACAGGGAGGGAGCTTTGGTTGGCATTCTGTTCATAGTATGTCCGATCAGTCTCTGCTGCTAGTGAGCGCCTCCGCTTCTTGACTCTCCGTTCACCCAGTCGATGATGATAAATGACAAACTCATGACCATGAAGACGAATCCCATTGCAGCAAAGCCAGCAGCCTACAAGAGCGAAAGGAAGGAAAAACATCATCAGTATCAACCAAAAAAATGCACAAAGATAATATCCTGATAGCTGAAGGTTCTGCTTCTACCTGAAGCTTTGGTCTTGACAGTAACGGTTCCTGTTCGTCAGGAACAATCCGGATGTAGAAGATCCCCGGTAGGATGAAGATGAGGCTGGGGGCGGATGTTGCTCCTAGAAATGAGAGGAGATCAGCAAGAAGAAGCTGAGTTTCATTCCTTCAACAGATCACGTAGTTGATAAAATGCCACAATGGGTAGAGTCCATTTACGCTAGACCAGAATGATGGGTCAACATACCGATGATGCCAAAGATGTCTCGGATGGATGGCACAAAGATGACGAGTAGATTGACCACAAAGAGAAGACTAAATGCGATGCCGATGTGAATGGCCCAGTGGAATGGTTTGTCAGGGAAGAAGATCTGAAGAAGGGCCCTGCGGATCTGCAAAGAGCAAAGTAGGAGGAGTATTAGACTCTTCTGTATCTGCTGGACATCAGCCAACAGGAATGACAAACAAAAACTCTAAACAGACAAGATTAAGTGAGAACTGAATGTAGAGTCACTTGAGGAACTATCAGGTGAAGTCGTGTTTAATAGGAGTTTCCAAGACTGATTCAAAGAAGTGGACAACGTTATAAGCAAACCAAATAAGGAAGTGCTTCAGATCTGCATTTTATATTGTAAACAACCAGCAGAGTGCATCTCTGTTTACTGCACGACACAGTACAGATGTATGTGGTATGTAAGACAAAAAAGCTCTTTTTTTTTAGGGAGGTAAGGGATCAAGTATTAAAATAAAACTATCAAATACTTTATACTTTGAATATAAAACATTGTGGGTACAGTAAAATAAAACTAAGAGGTTTAATTTAAAGAAAGGCTTCAATTAAAAACAAACAAACATTTTAAGTACTGTGAGCTTAATTATAAACATGATTTAAGCTTCTCTTATGTAGGAAACTTCACATTGACCTCACATTACAATGGCTTGTTTGAGTCCGATCACTCCTTTGACTTTCATACCAGGAATTTTTGTTTTAAAGAGGAAATGCCACATAGAAAAGAACTGACAATGCATGAGGAGTTCCCCAGGGCTCCATCCTGGGTCCTCATGCATTGGTCATCATCCCTTTTAACCACTAGAAGCAGTACTTTATCAATATTGCTTTTGTTTTTCTTCATAAAAAATAACTCGAGTATCTAGTGTGTAGTTGTCTAGGTTGAAGGATGTATAATACAAGCCAGTATGCAAAATGCATTATTAATTTAGACAGCCTTTTTATGTCTTTATATATGAAACTGCAAGTTCCATATTCCTGATCAAGTCATGATGTTTTTCATTTATAAGAATCAGATCCCTTTTTTACACAGTCCTCTTCATTTTAACATCACAGCCAGCCCAAAAAAATAGAAATGTAGATATTCAAGATGTTGAAACATTTTGGTTTTAAAGGAAATGGAAATATAAACTAATAACTGACCAAAATAGCTGATTAACTTATTGGTCATGTAGTAATTTCGGCTGTTTGTCCTTTTTCTTCATCAAATTGGCTTGAATCTACATTTGTGATTCAAAAGTATTTTGAAGAAACAAGTTTAAGGAGGTCATAAAATTCTGGTTTTAAAAAATAAACATAATTCGATGTCTTACCGGGAATAAAACAACAGGAACAGTCAGTGTTACAGCCACCAGCACAGCCAGACGGACACAGAGAACCAGGACATCCAGGGGACCTGCTCGGTTGTAGGTGTGCAACAGCTCAGACTCCACAGAACCTACGCACAGAGGAGCACACACACACACACGCAGATTGATTCTCACGTGGACTAATCCCTCATTCACAACACTGGAAAATGCACATGAGCTCTGGGTACAAGTGAGTCATTCATGTGAAAATCTTTCCATTCACAGCATCAGAACAGGCTGATCTTTGACTCTCAGGAGGACAGGGTCTCTTACCAAAAAATGTGAGGTAACCGAAAAGGGCAGTTAGCAGGTACATGACAAACATGGCCAGGATGGAGAAGTTGGCGACTTTCTGCATACGCTTCTTAGTGGCACTGGAGGAAATGAAAGCAGAAAATCACAGTAAATTAAACAGAAATGTTCCCCCCTCGAACTTTGGGGACTGGATAATGGTTTGGACTTACTCTCGCAGCTCCGTGTAGATCGGCAGCACCTCGGGGTGGCAGACAAAAGCAAAAGCCAGAATGGGGATGGTGTACGCTGTCTAAAAGTCAAACACAAGAAAGGGTAACAAGTCACTCACAAAGTCCGGCAAGGTGGCACAATAAAAAGCTTGTTTTAAACCCCACACTGCTGTTGACATAACAGACGCCTTAATGCTGTTGACACAACGCTCCAGTGCTGAACATGAAGCTGCTGGGCTAACCAAGAAGTAAATATACAGAAAATAGAAGCATGTGATGCTCTTTTCTCTCACCTGTGGGTTGATTGTAATAAGTTTGGCTTCACAGGAGTCGTCCGTCACGTTGCTGACAATGTGATTGTCAATAAACTCAGTTAGGTTTCCGTGTTCATCGTCGAGTGGACAAGGGATGTTGAATTTCTTGTAGATCACCTGGAACGACAACCTTTTGTCAATTCATGCTCATGTTAAATGGAGGGAAGATTGGTTTGGTGGCACGCCTATTTTAACTCACCGAGATCAGGAAAAACACCATACAGGACAGGGAGAAGCCACTTGTATAGCCCAGATATCCTGCAGAACAAGGAGGATAAAACATGCAAACTGACCTCAATTTAGGAGAAAAGGTTCTCACATTTCAGAGTTAAAAAAAAAAAAAAAGAAAAGGGTCATGGAAAAAATATGTGCATGGGAAAGTATGAGGACGAAGTTCAAATCAAAGTGTGATGACAGAATGAAAAACATACCAAGTTGTTTCATGAGTGCTAGAGGGAGGATGATGCAAGCACTAACAATGATGATCAAGTAGTTTCCATTCAAGAACCACTCTCTAAGAGACAGCAGGACCAACAGATGAAGAAAAATCAATACAACGTCAAACTAAAAACTGATACCGCTAGGTGTAAAATGAAAATCTACTCAAGTAGAGATGAGAAAATAGTGCAGAGGGAGTGTTGTTGTGACACTCACCCTGTGTTTTCATGTTTGCTGAGGAAGGCTTGGATAACCAGCGGGAGCTCGGACTTGACGATGAAGAGGTAGCTGGACATGGCTAGTGGGAAATGGAAGCAGTCTTATTTATTGCATGTCTAATCTAATCGGATTAAACGCACATGCTTTCACTTGCAGATGAATTAAAGATGGGAAATAGCAAACAGTACCTCCAACATTGTGCACTGTGATGATGCATGCTGCCAGCATTTTCCCGGGGTGACCAAAAGCCCGGTTTCCAAGCTGCTCATAGGCTCTGATGCCTGGAAAAAAACAAATACATTATGCTTGTGCATCTCAAACAGAAAAACAGTCAGTAAAAACAAGAGTGGCAGAAATTCAGTCGATTGAGTGGCCTCTTGAGACTTGACCATGAAGGGCGTCAGTCCTCATAACTCTCGATGTTTCATAGCCAAGTTTTACCACGAAATGATCATGTTTCAGCAACTTCTGTTAGCCTTTAGTTTTTGTCTCATAAATAAACTAACCCTGTCAAAAGAAAGTAACTGTGATTTTTCAGCATACGCCTCCCCACTGCTAGTCGCTAGTGCCCTGCTGTCTCCAAATATTGCTGCTTCTGGCTGCAAAAAAAACCAACAAGGCGACCGTCAAAGTACCCAACATGGCGTCAAGGCTTGTCGTGAACAAGGATGTACTGTCGAGGTGACTCAGTCTTTTATTCATATATTCAGGGGAGAACATTTTTGAATGCAGAGTTGACTCTGTGGCTGTATGTGACTTACCGACCACTCCAGCGCTTCTGAGCAGGAGATGGATCGAATATGCAGAGAGGATGGCGATGGAGACCAACAGGATTCTGGAACACAAGAAAGAGAATTAGATCCGTGTAAAAAATCCTGAAAAAAATTTAGGGACTTTAACTGTCGAGTTTACTTCTTAATAATAATAATAATTCACATGTTTTGCCCCTCATGGAGAACCAGATCAGAAACTAGGCCATCAACAGCTGCAGATAGGGAAATCTCTTTCATGTAATATAACTAATTTTGGGAATTTGACTCCAACACTAATGCCAGTGTCAGATGACCCTTTTATCTTGCAAGTAAAAACCATGAAGCTCATTCTCTGGATGATGACTGTGCAGATTCTCATTCATTCACATCATGGTTATCCAAGTCTTCGTCAAAAGGGCAACTTGACTTGTTTGAGTGTCGGGACTTCTTTAGTTCAAGGCTGAGAAGATACCGACTCAGATGGAAGGCAAGAAGAAGGAACAACAACACCTCAGGGAAGCCCTGAAAACATGTGGGTACCCCAAATGCGCCTTTATCAAGTCTTTTAAGAAACTGAAGACCAACAGGGAAGATGAGAGCAACAAGCAGCACAGCATTGTTATTCCCTACTTGTCTGGAGTATCCGAGAAACTCAGAAGGATCTTCCAGAAACACAACATCCTAGTACTCCAAACCCACAAACACTGTAGCACAGAGGCTGGTCCACTCCAAGGACAAAACCCCCAGACCCAAACATCTTCCATCGGGGAAACAAAACAGCCATTACATTCATGCATGGCCCAGTATTCGAGAGCCAACTCTTCTGGTCAGGACTCAGCTGTTCACCTACACTTCAAGGTTCAGGACATTCCTTTGAGGACAGCAATGTAAAGATACGAGCCAGGGAAGACCGCTGGTTTGAAAGAGGTCAAGGAGTCCATCTTTGTCAAAATGGAGAACCCATCATTGGACAGACGTGGCGGTCTAAAGCACTTCTTATCCCCAAATTACAATTCAGCTTTGGATGACCTTCAACAAGAATCAAAACGTTCCTTGAGCTGGATCACAGGCTCCAATATCATGCAAGTATGGCAAACCTGAAGAAACCCAGGAGGACACCCCCCCAGGTGAAACCAGGCCAACAACCCCATTAACAACTCTCAGGTGACCCAGCTGTGAATGACTGTCAGGTGACCACCCACCCCTTTTCCAGCTGGATGACCAACGGAAGCTTTAAATTTCTAACTTTTCCGAAATCCCAACTCTGAAAATATCCTGAGATTGAATGGTGCCATAAACTCACCATAAAAACCTTATCATTTGTCAAGAGGTTTATTGAACCAGTCAGAAGTAGTGGAGAGCTATTGGGCATGTTTGCACTGGCACAGAAAGTAAATATCAGATTTGTATTGAACGTTCAGTATTATTGCGCATCAGTTCCTGTTCTTTGTTTATTCTGTTGTTGTGGTGTTGCTCCTGTGAAAGGTTTTGATTAGGTTGGGGATTTCTGGTTGTTGGGAAAAGGAGTGGTTCCAGTGTTCAAATGTTTTAGCCTCACAGTTTGGGTCTTTTCAACAAAATCAAAAGACCTCCTCTGAAGTTTTCTGAGACTTTTCTCCCTCGCTGTGTGAAGACGTCAAGAAAAATAGAGGAAACAGAAGCTACTTTGCAGAAATTAAACATGTTAACCACCGTTTCTCGGGTTTGTTGTATTTTTCCTCCACCCACATGACTAAGAGACTGGCTCTCCATCCCCCCTCCACCCCTTTCTCCCCCCGCCACATAGCACTGGACTGATCCAGGGCAGGCGTGTCTTGGATCTGATCACTATGGGCTATTTTTATCCACTCAAATCTGATTTAGCGAAGCTGCGTGTGTGTGTGAGCTCTAATGTATACTCTCGCAGATCAGGCTGTGCGTGGTAGGAGCTGAGCGTAAAAACAGAGCTACACCTATGACTCACACAGGTGGAGACAGACAAAAACACACGTATACCAAACACAAAGCAGGGAGCCCCTCCCCCTGCTGGTACACATACCGGCTCAAACACAAATACACACAGTCAGATGATACATAAGCTGTACTTCTATCCTTACATGGATCTCCTATTAACTCTCTCAGCCTGTATGGACTTAATCTTGAATCTGACGCTAACCTTTAACCAAAATAATATCAAATTAGAACCAATTTAGCACTTTTAAAAGAGAGGGAAATACCAGCAGCATCAATTTTAAGACCAAAAAAAAGGCGTAAAATTCACAAACACACACAAAAATAGAGAGGCTTTGTTAGAGGTGTCACAGAAATACAAATGTGTTAGTTATCAAGAAAAAAACACGTAGAAATAAAAGCACAGCCAGTAAAAAATGACTTCATTTTACAAAAATCCTCACGCTGTTGGTCTACAGCTCATAAACTCACCCAGACTCACAATAAACAGCTCTGCTCTATTCTTGTAACATGGAAAATTGCGTATCCTGCCCAACTAAATACAAATAAGTCACAAGCTTAAATCAATATATGTCTTTCCTCTTTACTTAGGAAGAGACAATCTTGAAGCTGTGACGAGCGAACATGGCTGAAAAAACAAACACATACACAAACTTCACAAAGTTTTTTTAATCCGCAGAGAAGCCTGTGTGTTTGGCTCCAATACTCACATAAAAAGAATAATTCCAGTGTTGGACATTGCGTAAGCCAATCCCAGAATCCCACTGCCCATTATGGCGTTGCTGAGGTTAAAGATGGACATGCCGAATGAAGTCTTTCCCTCAAACTGCAGAGAGGAGAGGAGGTTACACAGACGACATCAATAATCGTTTATATTCCTCTGTTTCAGCTTATCAATGTGACTGTGATAGTGTCTGACGTGAGCACTCACATCTGTGAAGTGCATTTCTTTCTTGACTCCAGTTTTGTGTGGGAGAAACTCGTCACGTTCAGCCCCGGCTTCAAGGTTATCAAAGCTGGAACGGCAAAGAAAAACCATCACACTGAAGGAAAACTACACGATCACATAAATTCACTTTGAAAACTCGTTTAATAGCAGAAGTTTGTCAAATTTCTTGAGCGGAAGTCTCAATTTGTGAGGCTTACCCGTCATCTCTGCTGTGCCCGTTCATCTTCTGAAGCTCCATTTTGCTCACTGGGATGGTGACTTTTACAGACTTTGGAGGTTTTGCTTTCACTTGACTTGAAGAATCCTGGTCACGCTTTACCTGGCTGGAATCAACAACAACAACAACAAAAAAACTCAACTTTTTGATCCATTTTTGTCCATCATCTACATATCGAGAATGGTTTTGCCAACTCTTCTCTGCTTCTGAAGAAAACCCTCAGCAGGTTGACCTCTTGAATGCTCAGATCTTTTCCATTTCTCCTGAATGAATCACCTTTTTAATATCGTGTTCAAACTTGTCCGAGTTAAGACCTCACACTTTGAGAGGCTGAAGAATAAAACATGTGTTCGTGTGATACTGCTATAAGATAGACAGAGGGTGTTGGCTCTGTACAATGAAATAAAAACAGAGTAATGTTGCTGAGGCACTTTGGATACACTTGGCCTTTTAAAGGTAAATACGCTCGTCGTTGATACTCGAATACAGGGACGCTTTATCAGAAAGAAACACAGTGACTAATGTAATACAAACATGAAATGCAGTGTGGCTTCAAAAGGGCAACACTATTTATAAAGTCTGGAGACGCACAGCTCTGTAATTTTTCTTATTGCCAAGGACAACCGGAGAGTTTCATGTTGCTATTTTCCTTTGGAGATGCATAAATCCTTCAGCCATTTTATTTTCGAGTCTGTTCACTGTAGAAGATCACAGAAGAAGAAGGAAGAGCATAAGCCATAGATGCTGCTCCATTTAAAGCTGGACATCTTAAAATAACAAGTGTTGTCAGAGGACTTATGTTGCTCTAATCTGTGGGCCAAACAAAGCTGGCATGAACACACTCTGGGAATGAGCGTAGGTCTCTGTTCCTGCCCAGTTGGGGTCATGGGATACTTCCCCTCTCTGTGGGTCAAACTGCCCTCAGGATTTTCACATCTGACCCCTAAGGACACACTCGCACTCCGATGTGCCATTCCTGAGGAGTTTCACACAAAAATCCTACGCTCATCACAGAAACAGGCCTGTTGATGCAGAATAATCCAAACAGCTTTGGAGGTTGATCTGAGCGCGGTGCCGCAGAGATAAACAAAGGCTTCTTGTTTAAATGGTGCTGTTTAGCCTAAATACAGAGTAGCCTTCCCCTTGCATACTTGCCTCAGGTCAACTCTGGTTAGAGTTACTTTCTTTAGCTACATACCCGGCGACTTTCCCATGGCTCACGGCCAACACTCACAAGCAGCAAAGTGCAGGCTGAGTGTCGTTTAACATCACAAAGAGACAGTTTTGGCTGATGAGGGAGCACTGAAAAAAACTGACCTTACATTTGAGTTCTTGCTTTGGATTTTGCGGGGGGAGATGGTGAAACCAGACAAACCTGGTCAACTAGAAACTAAGTCTGTGTGAAACTTTCGATGGTCAAGAAGGAAGCTCTTAGTGTTGCAAACTCTTTTTACCACTATTTCCCCAATAAACCAATCATAAAAAACACATTTAGAGCAATTTTGTCAATGAGAAAGAGTCAAACAAAGACATTTCTATCGTCTTCCTCTCCAGCATTAAAGCCCACATGGCTCCTGTCTGACGCAAGAGCAGCTCACTATGACAGTTAGCCCTTCCCTTCCCTTCCTCTCTCTTCTTCAACATCCACTCCACAAGGACACACACATATACACACTCACATTTCCCAGCAACTTACCCCGGTGACCCAAAAACAAAGCTAGTTTTCCTCTCTGAAAAATGCAAAATAAATCCTTGAGCGAGTCCCCTCAGTTTTTTTTCCTCCCTCTGTTTATATATAGCTTTGTTCTTAGGAGTCTCTCCAAAGCTCCTTGGTAGTGAGGAGAGGAGAGAGTGAGTGAGAGATTAGAGTCTGAGGGGGGAGTGAGCGGGAAATGGGAACACCCATACTTAACCCTTTGTTCAACCACATACAGGTAGAGCCACACCGTTGCACAGAGGCCAGCTGGAGGGATCTTCTCCCCGGGTGTCTGCTCCCGAAAGGTGTCGACACCGCGGCCCAAACAAAGGGAATGAATGAAGCCGAGCTGTTCGGTCTGCAGTTCAAGGCAACAGGTAATCCCAGGGACTCTCAAAACCAACAGGGCGTCTGGTGTTCATGCTGGAGACCAATTACCATGTCATTAAAGAATATGCAAGTTGGAAAAGGAGGGACCGAGTGGGTGTCATCCGAGAGGGGGTTTTGTTCCAGCACGGGTGGATATTCAGTGACAGTTTGCATCCTGCTGGAAGTCACAGTGATGTTAATTAGCTTAGGAGATAAGTGCTTTTTTAAGATTGCCTACATGTGATTGTGCTTAGGAGTGGAAACACAGTGCATGCTTACAAACCCATCATGTGCTTGACCCAAAACCCACCGTAAGACCTGTGTTGACACGTAATGGGAGGAATAAAGCAGACATGCAACACAGATCGAGAGGAAGAGATAGATGTGCTTCATGACGCAAAGATGCTGCGTGAAAACTTCCTGAGTGGTGAACCATGTGCTCAAATTTGGTACTTTTGGCACAGAGGATGAATGAATGAATGAATGGTCCTCCACTTCTACGGGTGGATTTCAGTTGGCTGATAAAGTCAAAATTAGCTGAGATAGGAGTTTTGGCAGCACACCCAAGAAACACCCAAGTTTCCCTTATCTCATACAGACACAAATCCTTTTTAGCGTTGCTGGGGATGTGTGTTTCCGTCATGTAAAGATTCAACTATGAACGCCAACATCTATAACTCTTTTAGGATTTTTTTAACATAACGTTTGCTCCTTTTTTTTTACCTCATTAAAAAAACAGATTTTAATATTTAGGTTCTTGTATCTGGATGTTTGGAGCACTACTCTGGTGAAAGTTTACAATGCAAGCATAGATAAGGTTGATTTAAAGGAGGAATTGAAACATAATAGCACGTCCAGCCACCTCACTTGACCTCACCAGTTTCAATCCAGCTTAAAAAGTCACTTGACAAGAAATTTAACAGCAAAACACAGCTCACAAGGAGCCCTTCTGTCTTGGCAAAACCATTCATCAAACACTTTGTTTTATCTTGGAACAGAACATTAATACCAGGATATGGAGCCAAGAAACTCTCCCATTTCAGTGAGTCATTTAAAGCCCTCCTCTGTGCTTTTCGAGCTGCCCGCATGTCTCACTGTCAGCAAGAGCTTAAACATGTATTTAGCTGAGAAGTTAAAGCAGAAACCATCTGGAAAGACTGTCATCTCCATTTCAACTTTATAGATACGATCCATCACCAGAGAGGGGAGAGAGTTTCTGAGTGATCTGCCCTCATGTATGAATGGGAAATTGTGTCGTGGCCCACATGCCGGGGCAGCTGCAGACTCCTGACCATGAGGTCCTCTCGTGGTAGCCTACTCACCTCTCTGGTAACAGCCGAACAAAGGGATGTCTTCAGTCCGGAGAGAAGTTTCACAGCAAAAGTTAAAAACTTCTGGGCTGTTTTGCCTCCAAAGTCTGCTTATCCCAGAGCCAGGAGCCTCTCCTCAGCTGTGAGAAGAGTGAGAGGGAGAGAGGAAAAGCGGGGGGAAGGAGGGAGGGAGGCAGTAATTGCGCGCGTTAAGAAGTTTCCTGCCATGTCATAAGTTTAAGCCACTCCCTGTTGCTTGAGACTGCCTCTGCCACATGTGGTGCTCTGTAACATTATGAAATACTGAAACCCAAGTCTACATGAGGGGAAGCTCTCACTCTTCACCTCAGTGCCTGATGACAGACTTATGACTGAGTTTCTGGGTGAAGTTTATACTGTATTAACAGGCAATAAAAATGTAACCCAAAAGATGAGAAGGAAAACTTTAATTCTGAGTATTAAACTCTCCTCTTTGCTGTAAATCACATGACAAAGTAATACTGTTGGTGTGAAGCAGGTAAAAAGTGTTGGTTTGTAAAGTTACTTTTCATCAGTGCTTTAAAACTCTGATTTGTTTAGACCAGCTCACTTCTGACATCTAGTGGTTCACACAACAACGTCTTATCCTTAACTTTGACCTCAGAATTCTTACAAGCTTTTTAAAGATTAATCCAAACTTAATCCTAACAGGAATTTTATATTTCAGACAAGATTAACATGTCTCCTTGTAAAAACCATTTCCTTAATAGTTACGGTTGTAATTGCATTTATTCATAATAACACTCCTACTGCCAGAAACTGTTAATCAACATACTCAAAACTTGCAGCTTCAACTTAAAGCTCCTGTGAGGAACTTTCAATTACTGTCAACAAAGCAGTTTTCTTTCATTTTCAGGGAAAAAAAAAACTCTTCCTTTAGATTTTTGACAATCAAATTTGTCATTTTTGTGGTTATCTTATGTGGAAATAGTCAAACTGTTGTTTCTTCAGCTTTTTGACTGACACCTACCCCCTAACACTGGTGGTAAGCATGAAAAATTGCCACATAAAATCGTCTATCTTGATGCTGATGGTTTTGTTTGCTTTTGTGTACCATAAAATGGCATCAATAGGAATTTCAGTCTTTTTTTTATGGATGTCAAAAATCTCCTCACTGGACCTTTAAGATTGTAATAACTCCTTCATGAGGATATGTGGCCATTGTTATATTCAGTAGCTTGACTGGATGAATGTCAAAATGTTCAACTTTACGCTGATGACAGTATGATGTACAGAGTTTCTCCCAGTTACAAATTACTGTTAACATTGGCAGATTCTTTTGATGTCTCATGTTAGGCACTTTGGTTCTGCTTTTTTTGGCTGAAATATGCAATATATAAATAAACTTGCTTCGCCTTTCTTTTCAGGTCAAAAACAGACTGACCTCTGCAACTTTAATGTTTGTGTTGGATGACGGTAAAGTGTTAGACACGAAGGCCTCTTTTCAGAGCTTGCATGCTCTAGATACTGTGAATCTTGGAGCACTGAGGTAATGCCATACTGTGGAAACTATTCAACTTTTATCATTCAGACTTCATCACAAAAATGACATGGATCCTCAAAAACACCACTGATAAATGTCCTCTGAAAGACTTACCAAATTCCTTAGAAAATATAAATCAAACTCAAGATTTAAGAAAATATTTCCATTTATTATAAAACTAATCAGTACATAAGAAAACAAATCTAATCAGTGAAATAATGAGGATTCCTTTAGGTATTCCTAGAACACAGTTTGAGGTTTGACTGATGATTCAACTACAGATCTGTACAGTAAAGACATCACTTCCCCTTCTCGACCCACATAAAGAAATTACAGCGAGCCTCAGGGTTGGAGGCGTGACCCTGAGGACGGCAGCACACAAAGAACTGCTTGCCCATGTTTGGCCCCTCTTTTTTTACAGTACGCAGCACGCAGGGCTCCCCGTGGACCTTGCAGGGAGGGGGTGCGGGTGGTCCATGAAGCACCGACTTCCAAAACCCTGATGATGCCCCTTTTTTGTTCCCTTCAGAGGGCTGTTTACTCTTCACCTGTTTGCCATTTTCCTCTGTGGTGGAAAGCTTCACTGAATCCTCAAGGACAAGTTCAGTCCTTTCAGGCTCTGTGTTTGTGACTGAGGAGACCTCCTCACTTTTTAAAGATGCCTTTTGGGAGTTTTGTGTTGAGGTAACTCCACCAAGGTCGAGTGGTTTTTCAGACGAGGAAACATTTGAGAGCTTTGGCTTGAAAAAGTTCAGTAAGCTCCCCTGTGGTTTTGAAGAAGTTTTCACAGTTTTAGCCTTTTTCCCCTTTGGAGCAGCAGCATCTGATGTTAATAACCGTTTCTTACCAGCTCCAGCTGGGTTTAAATTCTCCCTTCTCTCCTCCTCCTCCTGGGATCCAGGTATTGCCTCCCTCGGCTCAGGCTGAGTTGGCTTTTGGTCCACCTTTACGAGAAAGCGGGAGAGTTTTTGCTGCTTGCCGACAAACTCCGGCAGGTAGCGAGTACAGAGAGGAGGAGGTTTGGAGCAGGGTATAAGAGAGCAGCTCAGTTTCCCCAACACAGGGCAGTGGTCTGACCCCTCCACCTCAGGCATGATGTCTGCATCCACAAACTGCTCTCTGGCCAGCTGGCGGTCGGCGAATATGTAATCGATGCGTGTGCCGTAGTTGGTCTGCCGCGCTCCGGTGAGAGTGGACCAGCATGTGAAGGCGTTGGTGCGAGTTGGGTGGAAATATCTAAAAGTATCCACAAACTTCCCACTGTGGGTGGAGTCTGTTGAAGTAACCTCAGACTCCTCATCAGGTTCCTCATCCTTTCCTTCCTCCTTTTGTCCTCCACCATGCAAAAAGCGGTTGAGCCATTTTCTCCCTGGGTTTTCACTAAAATCCTCCTGCGTGATGAGAGAAACAAAGTGGGAAAAGTTTTATAATTATTAGTACAAGTATACTGTGTGCATGTGGCCAAAATAAAAATCTGAATTTATACAAAATCATCTTTAAAAAATCCCTGACACTTTATACTAAAACAGTTGTTTTCTCCCAAGTCTGTGTAAGAAACTTTGACATACTGATAAGGATAGAAACACTCTGAAACGTCCACAAGTAGACATTTATTATTCTGAACTTTCATGCAGTAATTTAACAACAGTTTTAACCTCTTACTTACAATATCACTAGGGTCGCAATGATCTATTTGCCGGTGGGATGTGTTTATGTCTCCAAGGACGATCACATGGCTGAAAAACAGAAGGAAAAGAATAAACAAAACAGTGAATTCATCATTTATTAAGAGCAGAGGGACAAACAGAGAGAGATGCACCTTCCATTCATAATTAAAATCAAACTGTGATGTCCAAATACAGGTGCGATCTCTATTATAATGAGCGTGTATCAAAGTGTAGGGGAATACAAGGGATTGTACGTCATTACACAAGCTGGTAAAAGGCTGCCAGCTTGAAGTGAAACCACTCTAATGTAAACAGATCAATGGTTACGCTGTCTGCGGTCAGAGCAGGAAACACCTGTGTCTCACCAGAACAACCCCTCTCTAACTCACCTCCCATCTTTTAGTAAAGCTTCAGCTCGACACTGGAGAAGCTTGTAGAACTGCAGTTTGAACTGCTTTCGCTCTGGCTTCTCAGGGTCGGCTCGTGGACAGTAGACATTGATTACAGTAACTATTTGCTCTTGGTCCTGGAACCTGAAAATGAATCAGGAAGAGGCACAAGTTGAAACACAAACAGAGAAATCTACTTTTAGGAAGTGTCTATACTTTCAGTTTCTATTAAAGGGATATTTCGGTGTGAAATTAAGTTAAAGTCAAACACACTGCAACAGTAAGTTAGACACCCCCTCGAGAGATGAATGTTGCCGACCGCCTGCTTCTCTAGTTATACCAACTTCAGTAACGACTGCAGGATAGCAAAACACAGGGATCTGAGGAGCCATAAACAAACCTCAACCAAAACGCCACTCTATAGCCACAAATAATGCTCAGAACAGCACCTAACTTCATCAACAGTACCATATATATATATTTTTTTTGCATTAGATACCAAATACAGCACATTCATTGGGCTTCATGAAGGAAATAGCACACGTGCAAGAAAGAAGACATTTTTTCCTCTTACTTGATGTTGTGCTGTGTGATAACAGCTCGACCCTCATTGTCCAAAAGCTGCAGCTCCTCACTGCAGAAGTCAGCCTGGTCCCCATAGCAACCAACAGCACCTTCATGAGAGGTCAGCAAACCTGTGAGACCCTCTTCAGCAGCAAATGGAGTGGCGCTGTCTTTACAGAAAGTGGCGACCCCTGTGCATGCAAGAAGTGACAGGAGACACGTTTGTATGAGCTTGTGATGGAGTTTGCCAAGGGTGCAAGGACATGAAAAGTGTGATATCATCCTCTAATATCTAAGATGAGCAGAGAATACAGTGAAATGAAATGTAAACACAACTGAATGGACCTGAATATCCACTGCGTCCTCTACTGAAGCTGAAGTAGGAGTTGTAACCCTCAACAATGGCAGTTCTTTCCTCCAGCAGGTCTCCTGTTGGGAACAAATCACTGTGTTATTGATTTGTTATTGATTTCATAACAGACTCCTAATCATAGCATGTAACATCCCAGTTCCCGCGCTCACATCACGACTTACTCGTCACTTTAGTCTCTTGAACACAGATAATATCCGCGTCCAGTGAATCGAGAGCCTTTTTAATGCCACTTCTGAACGTCCGTATGCCATTTATGTTCCAGGTAACGACCTTCATGGTGTAAATAGTACAGTTGTGTGGCCGGACTCTGCAGCACGGCGAAATTCGCACCGGAAGTAAAACGGAAATTCGAAGGGGGACTGGCGGAACACGTGTCCTCCGCCCTGATGACGCGGTTCTCCCGCGGTTTAAGCGGCCATTTTTGATCTTAAAAAAATGAAAATAATTCATAAAAAGTAAAATAAAGAAATACAGTGAAGCAACAATACCGGGCCTTCAGTCACAGCTACGGTGGCCAAGAACTGCCACTGCTGCAAGTAAAAAAAGAATGCAAAAAGAAAAAAAAAGAAGGCACAAAATAAAAAAAGGAAACAGTGCAGATTTAAAAAGAAGATGAACAAAGAAGTAAGTGGAAATGTTATTTTTCAATTTCTCTTCATGTGCTTTTCAATGTGTCATTTGGTTAGGCCATGTGGTGCCTAAGTTGTTGGTTTTTTTTTTAATGCATTATTTTCTATTTGCAGCAGTGGCAGTTCTCGGCCACTGTAACATTATGCATAGTAAGTGGGAACATTTGTGGCTCCAAAATGGGTATAAAATATATAGACCGGCTATATTAAACTGTTTTGATTATGTTCTCAGTTCTTAAAAGATTGAGACAGGTTCAATGGTTTTAATATTTTAATTTCCAATGACTGAAACCACTGTGAGGAGGATGGTGTCAGCCACTGAGACAGATCTGTTCTTACATTTTCCATGAAAAAAAATGTAAATAATTTTTTTATCCAAGAAAATTAAAATAATTTTTTTTTGAGAGAGATTGTTCATTTGATCAAATATACATGTTGTACAATTTTGGACAAGATATTCCCTATCGGAGATCGAGAAGGAGTAGGATAAAGCTATTTAGCTTATATGTACCTACCCTCATCTCTTCCTCTTTATTCACTGTTTACATGTCGTTAAAATATCTGATGTTACCAATAGTAACCAAAGCTCCAAAATCTAGCATGAATATATAACTAATTATTAATACTAAAACAAAGATCCTAAATATACATATATACATCCATACCTATATACACGCATATCCACACAAATATACACTTTATATATATCCCTAGAATACTCCAAATCTCTTGTGAACCATACTCATATACACTTTTGTATGTATTTTTCAATCGTACTCTGCTTTAATTTACTTTTAAAATTTGCAATAAATGACACATTTGACAATGAAAAGTCAGCAGAATGAGATTTTTGTCAAAGGACTATTGAAATATGTAGATGACAAGCTCATCAAAACTGAAAAAAAAAAAATGGATTTGAAGACATTAAAAAAGTCACCACGGGGGCGGTAATGCGCGCCTTTCCGCCCGATATCTACTCTTCATGACACACCAAAGAAGAGTCACCGTGGCGCTGCATTGCTTCGTTAACCGGCTAGAGGGTGCAGTTGCGCCGTCACGTTTTCGGCGCGCTTTTGACACTGACTCCACTCCACTCTGTACTGTGAAACGGGAGAACCGGGTGGGAGGAAGGGAAGTGGCTGTTCTCGTAACCTGGGCTGGTACCCCCTGGCTACCATTGTGTTGGAGAACCGTTGCCGCCGACGGTTGGAGCGGGGAGTCCTCGGTGACCGTTGGCCTGCCAGAGGCGAGCTCCATCTTTGAAGCAGAACCGGAGGGTGAGTAGAACCGAAGGTGGCTAATGGTCGCTATGTAGCGCTAGCTAATTAGCCTGTCTGAGTGGAACAGCCCCGTATGTCGGGCCATCGATGTCATCCATTCCTAGATGAGGCCAATTACAAAGCTATGACTCCGGGGTGAGCCTCTGTTTGTCGGACCCTTCAGCTCGACGGTGCCGTTAGCATTCAGACAACATTAGGCTGTTGTTGCTAGCTGTCCCCGGCCATGTCCTGCTCTAGTGTATCCTTATTAGAATAAATTCACCTGCTAGAATAATATCAACCCTTAGTACTTAGTTTTAAAACACAGGGAACATGTATTTGTGCTGTTAGGAAACTCAAAGTGAACTTTAAAGCGGGATAGTCTCTATTTTATTCGTATTTGAAGCTATTAGAAGTAGTTTGATCCCTGAGAAAACAGATGCTGTCAGGATCATGACCACGCTACATCACTTGATACCGGATGAACGATGGATGTTGTTTCCATCTTGGGTCAAGATGGATTCATGAGGAAGTGGGGGAAGTTTGCCCCACCCTTCAAACACTGATGGTGGAAGTAAAGTTATTCTATTTTACTCCAGGGAATGCGACACCTCCACCTACTCTCATTACTGTGAGGCTAAATTGAGCTACAGCCACTGTGGTAACATATATGTATATATATGTTCAACAGCAGTAATGTTGGTATGCAGTAGGGGTTGACCGATATACGCCGATATTTAAAGAGAGGATGGCCCATATATTTGAAGCAGGTTTTATGTTTTCTTTTATATCCAAAATAATTGAATAATTGTTAAGAATAATAGCAAATGTGACACTGAATTTTATGTAAGTATTTTACTATTTTTGACCTTGTCTGGCTTGGTAAAATGTTCCCATAAGAGAGTAAAATAAAGGTCAATATATCTGGTTTAAGAAATGTATTATTACATGTAGGGCTTGGCGATATGGGAAAAAGTTTATCACAATATATTTATTCATATCAGTCGATATCGATATGCATATCACGATGTAAAAAAAGAAATTTAACAGTGCTTATTGGTAGCTTATTGGTATGTCTTTTGCAAAACAATAAGCTACTGCATCTGTCAGGTCTTTGTGTCTCTTTGGCGGACTGAATGGTCGGCTGTTTCGGCTGCACAGGCGCCATGGGCTCCTTGCTCCGCTCGGAGTTTGTAACCTTTTGCATTCTGCACACTCTGCCATGTGGCGCTGCTTCAGATGGTGAATAAGATTTGATATATTCCTGAACTTTGCGAGAACATGTACTCGACATAATTTGCAGTGCACGTTACTCTGCTTCATGTCCGACCTCAAAAAAACAAAACACCTCCACACCAACAACGTTTTCGTGCCAGTGTCGTCGACGATGTCATCATCTGTTGAGCCTTCATCTGTATTTCTGTCGGGGGTAGCACTCATTTTCTTTCAGTGCTGTCAGTTTCATGTGTTAAAGTCCTATGGTTGCTACTACTTGTTGTTTGCTACTTGGTTCCAATTCAGCATGATTAGTTCAGCATAAAGTGGACCAGGAGCAACTCCCCTTTTCAATGGCTATTTGGGTTTTATCACCCAGCCCTAATTACATGCACATTGCAATCTAAGACACACAGTTACACAAACCAGTAACTGTTTTATTTATGATTTGTTGTGATTGATGTTGTGAAAACTGTGACTTTAGGACATTTTGGCAAACATAACAGGATGCATCAGAGTTATAGTCAAGGTATGGGTAATTATGTGAGTGCAGGCATCCAACAATGCTGAATATTTCACACCATTGAATGACCCAATTAATTGGTCCATCTGTAGTATGAAATGGGACATCTTGAGCAATTACTTTAATAGTGTAAGTTTGATAAATGTGTAGAGTCAAGGAATCACTCGTAATGATATTTAGATATAGTTGGCTTAAAGGGCCCTGATTACATTATTGAATAGCAACAGTATACTTGTTATGGACACAACTATTTAGGTAATATTAAAAACAAAACCAAGTAAAACCAAAAAAAGGAACAGGCTGAAGCAATACACCAACAAATACAGTTTCATATACAATCAAACATAATACAGACAAAAGTTCAGTTTCTGTTATCATACACAGTTTTGATAGTCACTGATCTTTGTTCTTATCTTACTATATTCAAAATGTTCCAAACCTCTTAAATCATAATTACTAACCATGGCCAGGCTTGGAGGTGTTCATGTGTACTTTATTGTTGCCCAAATGAAATAAACTTGCGACCAAAAGTACAAAGCAAATACAGTTTTAAAAAGATGCAATAATTCCAAACGTCGTAAGGAATAAAAGACTAAAAGGCAAGAGAAAGATCTGCCCAGCAAGAGTGAAATGCCATGTTCAGGACTGGTTCATCAGGGGTCAGGTTTAGCTGGTTGTTTGTGTAACAATCTGGCTGAGGTTGTAAGCAGAGAGCTTTAGCAGTCACTCCTACACTTAAAGGCTCTTTAAAGGTACAGTAGAGAGGGGCTGTTGTTTTGTGTGCAGATCGAGGGTTTGGATGGTTAAAAACTTGACAAATTAAGAGATCATACTTATGCATCTAGGGAGCTTCTTGTCTCCAAAGGTTATATATATTCCCAATGCTTCCCAATTAAAAAGCTGCTTTGATTTCAAGTTAACATGAAAGGTGCGTAACCAAGCTGCCATTTCATTTTCATTGATACTCTGTAACTGCATCATGAAATGTAATCATAAAATATTTGTGCTCCTGCTAAACACATTAATTACACATCTTTTTTATGTCAAGAGGAGGCACAGATCAGTATTTAAAACTACAAAACACAAAATTAAAGACTCTCCTTCTTGTCTAGAGTAGAGTAAATGATCTGCTCTAAATGTTAGTGTGTCATCCAGATTGAAATCAGTCCTGCTGTGAGGAGGATGGCGCTCACTGATGCAAAATAAATAATTGATCTATTCCCCTTAAATGCATCAAAGCATGATCAACAAGCCTGTTTTGGAAATGTGGGAGGATTAAATACTCCGATGCTTTTCTTGAAGTGCAGGGTTAAAGGAAGGTATTGATAATTTATCACGTTGAGTACTTTTCACTTTGAACCTTCGCCATTAGAACTCTTGAGTTGAAGTGTTCTCTTACTCAACCAAGCCCAAAGTTCTCTCTTTGTGCTCTTGGCTTAATCGTGATAATATGAGTTACACAAAACCTCTTTTTTTCCACCCTTGACAATGTCCTAAGTACTTTACATAACCTTCATCTCTGTTCTTTGCCTTTTGTAGGAGTAATGAGACTGGGGGAGTGAAGGAGGCAGGTGTCCCAGTAGACCATTGGCAGACAAGCCGGAGGCCAGGCAAGAATGCTGGAGGCAGATGCAGACCCGGCAGGTCAAACAGCTGAAGGAGACGCAGAGGCAGAGATGGGGTGCAGAGACACGAGGGCCGAGGTGGCGAGGCTGACTCTGGAGCTCCAGGAGGCCACGGAGGAGAAGCTACAGGCGGCTCGGTATGGCCTGGTGGTGCTGGAGGAAAGCGCGGCCCTCAAGATGAAACACAGGCAGCTGGAAGAGGAGCACGAGGCTCTGAAAGCCGAGCTCCAGCAGCTCAGAGAGGTAGGAGCACCGGAGGCGTTTAGTGATGTTTAGACAACAGAAGACTTTGAAGTTCTTATTCCCACCGTGTTTCTACAAGAGCATAATACACCGTTTCAGTTTTTCTTGGACACACCTTTTGTTCTTTAACTTAACTGCACTGTATCATTGTGTATTCTGCCGTCTTACATGGCTCTGTTTTTATTATATCTCAGACCAATTTGCGCAGTGATGAATTAGCTGATATCAAGTCTGAAACAGGAAATAGTTCTTCCTGGTCCAGCCTGCCTAGTCAGTAATCTCAGAGATTTTCCGGGTGTTTCTTTGTTTCTCGTCAAATACAATAATGGCTGTCATTGTGTTGTATGAGGGGGAATACACGCCTGTTATTTCACTGCCGCAGACTGGTATAAAAAAAAGGCACAATGACGCTGTGAAATCATGCCATTGTATTTTTAATGATATTAAACAAAAATGCTGATGTCGTTTTCCCATGATGCAGTTGGCAGAAATCCAAAGCTGTAATCTGTCACTTGGTGTTGCAGCAGGGTCTGAAATATACCTGTGACAAAACGGAGGGTAGATTTAGCATTTGTCGAGTATACCTGCAACTTCTGTGTCCTGCTCTTCTGGTTTCTGCACGATGGGACTGTGTGTGCTGTGCTGACACATGGCAAACATAATGAAAATGTCACCGTACCCTGGTGTGTACAGAGTCAGCAGGTATTTCAAATATGTGGAATAAATGGGAATTTACTTTGCTGTCTATAAGGACTAAACCATGACATTTACATTTTATAAGAGAGAAGGAAAGGACTGTGGATGAATTTGAATCTTTAAATGTTTCAAGGATTATCTAGGAGCTTTTGAAACACTTTCTGGTGACTAGGCAATATTGTGAAATTTTGATATCATGATATTGGTGGCCCAAAATAGAACGATTCACAATGTTAGCACACTGCTTTTAACGTTATTAAAAATGGCAAAAAACTACGAAATCACTTCTCTGTGCACAGCATGACACACATATACAATGTGAGCAAGAGGCAGCTAACGCGACGTTGGGAGCATTAGCTTTTTTGGAGCTAAAGTTAGCAGAAACGTCACTAACGTTGTCAATAATAAGCAGCAGAGTAGACCAAACTTGTTGTGGTCATGTTGTTTTTACCTTGATTTGTTCTCTGTCCGGCTGCATCGTTACACTGGTTGGAAGTTGGAACATGTGCGTCAAATTTTTTTTTCTTCTTCAAAACTGTTTCCGGTTTACAGAGTGGACACGCTCCAACAGTGCACAATGCATTGTGGGTGGCCACACGTTTTGTTGTAAAATTTCTTCATTTTCTCTTTTAATGTTCCCGTTTTTGTTAGGCTGGCATTAATGTACTTAATTCGAGAGTTTGTTTTGGATTTGAGACTACTTTTGTGCTGGTTTGTTTGTACATTTTGCTACCGAGGCTTTGACACCGTGGGTAAGACTACAAGCGGGTTAGGTTGGTAAGTACTTGGCTTCTGCTGAGTGACGCTGCCACTCGTCTTTAAATAAAATATTGCAATCAAATCATATATCAGCCCATGCCCATTTGTGACCTGTTGATTTCCCTTTGACCCTCTGTATGGCTCTGATACTTCTTTTTTTCTCACTTGTATCCAGCTGTAGATTGATAAACCGTTTAACAGCTACAGTAAACTCTGCGTACAAAGACACTGTTGTTGTCTCAACATGAATGACGCACAACATGAATGACGCACAACATGAAATCGGTTGCTCATCCCTTTAGCCCTTTATGAAAACAGTCATCTTTTCGCTGCCACAATGACAGGTCCACCCCGGCTGTGCCCTCTCATTATTCTCTCAATGAACAGACTCGTGGTCGCACGCTGAGTCACTTTTGCTCATCTGATGCTGATGCTGGTGACATCAGAAGAAGAAAAGGACTGTTTTTGTGATGAAGACGCCGTCATCCCTAACCAGTTAGTCAGCATGTCCGGTGCTTTTGACGTGTCACATTTTCTCGACTCATCTTAAACTGATTCGGATGTATAATTGCAGAGAATTATGGGTAGAATTGGGTAAACATCGGATAATCAGAATATAAAGATTAAAGCAATATGTCAAAAAAACAAATCCCTATTTAATCCGTGTCCTCACAGATACATGAAAACTCTGACAGATGGTCTTTGCCTGTTTGTGTTAAACAAGCGGAGCATTTTTAAATTCTCTGTCCCTTTAAAGTAATCATCTTGGACTGATGTGGAGTGGGTTAATGTTGTTTCTTTGAAACAAAGCACCAGATGGGCTTTGACTGTATCTAGTATTGCTGAAACGGGCTTTTGAAACTGATTTATGTAAGAAGCAAATCCACAAAATTCAATCCTATCAAGAGGAACAGATTTCTGGTTTTGTAATTATTCCACCCACCTGTCCAAACTGAGAAGGAAAAAAAATCCTGCTTACAAGGAGTTTGGTTCACAGCCAAAAATCTTGTGGCAGAGTTACTCGAAACATGCTGATGTTTTATAACTGCACGTCAAGCAAAGCTCTTTATGTTTGAAGGGACATAGTGGTACAGAATGTCAGCTATTTTTTGTAATCTGCGTAAACCTCGTTTCTTGGCCGTTTACCTACCCAGGCTTTGGCAGGGGTTTTAATCATGCAGGGTAGACTCATGTGTTGTGAATTAGCATCATTATATAAGCACATCAGGATGTTTACTAGAGCATGTTCATTTCTTGTAACACCACATTTGATCGGTCTTTCATTAGCGGATATTAGCGCACACGGTAATGTGTGAAGTGTACGAGCTCATGCCCAGCTGTTAGGAGACGTTTGGTGTTTCTGTTTCAAATTTAATGTAGTAAAAAATCACAGACAAAAGGAAACAGAGCGGAAATGGCTGTTCATGTCTGTGGTGTCTCGTTACCAAATGGTGTCAGTGATTTCCTTACTGTAATTTCATTGTCGAGCATGGTTTCAGTTCTGTTTCTCTTCCTACATCTGTGTAAAGCAGGATGACTTCAATCGTCTTAAAGTCCTGCAGGGGTTTTCACCTAAACCGACCACCCTGTTTTTTTCCCTTGATTCAACCAGAGCCCCTTTCTAAACCTGTTTTTGTTTGGGCACAGGCATTCGCGGATTCTGTGAGCAGCCAGAAGCGTGCAGCTGCAGATGGAGAGTGCCGGGAGGAGAGCCTGCTGCAGGAGACTGCCACGAAGGAGGCTGCCATGGCAACCCGCATAGAAGAAGTCCAGACAGAGCTCAAGCAAGTCCGCCTCGCTCTGAGCAATGCGCACGCAGAGATCGAGAGACTGGGGGTGTTCTCCACCCAGTTAAAAAAGGTTCGAGCAATTCCCCCCAGTACACCTTCACTCTGTTGTTCTTCTTCTGCACACCGTCAGGCCTCTTTTGTTTGTACATAAGGTGAAATCCTGGATCTCAGGAGGATTGTTTATATTCCAGTAAAAAGAAGTGTACACAACACAAATTTGTACTCGTACTGTAAACTTTGCACTGATTTGATTGTTGGTTTTATTTACAGGAGTGCGAGTGTCTGGAGGCAGAAAAGGGCCACATGAGGGATGAGATAAAGGAATATAAAGTACGTGAGCTGCGTCAGTTGCAGGACAACGGCGAGCTGGAAGAGGAAAACATATCCCTGCAAAAACAGGTGTCTGTGCTGAAGGAAAACCAGGTCAGTCATCACCACAAGTACAGCCACATTAAAAACATGGCAGTTTACCTTCTTGATACAGATTCAGAAATAACCCATGAATATTTCTTATTGTAATGATCCCACTCCACTGTTTGACTCATTTGATAACAAAACGCAGGTAAGCGCTTTCAAACACACGTTCATCCGGTCACTCATGTACGCCCTCCGCCACTTTCCCCCCTCGCACTTTTTCCCGCATGACAGCAAAACTGCTTGGCATGCGACGACTAATCTCCCTCACGTGTCTGTTGACATAACTTCACCACTGAGATACAAACAGGCCGAGGCTGAAGAGACTGGACAGGCCCGTTTCTCAGTGATTCACGTTGTTGCTATCCAGATTGAGATGCTCCAGCCTCATCGCAGGACAATGTTTCTTTCACTTGTGAATCCTCAGTGCGGCTGCTTCCCCTGAGATCATTTCTGAGGCTATTTGCTGTTTATATGAGATCACAGAATGAATTATAGCAGGATGACAAGACGATTTTTGCTCATTTTAACATTGAGTCTAAGTCTCGGTGTTAAAAAGTCCTCATAACGGTCTTCTTGTGGGTTGCTGTATAATGTACGTTGCATAATAACACAACCCACATGGCTATGATGCTGCATTATTATTTTTTCTTGGATTCTCGAGGGTGTGAAACAAGTTATTTGTATTCATGGAAGGATTTTAGTCCAACAAAGTTAAAGTAAAAGAAGCTAACTGAATGGCACAATTATATTCAGGATAAATGTTGAATCTCTCTTCATGTCCATCTGTTAGAGTGAGTGTAACTCGCTGCTGACCATCACTAGCAGAGCATTCTGTGACTGTAACACCTTTCAGCTGGCTCTGCTGATAAATACATTTGCATGTCGGAGCCAGAATGCGCACCTATCTGTGTGGCATCCAGCGATAACAGCCCTCCCACTCACAGGTGTCTGCTTGTGCTCTTTATCGCTCCCTCAGGTGGAATTCGAATCGATAAAGCTGGAGCTAACCCAGAAGAACGAGGAGCAGGAGGAGCTGCGAGCTCAGCTGGAGGAGGCGGCCAGGCTGCGGGAGATCGCGGAGAGGCAGCTGGATGAGGCCCTAGAAGCCCTGAAGGAGGAGAGGGAGCAGAAGAACAGTCTGCGGCGGGAACTCTCCGCCCTGACCCTTAACCCCTTCGATTCCGTGGGGAACCTGGAGCTCCACTTAGAGAATCTGGATGACAGCCAGGAGGAGGGCCAGGGGGGAGAGGGAGAAGTCGAGGGAGAGGACCAGGACAGTGGCATTAATAATGGTCCTGGGACCGCTCCCGGTTCTGCTCACCCTCCTCACTCGGGCGGCTCAAAAAGTAACGGCCTCATCCATCGCTACTCGACTCCACGCAACAGTGACGTGTTTCTGCGCGCCCCGGCCTCCGGGTTGGTGTCGGACCTGCTGAGCGAGCTGCACTTCTCGGACAGCCAGAAACTAAAGCAGCAACTTCTACAGGTGAGCAACAACAGGAGCAAATAACCTGCTGGTATCAAAGTATTCATACAACTGAATTTACAGCGATACTTCTGTATGACGCACAACAGTGTCACCAGCAAACAGACTGATGTTTCCACTGATTGTTAAAGCCTGATACCACTGTGAGGGTGTGTGTGTGTGGCAGACCAGACGACTGACCGCACTGAAGAATGAGCCCTTACTCTGTGACGGAGATTGATGGTTAATGATCTAAAGAAAGCAGAACTACATTATCTTTAGTAAACATCATGTACTTCTGCTCAGGACAGGATCAGTAAACAGACAAGCGAGATTCCCACGTCCTCAGGAAGTGCTAAAATCAATATAAGTCCCCCACTGGAGCTTTAACACAGAAGATTTCATTATCTGAAGAAGTGACGCTCTTAAACATCAAAAATTAAACAAATGTGAGGGTTATGAGCTACAAAGGAGTGACTGTTTTAGGACGTCTGGAGGCGACAGTGTGAGATGATAATGTTTGTTTAGAGACACTGAGATCAGCCTGGAGGTCTTGAACCTCAGCAGTGAGCAATGTTTGTTGTTTGTGTTTATTTACAAGCTCTGATACACCTTTAAATATGAAACAGCTTTGAATCAAATCAATCAATCAAATTTTATTTATATAGCACCAAATCACAACAACTGTTATCCCAAGACCCAACCTTAACCGATTAAGACCTGAACCCTGTCTGAGACACGCCTCTGAAACCCTGAGGGCAATTTTGAGAAGGGCCCTGAGATCCTAAGGTTTTCTAAAGTGTTGAGGTTTACAAAAAAAGCTGATATCTCGGCCTCTGTAACAGATAGAAACAAAATTCAAAAAGTATTTGAGAGCTTTCACATGTGACTTTCAAGAAAACTTTATTTTATTTGTCCAAACCTTCATCACGTTTTTGAAAACCTTGAACAAACAAACTGAAATGAAATAAAGCGGCTGTGTAAATAAAAGTAAAGACTCTGCACTGGAGAATAACCAACAACTATAAAAAATTACGATTACAAATATAAAAAATAAAGTGTTGAAAGGGTATACAGCTGCCCCAGTATAGTGCCAGTACAAAAGCAGAACTGAAAACAAAATAAATAAATAAGTGGTTGACTGTGTGTTCATCAACACTCACAGGAAACACCGATAGTATGAGCCAAAGCACTCAGTATGAAGAGGTCGTTCACACTGCTGGATGCTTCTCCACAGAAGCTGCTCTCTGCCTCCATCATTGTTTACTTTCCTCACGAAGCACGTAGCAAGATCCGAGCATGAATCCATTTGTTTTATTAAGCTTTATTAGCCCATCAGAGGCAGACGGATATGATGATTTGATTCGCCACGACTCTAGAAATGATTGAAAAACTACAGAATGTTACAAAATGAAGTATCCACGCTCCCGGGTTGAAGGGTAGAAATGCGTACATGCTGTCCCAGTTTAAATGGGTTAAGATGGGACAGATTTGACCCATCTCATCTAACATGAGTGACAGAGGCAAGAAAAACTTCCTTTTAAGAGGCAGAAACCTTTGGAAGGACCAGACTCATGTCAGCCTCCAGTTAACAGCTCATAGTTGGATTCGTTCCTGGTTAGGGTTTTCTTCCTGTGTCTCTTTTTAAAAGCTGTGTCCACTCTAATACCATGTTAGTTTAATTCTTCTCCTCTCTCACTGATGTTTACGGCCCACACATGATGTGCTCTAAACATCCGTGTTCACAGTTATCTTTACAAGGTGAAAGGCCGATTATTTGGCCATCATGTCTGCTCGCCTCTTACAAAATCTAACTGAACTGCGGAGAAGCTGTGCCTGTTTTTAAACAGTGTTTGTGTAGCCGTCACCAAGTCGACTGAACCTTCATTCATTACGTAGTAAATCCTGATATAAGTAACAGCATAATTTGAGCTGAACTTAATAATAATACCTTGTATACTTCTGCCAACACCGTGCAGTCATTATTAGGGAACAGGGTGTGTATTTAAAGTCCTCTCTGATTCAGTTGATTGCATTTTTATTTAGACAGCTGTTCCAACAGTCCACCCTTTCATCAAACTGGGTTCTGTGAGGTTTTCACTCAGCCCCGGTCTGTCGTGTGTCTCGGCTGCGTCTACTGCTTCCTGCTTTAAAACCACATCCGCTGTCAGCTGGTAAAGGAGCGAGTCTTTCTACGATATTAAAAACCACCTGGCAGCTCATCGCGCCGTCACCTTCACTAATCATTTCTGACATCTAGTACCTGATACAGTCTTCCCACATTTAGACACTCAAGAAAATGAGCCAAGTCTGAAGCTGCTGTCTATCTTTGTCTTTTAAAATACATTATTTAGGATGCTCTCAAATTGGGGGGTTGGGTTAGCAAGCCTCTGCACACCAGATGTTGGGGGTGTAGAGCTGAAGAGGGTCATCCATAAAATATTCATGGAACACCGGTAGCTGAGGGGGTGATGTTTGTAACAAAGCAACTGTCCTTTTTTTTAACTTGGAATGATCAATACTCATCAAGCCTTCTGCCCCGGCCCAGAATTGACATGGATTTTCTGTGTTTTTTGTGTGTATTCAGGCAGAGCGGGAGAAGTCCAGTCTCGCTGGTAAGGTTGAGGAACTGCAGATGCAGCTGGTGATGTCCAAACAGGCTCTCAGCCAGCAGGAGGACAAAGTCGGATCCCTCACCCAGCAGCTAGAGGCCGTGCAGAGCAGCCAGAAACACCACCATGACGCAGACGACAGGGGAGACGAGGAGACAGAGAACGGAGACGACACCGTTTTCGACTACGAGGTAGACACCAAGAGTAAGGAGGTGCTGGAGGCGCGTATGAGATCAGCCAGCGAGGAGCTCCTGAAGCTGAGGGATGAACTGTCTCAAGCGGGAACCCGGTACAACGTCCTGGAGCAGCGATACAAGCAGGAGAAGGACCGCTGGAGGGCAGAGGCCCAGGAGCTCGCCGACAAGATCCGTCAGTGCATCAAGTCCAGCAAGCAGGACCAGGAGCGCATCAGCGAGCTCGAGAAGGAGATCGGAGCCACGAGGAAGGTGGCGATCGATTCTGAGGGCCACTTAAGCGTCGCTCAGGAGGAGCTGCTCGCTTTCTCCGAGGAGCTGTCCAACCTCTACCACCACATCTGCGTGTGCAACAACCTCACGCCCAAACGAGTCACCTTGGACTATTACCGCGATGGAGCCAGGGCGAGCGGCGGGGGAAGCGCACGGAGGTCACACTACGCCTACCCTCAGCATAACACTCAGAAGAAGCCGAAAGCCAACGACATGTTCATCTCCAAAGCTGCGGCGCTTCAGTTCATGGGAGAGGTGGACAGCGCGGGGACCAGCACGGAGTCCCCGAGTTGCCCCGGATCCCCCACTCTGGATTTCAGGGACCCCTCGAACGTCCGCAACTTGGTCGCCGTCATCCGCTGCCAGATCAAACACCTCCGGGTAAGGCGGTATTTCTGATCACACACAGTATGTCAGACATGTTTAAGACTGCTCTACTCTTCCTCAGTCACTGACACTCTTCGCCGTGAGCTTCGCAGCTTTTCCTCCTTCACAAATTTCCTCCTGAAACTAATGCTCAGCTCAGACTCGTTAATGGACTTGAACAGCTCCTGTGTCTGTTCAAATCCAACACCTGAGCGGACCTGGTAGACACGTGTGAGAGTTTGTGTGTGTGTGTGTGAGGGTTTGAATGGATTGGATTACCACGGGTCAGAGTTGAGGCTTTCACTACAGAGAATCCTTTCAGAAAACATCAGTGTCTGCTGGAACACTGTGAAATACACCTTTAGTTCCTGGTTTATAATGAGGTTTTAGATGCATGTTCTCCAATTGTTAATATACTGTTTATGTAAAAGAAACAGTCTGGTCTAAGACAAAGCGTTTCTGTCCTGTCATGAACAACTGGTCTTTGTGTCCTCTTAGGTCGCAGTGGACCTCTGTCGTCAGAGAGGCGCGATGCCGTACTCCGGTCTGAGCAGCAGCGGAGAGGCAGAGCGGGACGCCGAGAGCCTCATGGAAGAAGTGCTCAAGCTCAAGTCTCTCCTCAGCACCAAGAGAGAGCAGATCGCCACTCTGAGGACGGTCCTCAAGGCGAACAAACAGGTGTGTTTCTGCTGGCACTACTACGCTGGCAGCACGTCAATGTTTACACTGTATTAAAGCTGCTTTGACCCGGCGACAGGTTAGTATCCCAGTGCAGGCTGTCGCACCAGATCAACTTGGCTCCTGCTGCTCCAAAACACACGATCATGTCATATTCAAGGTCTTATTGTGGATTTTTTTGGCTCCTATCATGTCAAATAAGCCGCTCTTGTTGATTTTTCTGTCTCTGCTTTTTCATCATTTTTGAAGTTTTTGTAGAATCGTACAAAAATCTCGATAAAGATTCATCAAAATCTGGATTTTAAGTCCTGCTCTGATGAGGCAAAAGAGCAGTGCCTCATCGTCCTCCGCATGACGTCGACACACGCAGTGCGTTTGACCTCCTGTCTGTCAACAGTGTCTCGTCTAGACAGTCCCTCGGGCTCACGAGCTCCTGCACCTTTATTACAGTATGCGGCTGTTGTTGCTGCTGCTCTCCTCCGAGGCTGATCCCTCCTTCCTCTCCTCTTTCCTGTGCCTTGAGCACTGCGTGACCCGCTTCTGTCATTCTCTTATCTCTCACTCTCCCTTACACACACGCAAACACACACACACACATAGACACACACAGAGGTAATCTGTTTGGCCGGACAGCGCTCACCTACAGTGAAATCACCCCTCAGGGCTAATTTCCAGGAACATATTTGCCTTTTTGCTCTTGTCAGCAGACGTGATCAGAGTTCAACATGTGTGACTGTAACACTAATAGGAGCTTTGAAGTCACACGTATCAAGAAGGTGACAATCCTTTGACAGAAACACTGACAGTCCTGTTTTGTTCTGTTGTTGTCACATGAGAAAAGTACCATTGGGTATATTTAAACTTGTTTGGTGTCATCTACAGTATTGAAATTATGGTGTTTTGTATTTTAATAACTCATTTAAAAGGGAAATAATGGAGCTCTTGTCTTCTTGTTTAACTGCAGACTGCTGAGCTGGCCCTGTCCAATCTGAAAACCAAGTACGAGACGGAGAAGAGCATGGTGTCCGAGACCATGATGAAGCTGCGCAACGAGCTCAAAGCCTTGAAGGAGGACGCTGCCACCTTCTCGTCACTGCGAGTCATGTTTGCCAGCCGGTAAGATTCCCTATGTGGGAAAACACTCTTTTCATCAGCAGGTTTGTAAAGTAGGTTTTTGATTTCATGAAGGTATCCTCGAACCCAAAATGTGAAGTCCGATTATCTGGACTGGACTGGACTTTGCCCCCTTTGCTAGTGTTTCTCCGTGCTTAGCGATGGCGCTCTCATTGTGGCACAGGAGCTCTTCGCTACCAGCCTTGTAATAAGCTTATCATGCGTATTACGCCTGTGGACAATCCACCGGTTCACGTGAAGATTATGGACCACATGCTCTGCCCTGTGCCGACACACAGGCAAGGAGGAGGAGGAGGAGGAGGGAAGGAAGGACAGATTTTTCTCATCAAGCCAGGTCACCTTAGGGACGGAGAGGCCTAATGTTGGCGCCGGTTTGGCGGGACTTTAGATAGGATGCAAAGGTGCTATCAAGGGTTAAAATCTTTCACCTCCAGCCACTAATCACTAACCTCTTCTTAGAAATCAGCTGGCATGGACGAGTGTTTGGAGGAGTGTTTCGCTTTGGGCTGATGCGAACTCACAGGTCCTTTTTCCAAGTCATTTGATAAAATACCAGATGAATAAATGTCGCAGAAGCTTAGCGGTCACGTATTAAGAGTCTAGGCTGTCTCCAGACAGTTATGAGCCAGCATTTAATAACCCTTAAGAAGGATTGGAGAACAGACTGTGGTCAAGGACTACAGCAGTCTGTTGCAGCAGGCTAAAGATTACAGCTTTGAGTGATCCTGTTGTTTGAAGTTTAGATCAGTGGCGCCATCGTGTGGACAGATGGAGAAACTGCATTTATGTTTCATCCACATGGACTTCTTTGTCATTTGTATGGAAAATAGATCAGCCTTTAGCATCAGTGCACACACTATTTGAAAAGTAAAATCTGTTTTTGCACCTAGTTTGAAGATTTTATTTCTAATATATTTTTAAACCTACATGAGGATATCCCCGTATGCCTTTAATTGTATTTGCGATTACTTCAGATTCAGATTCAGACAACTTTATTCAAACACACAAATCAGCAGACAAACAGAGCAGACATTAATAGCAGCCAGTAGAAAACCACATTCCCTCTTCAGTACTCACAGATCAGCAGGATCGGCAATAAATAGCTAAATAAGTACAATAAGCAGTCAGGTTCCACAGAGCAATGGTTAAAATATAATGAGGTCCACAAGTATGAGACACAAGATAAGAAATAAAACACTCCCGACGCTCCAGTTCAGCACAGACCACATATGACCATCAGCCGACTTCCTGGCATTTAAAAGCCTGATGGCTGAGTGGATAAAAGAGTTTGAGTATCTGTTTGTTTTCCTCGCCGCCCAGAAGGCATAAGAAGAAAGTCAGAGAACAGGATATTGTCCAGGCTGATCCAAAATTCCTCTGGCTTTACTTTACTTAGTTTTAACATTGATTTATTGATTGGAAACCCTAAGCAATAAGATTAATCTATCACTGCTTTGTCACAGCTGCTGTTTTGAATTTGCTCCGCCTCACTTAAAGCTCTGTTTAGCACGTGTGTGTGTGTGTGTTGTGTGCCCCCGCCTTTAACTTCTTCCTGCATGCCTGTGCATGTTCTTCTCATTCTGTGTGCGTCCCTCAGGTGCGACCAGTATGTCACCCAGCTGGACGAGATGCAGAGGCAGCTGGCGGCGGCCGAGGATGAGAAGAAGACCCTGAATTCTCTGCTGCGTATGGCCATACAGCAGAAGCTGGCTCTCACCCAGCGTTTGGAGGATCTGGAGGCTCCCATGTCTCCGCACAGCCTGAACAGCAGCCCACGCCGCTCTCGGGCTAAAGAGCTAGCCGCCAAGTCAGGCCGGGCCCCGCGCAGCCCTCGAAGCAGTCCCGCACGCCCCCCGCTGAGAAGCAGCCCGCGAGCCAGCCCGGTCCTTGGCAGCAGCGTCCCAGCTATGGCCTCGCATCACCTGAAGAGTCTCACCAGAAGCCTCCACACAAGCCCAGTAAGAACCTCTCTCTCTCTTTGTCCCGAAGACCAAGTTCAGCAGACGAGCAGCCGCTCTAGCAGGGGCAAAGGTATCCCTCGAGACGCTACCTTCATTAGGAGTCATAGTGTCAGTGATGTTTTAAACGCAGATTCAAGTCCGGGTTACTTCTCGACACGTAACAGCTCCACCAGCTCTGTGAACAGCGAGTTAACGGTCAAAACAGATTCACAAACCAGTGGGTCAAGAAAAAGCGGGTCAGGCCGGAGAGCTTCTGTCCCGACACGTCAGGACACCTTCATTACCACTCGAGTGGTTCCCGCCTCCTCCACCAAGCTGAAGTCCTCTGTGTTCTCCTCATCCTCATCCATAGAAAATCTAACCTCTTCTAAAACCTTGTACGTGTGTCCTAACGCATCAGGAGCATGGGGTGAAACTAAACAAAAGCCTGATCCAAAACCAACCGTAGACAGCTCGGTGAGAAGGAAACAGTCAGGGTACAGGTCTAATTCTGTCCAAGCAGCACCTGCATGCCGAAACACACACCAGTCTGACGCAGTCTCTTCTCAGCCGAGCGCTAAACCTGCTGCGACTCCACCAACCGCTACACCCTATGTCAACAATCCGCCTGGCAAGACCAGGATGTCAGGGATCTGTAGAGAGTCGCGGCGTAGACTCGCTGCTTCCACAAGTAGAGCCAATGAGGAGTCACATGTTAGCGCTGGTAGGAGTTCCAGTAATAAACCTCAAGGCACGCCTGCGAGGCCCAGGAGCGCGCACTCCAAATCATCACGCAGGCGATAAGAAGATTGACCATTCGATAGATTTAGAGTCTTTCCTAAATTATTCCATGAACAAGGGCTGCCCCAATAAGTCAGTGATTGAAACTATCGACTGAGTAGGAGACCTGGAGTTGTATTTTGAATCTTTGCACTTTAGTTTTCTAGTTTCGTCAGTTTACATTGATCAGTGCAGGAGCAAGTCAGGCTGCTAAATAAACAAGAAAAGACTCTAAACGATGACCCTGCTCAACGAATAAAGATGTCTTCTTTTTAAACACTAAAAATCCAGCAATTAAAGCTGATAAATTACTGTACATCGTTTTCTTATTATAAACCACTTTGTTTACTTTGTTCCTCGGTGGGCACAGGGTAATAGAGGGGCTGTGAGCTGAGCTGCTGTTAGCTATTTAGTCAGTGCTCTGCTTGTTTTCTTGGCGAGGATTCCCTCAGTGTTTAAAGGGGAGGAAGGGGGATAATGCTGCGCTCGAGTTACCTCGGAAGTCAGATATCGGAGCTGAAAATGACGTCACACCCGAGTTACCAGCGTTCCAGTTACCAAGTCAGAAAAAAGCAATATTGGAGGCGGAAACAAAATGGCTACATCTATGAAAGTTATTTTAGCGCTTGTCTTGTCTGAATATAACAAGGACAAGGCAAGTGCTAAAATAACTTTCGTAGATGTAGCCAACTTGTCTCCACCTCCTATTTTGCTTTTCTCTGACTTGAGCTAGTAACTCGGATGTGACGTCATTTTCAGCTCCGACATCCGACTTCCGAGTTAACTCAAACACAGCGTTATTCTAAAGGGTCTCCACGTCGTATTAAAACTTATCCTGTAATCGAATCTTCTAACGTGTGGAGTAAAGCGTCTGACTGTTATATAAATAGATGTTTTCTGAAGCTAAAGGGACTGAGAGCTGAGCTGCGGTGAACTTTGACTTGTTTAAAAGTTTTGAGGGTTAAACTCCAATGACTAAAGTCGGGATTAAAAAGTTAAATGTGCAATCTTCGATATTTGTAATAATCCTGTTTTTTTGTACAGATGCAGTTCAGATTGGACGTTTGTTTTGGTTTGATTGTTTACTTTTCTACATCTCATCTGATACCTGTTGGGAGCGCTTCATTCGCTGATCCATTACATGTTGTATTGATCTGTTTTGATCCTTATTGATTACCCTCACCCTTTTTGGCCTTAATTTCTTTTAAGTTGGACTAAATTTGTTTCCTTTTTTTTGTCTCTGTCTCACCCTGTCTCTGTAGCGCTGAAACGCTCCTTCCATTACTCCAAACCCCCTCGTCTCCATAAGGACCTGTCTCCATGTTGACTCCCCGGCTCCCTCTTCCTTTTCCTGACTCAAGGCATCCTGTCCATCCCAGATATGATGCAACATTCCCCACTCTAACCACCAGATCCATGGATTTTTAAAAAAAACAAGTTAAAAAAAAAAAGAGAGACAAAAAAAAAAAGTATCTCTCATCCCGCGCTCCCTCCTGATTTTTCTGGAGGGGAGAATCCTGCATGCAGCCTGGAGAAGGATGAAGAGACAAATGCGCTGCTCATTCCTCTGTGAAGTCATTGACTGTGTCTTGTCCTGAGTGGATCCAACCTCCATCTGGTCTTGTTCAAGGCTGTGCATTGTGGTGAACCATTGACAGTATTTATTCTGTAAAGCTCGTCATGTACAGTATTTACAGTCCTCAGACTCTTGAGTCAAGCTTACGATTTCTTTCAAGGCTGTTAAGTCTTCTCTCTTGCCTTCTCTCTGGCACCCTGGTCAGGCCTATTTAGCATCTTGTAGTGTCACCTTACCTACTCTAGGTCCCTAAGGTAGTTGTTTTTGTAGGACAATGCAGCCTTACTAACAGATTCACTCAACTTTAAGTAGAGAGCTTGCTTTGTCTGGAGATTCCTCTTTTTTGCAGTCACGTACCCCCTTTGTATCCTGCGATGTATCAGCCACACCCTTTAATAAAAGGTCAGTAAACATGCCGTTAAAGTAATGGCAATTAATCAGCCATAAGTTCACCACCTCAGGTCAGATACACATTAAACAGAAATAAGATTTGGGAGATCTTTAATGTGCATTTTACTTTGCAAACTATGCAAACCAAGCCGGGACAGTGCCTGTAAACTTCCTGCTGTTCTTTTAGGAATCGGGATAGGGTTTGAATCTTAACCACCGTTTTGCGATTTTTCGCGGCTGTTTGCAGTTATATTGCAATCGCCATTTAGCATCCGTCAAAGCCAAGAGGTTTTGCAATCAGGGGTTGCTTTACTGCTTCATGTTCAAGTATCCCATTTTCTGAAAAAGCACTTCTGCTTTTCAGGCTGTTGGTTTGAAAATACACTGTCTCACATCAAGAATAAGAATTTTAGAGGCTTGGTTTGCCTAAAACTTCAACTAACACGCTCATGTACTCCATCATAACAGCTCTCATTCAGCTTCTGCTCTTTCACATTCCTTTGAAAAGCGAAATAACGATCTCCATGGTTTGTATTTCACCGCTCAATGTCACCATTCGCTTTTTCTGTTTTTGTTATTTTTGCTACCAAAGCTACATCGTTGTGACGGACGAGCGAGCTACCTTTCTCTCCCCTCCTGTGGCTTCCAGTGTTAGTAGTTAGGAACGCTAATAGTGCTAGCAGGCTGCTGTTCGGGTTTGCTGCATGTAGGAACAAATAACGACGATAACGATAACCTTGTCCCATCAGTTTAAAAGCATTACACGGTGCTTTAACTTTAGCGGCACATTATGACTGAAGACAAAGAATAACATTATGAAATAAGACGTAACCAAACTTAATCCAACATGATTATGCTTAGCTAGTTCGAGCTCCTCAGAAAGAGGGCCTCTCTCACCAAGAACATGAATAAAAACTATAAATGTCCACGTATCTGTTGATACAACATGACCTGCTTATAGAGTAGTTTGATATCAGGGCTGTGCATGTACAGCAGAACATGGAGATAATGTTACATTGGAACTGTAAGAGCTCCTCTTTCATTGAATCTAAATCAAATCCACCAGATAGGAACAATTCTGGACTAGAAAATGAAGAAACTGCTGAATTTGTTCAAACTCAAATGTCCTGTGGTTCGGTAGAACAGGCCACATCCTGCTGATTTCATTTTATTTTTTTATGTTTATTTTTTAGTGCCTTGGTTTTGATCTTGTCTGTTGATTTGAGGATACATCACATTTTCTAAAATAGAGGCATTCAGCACTGTAGTCGTGATGTACTTGAAGGTTTGTTTGAGGAAACTATGCAGTGTTAGCACTGGATTAAGCAATACTTTGTTTTGGTGAAGTGTTTTCACTTTCTAGCAGCGTGACACACGAAGAACTGTTACTGTGAGAAAAGTTACTGTATTAGATCATGAACTCAGATTTTGAAGGAGCTGCGCTAAAAAGTGGAAATGCTTTATCACGACGTCGTATTGCTTTGAAGGATGTAAATGGATTTATTAATCTATTTAATTCACTCTGTGCAGTTTTGTGTTTAATTTAATTACCACTGTTGTATAATATTTTAACTCCTATTTATGTGGTCTGCATTCTGTGTAAATTGTTCTTAAGAATGACATGCACACACTCCGCATTACACATCGATGGTCCTCAACTTTTTATGTGTATGCAACTTCCTTTCATCGACCTGTGAACCACTTTTTGTCATGAAGAATAAAAACAAGCCAACACTGTAGACTGATGGGGTCTTTTATGATCAGAGTGAGAGGTGGAGGCGCTTTCAGCTGGATATTTTCCTCTGCCAAGTATGGATCATCCACCCACACGATGTGAAAGTAGAGCTCTTTCGTCATGTGTTAAAGACATGAAATAAACAGACCCGATAGTCCTGCTGCTCAGCTTGGAAATATTAGCGGGTCAAGGGGTTTTGCAATCCGTCCATGCTTGTTATATTGATATTTAGTCCAAATGTTGAATAAACAAGAGGCAGCCAAGCTGTTTGGCTCAGACGCTCCATTTTTGGATGGAAGTGCAAACGCTCCTCAGGGATACGCTCAATTTGCAAAAGCCCAGCTCCCAGAGCAAATCAAGATCACATTAGCGAAATAGCTTTTGGGAGCTAACCATGCCTTTCCCGAAATGTTTACAGCAAAGGCTCAAACCCACAGTGAACTCTTGGTTTCTCAAAACGGCTTGACGTCAAACTTTAAACTGTTTTAGATTCTTTCTGTTTCTAACTTTGTGAACCTGCAGATTTGCAAAAGTAGTTATGAAGTAAATCTATGAAAAGCTAAATAAATAAAACTGAAGTCTATGTATTTAATTTCTTTCAGGAAATATGAGTTGACAATATATCACTTTAATTTAGGACCGAGCAAAAGACTCTGAAAACTCAAAAGGATGTGTTAAAATTGAAATGCAATCATTCACGAACTATGTAATAGCTCTGGTTAAGGTGTGTATCCTGTTGGCTACTCATTGTCCAAATACAGGAGGAGGACCTGTGTTGTTTATTTATTGGCAGGACTCAAAAACACGATTTATGTCATGTCATATGAGATGATTCCTTGTTACTTATGGTGTTAGAGGGCAGGAAGTGAACCCAGGAGTTATTCAAAGTCTCTTTAAAGTCGTATTTACTGTTTTTAAGTTATACTTTGGTTCTTTTATGCTTTTATTTTGAAGGATAGGGTAATAGATAGAGCATAGGACTGTTAAAAATGAGCCACATCAGGTCCCTTCAGATTTATTTCACATTCATCGATGCAAACGAAATGTTTCATTTAAGAATCTAACAACTTGAAATGTGATTGAGATGGAAAGAAAAGGCCTCAAAAATCTCATGTGAAGTGGTTTAATCTTGCGTAGTTTCCCTGAACATCAGTTTAACATCTTACTGAATCACAAACTGGAAACTTTATAAAACAAAACAAGTGGACCCTGTGGACAGAACAGCATGTTGCCGAGGATCCCCCCCTCACAAAATGATGATTCATCAGGCTGTGTCTCCCTTCCTGTGAGACAGGGATGAATCGTCTTCCTCCCACTGGAGTCAGAGCAAAGTCTGGACTGTTGCTCATCAAAACAAAAGTGTTTGAACGTGCTCAAAGGCACTGCAGACTGTGGCGCGGCTGTAAAGTCTGTGTCCCTTCCCAGGATAATTCAGGGTACAAGTTTCATCTTCTTATTTTCCCTCTTTGATAACTGGACAGTCTTTTTTTAAAATGAGGATACAGATCTGGAAACTTGATGTTTGAAATACACCTCTCTGTCTTATTCTCTCTTCCTTCTCACTTCGACTCCCTGCTTCAACCTTCTACTACAAATGCACTGGATTCAAACCCACAACCAAATCTTTTCTCAGCAGTGCTAACCAATTCTCAAACCAGGAATTAAACCCAGAACCATCTCGCTCAAAGGCTTCAGTGCTAACCACCACGCCACAGACCAGCCAGGGAATACTTGTTGTTCTGTCCTTCTCCTTCAGCCACAATGGGTATTCAAAAGAAAGTCAAAACTGCCCAGAAGATTATGATCTAAAAGCCTCTGAGAGAGATTCAGATCACACTTTCTGTACACTCTGATTGGGTTTTGGACTTGAGCCAGTCTTCTGTGAGGCAGTAGCGTGAACCACAACAGGCCTGGCTTGTTTTGGCCTATTCATTTTATTGTACTTGAAAAGCTCCGCCCAGACGACAGTGCGAGAAAAGCATTCAGTTCACGCCTCTGGGACCGAACCCTGGACCATCCAGCAGAAAAGAGCAGTTGTAACCACCACAACACTGGCCTGCTGAGGTTGATTAACTTTATTCTCTTTAAGCTGTTTTGCTTATTTAGAGGAAATGATCCAGACTGAAGTGAAGATCGATCACACCACTGAAGCCACATTATTGGATTTAAACTCTAAACCTTTTAACAGTGAGCTAGAAGTCCTTATCGCTCCTCCACAGTCTGCCTCAAGTTTCCTCTCTTTAAAGTTCCAGTTTTATTTATTACCTGCTAAACTGTGGTTATTCAATAGAAGGGTTCAGACCGCAGTGGAAGGGAGCCAGGACAGATGTTGATAAATATATTCAGTCTTATTCTGAGGCCAAATGTGAAACCTTTTCCATCTGACCCAGAATTTCAACCATTTCTAAACAATTATTAAAGACGTTTGGCGTTTGAGGCCATTTTACTTGGATTGTCGTTCATTTGGTTCTTTGAAATTGTAGTTTATACTTTAACAGGAAGTGGATCTAAAACCTAAACTGCTCAATGCTTGCATGTTTATGAACAACTACGGTGGCCGAGAAACGCCACTGCTGCAAATAAAATTTAAAAAAAAAAGAATGCAAAAAACCCCCCAAAAAAGTTACTGTCGCAAAAAAAAAGAAAGAAACAGAAGCCCACTGCAAATAAAAAAAGAAACGTTGCAGATAAAAAAATTCTAAAAAGCCACAAAGGAAGTTCACGATGCAAAAAAAAAGTGGTGATGGAAAAAAAAGTTACTTACTGTGAAAATAAAAGGATGTAAATAAAAAAGCCACAACAGAAGTGAGCTGCTGGGGACCAGTAATGATGATGCATCGGTGTTTTACAATCTAGACAAAGAAGCTAACACTACACCGGCATCCTCCAGTTCAACTTTATAATGAATCAGGCGCAACATGGTCTAACCAAATGACACATTAAAAAGTTTACGAAGCAAAATTAAACAATAACCTTTCCACTTATTTCTTTGCCCTTCTTCTCACCGTCGCCCTCTGTGGCTAGATCGTAAAACACCGGTGCATCATCATTGTTGGTCCCCAGCAGCTTTTTAGGTTAGTAACTTTTTTTTTTTTTTATATTGCATCGCCACTTTTTTTTGCGTCATTATCTTCCACTCTGGCTTTTTTTTTTTTTTTAATCTGCACCGTTTCTTTTTTTATTTGCAGCAGGCCTCAGTGTCTTTTTTTCTTTTTTTTGTTTTTGCATCAGTAACTTCAGTTGTTTTTTTTATTTTTGATCTGCACCGTTTCTTTTTTTATTTGCAGCAGGCTTCGGTGTCTTTATTCCCTTTTTTTTGCATCAGTAACTTCCGTTGTGTTTTTTTTTTTTTTTTCTATCTGCACCGTTTCTTTTTTTACTTGCAGCGGGCTTCAGTTTCTTTTTCTTTTTTTTTTTCATCAGTAACTTCCAATGTGGTTTCTTTTCTTTTTTTTTTTTTTTTGCCTTCTTTTGTACGTTTCTATTTGCAGCAGTGACGGCTCACGGCCACTGTAACAAACAGACAAACACCCTCAAAAGAAGAAAACAATGACTTTTCGTGCCCTCTGAAAACGTGCTGAGGTTCGAGCCACAGTTACAGACTGTTCTGTGGCTCTGATTGGCTAAAAGGATTTAAGCCCCGCCCATTTGATGAGCGGGGCGTTGCTTAAGCTAAACCCAGTGACTGTTTTGTCTGTTTGCGTGTGTCAGCTTGCAGAGGCAGCAGGATTCAGTCGTGTCTTTTAATCACAGCTGTAAAAATGTCTTTAAAGACAGTGGGGACGGCATTAACCCGCACACTGTGGGTACGGGGAAACAGGACACCCCCAATTCATCGATCCTCTAAAGCGAATAGACCGTCCTCAACGTGCTGCAGCGGCAGCAGGGAGTTTGGGGGAGGAAAGAAGGGCCACGAAAAAAGTTGCAGCTCCAGCTTGGACAGACCACCGAGTGGCGACGTGCCATCTTCCAGCGAGCCGCCCCACGGCTCCAAGAAAGGGGAGAAGAAAAGACTGAAGGAGCCCGTGGGTGCTCCGGGTGTGTCTGGTGTGAGGAGACGGTTATACACTTCCAACGCAGCTCCAGCGAACCAGAGAGCCTACCTGTGGGCTCGGTACAAAGACATGAAGCGGATGGTTCACGGTAAGTTAGAGGAGTCGTTACCCCCTGAATAAAACAGCTACTGTACAGCTCATCTGCTCCCAGCTGCAGAGATATTTAACCCTATGTGAGGACATTTTGGTTTTGACCCACCCGACAGATGGCACAATAACGCTGTTTCCTCCATGCGTCAGTATGACGTCCATTGTGCTTTAAAAGTGAATTTATCAGTCAAAAACAAGTACAGATGGACATTTACCCCTCTGCTGCCCCCCCAGGACAGCCTTATCACTAACTGACAAACACGCTGAAGGAAATAGGGGAGAGTGGGGTCAGTTGAACCAAAGGGTAACTTGGGCCACCCCCTGTTGCTTAGAAATGGTAAAAGAAATTGATCATGTGTCCAAATATTTAGGAGATGGGCATCAATTCATTGAGTCTGTGAAGGTTAGACGCACATAAGTGAAGGGGTTAGACATTATTTACAAACAAAAAACATTTTTCACTCTGTAAAGTGAATTTAGTCTGTCTTAAGTTTTATTAGAATTGTGTCCAGACCAAAAAAGATCATTTTAAATTTGTTTTATACATCAATTGTGGTATCTATGAGCTACAACATGGGGTCAAAAACACAAAAGTCCACCGTTTTAGCTTAGAGGACTAATAAATTATTAAAATTGATTGTTGAAATGTGTTAATTTGTCTTTCCAAAAATACAGCCGTGAATGTTCTGAATCACTTAAAGACATTCTCATGTTAAAATCACTTTTTACAAAACAGCTTTTTAGCAATTATATGAAATAATAATAGAAAGAATTATTGTACCAGTTGAATAGCGTATAATGGATAAAAATACACATGAATGTGAAGAAGTGACTGTTATTATTTTTTGACTGTTTTATTTTCAGTTTTACATACATATATGCAAAAACAAACAAACAAAAAAGTCAATATACCAACAGTGTACAGACAAAACTTCCAGAGTAACCCCCCTACCCCCCCAAAAAAGAATAAAAATAAATAAACAGGTCAGTGTATAAATTATGACAGATTACTGACTTAGATACTTGGTGTAAAAGAAAATCGAGTATGGTCTAGGTTTGGCTGCCATATTTTCAAAAAGGTGTTGTACTGTCTTCTTAGGTGGTATGTATTTTTTTCCAGGGGTCTGCAACTATTCATTTCAAAGTGACTGTTATTTAGGGAGAGAGAAGGTTAGGGAGGAGGCTGGGGTGGAGAGTGGGAGGGTAGTAGGATACGGCTCAACTTACCCGACTCCTATGGTCAACTTACCCCATACATGGGTTAAGTTGACCATAAGGGACCACTTTCTTTGGCATGCTATCTTATCAAGACAGTTAAGTTTACACTCATTCTGTTGGTTTGCAGGGATGAACAATATCTGAAGAATTTAGCCAAAGGTGAAATACAAGTCATAGGGGTGTTAAAAAATTGAATTAAGTGTCATATCATAGTTTCAGCTAAAAGTTATGAAGCAAAGAAGCTTTTTAGCATTTTTATTTAGCTTCACTTTTTTACACAGCATTGAAATTGGCTAATTGACAGTGCAAGAACTGGAAGAAAACTATAAATATGACGGATGGACAAGTGACAATAATGGTGTGTGCAATAACCACAGAGTCAGGTGATGTAAAATAGTAAAAGTGATGGTCAGATTACAATAACAGTGTTTATTATAGCCATACAGATAGTGTCAACTTAAAGTCAGCCATAAAAGAGAGTTTGTGTGTGAAATGTTGAGGACCTCAGAGAAGACTGTAATGTGCCTAATGGTTTCCCCCCTTTTGATCTACAAAGGCGAACAAATTCACAAAGAACAAGAATAACATTTTCTACTTTCAATGCCTGTTACTGCTGAGAGGGTGCAGGTCATGACTCGTCATCGCACAAATCTTGAAAATCACTTAAACCAATTTCTTAATAAAATGAGGATGAGTCAGTTGCTTAGGCAGCACCCAGTATTGCTTAATATAGGGCTGCAATGAGCAGAAATGATATCAATAAGAAAACCAGATGAAAACATCCTTCTGAGGCAAGTTATTGAATAAAAAGTGGTCATTTTGCAGCATAACCAATGACAGATAATTCCTCTGGCTCATGCATGCAGATATTCCCATTTTGCAGCTTGTCAAGGCATTAAGGTTTATTTAAAACTGCACATACATCACATCACCCGATTGAATCAGGGTGTTTAGTTTAGCATGTTGACTGGCCTCAGGGTTGGCACATACACACATGACCACTGGCCAGCTGCAGCTTTCACTGTTCTGTCCCAGGACACAGAGACATGGCCTATTTTCCCCTTTAGACACTCAGTGACCTGCTCCTGTGCTCATATTCCAGCCAAGGTATTAGCGTCAGTCTCGGGGACAGATTGTAGACAGTTTGTTTAATTTGTACCCATGTGTAAACTGCATGACAGTCATAATGTATCAAAATGTAGGCCAGTCAAACTGCAGATAGAAAATCAAAACAACGTGAGCTGCATGTTCCACGAGGCTTTTGCTCCTTTCCCACACCCTCTGATATTGTACAGAGTGTTCTCTGTATCCTTTTTTTGGATTGACTTGTTTTTTCAAGAGGCAGTTGAAATTTGGAAGTACATATTGTGCAACTGCAGATTGGCTGGGCTGCCATACATGATCCAAAACAGGAGTGTCTTTTTCTTCCTGTCTTTCTGCAGAAGCACCAAGTCATCAAGTTTTTAAAATAGAGACTATCACAGAACTTTAAACATGGAAACTGGGTTAAATGTTGTGAATATCCACAGACGCTGGTATCAGTCTGATTAGATCTGCTTTTGACATGTTTCATCTGAGTGAGTTTCACTTCTGCACACAGACTTGATCCCACCAGGAGCGTGCAACCTCCTCAACTCCTCCACCATTTATGCCAACAACGAGGTCAGCCTGGCCGAGGTGGATATCTACGGCTTCGACTATGACTACACATTAGCTCTGTACTCAAGTGCCCTTGACGCAGCAATCTACAACAGAGCAAAGGAATTTCTGGTTGAACACTTCAAGGTCAGTCGTGCCCCTTTGAAAGCCTCTATCTCTCGCAGTCTTCCTGTTTCGAAGCGGCGGAAAGAGGCAATAGAGCAGCTGTTTACACTGCTTACAAAGCACAAGTGATAGTAGGAGGAGGAAGAAAGCAGTACTTCACATTTAATTAACACTTTAAATTCAATTCTGCACCACAAAAACAGACATCATGAATGCAAATCCAGTGCACTGGAATTAAGCTAAAGTTAATAAATCTAATTTGTCTCCATGCTTTGCAGTATCCCGAGGGCATCGGCAAATATGATTACATCCCCAACTTTGCAGCTCGGGGTCTTCACTATGACATTGAAAAGGTTAGTCCCTCATCACAGATACACCACTGCAGGCAGAGAGATGTTTAATCTTCATCTCATATTAACAGTATCACCAAAAATCTCTCCATTCAGGGTCTTTTGATGAAGATAGACGCCTTCCACTACATTCAGCCAGGAACAGTGTATCGGTAAGAGGCTGGAGCTGCTCTTGATTTGCACTCTGTTGAATGCACAATCACGTATTTGCATTTTTTTATACTTAAAGTGTGTGGTTTTTTTTTTTTTTTTAGAGGACTGAGCCCACTTCCAGATGAGGAGGTCTGTAAGCTGTATGGAGGTACTTTCCACGTCCCTCTGCAGCAGGACAGCGGCTTCTATGGAAAGGTGAGGGTGATGTTTTAGCATTCGAGCCGAGAAAGCCTAAAATTGATTTCAGTTTAAGCCCGTTTGGTTTGGCGCAGATGGGAAAGCTCGACAAATCTGTTCTGATCTCATCAAAAATCGGAAGTAAAGAGGGATTAAATCTGTTACTGCCCTGAAATATTACAACTGTCTGGTTTCGCCTGGCATCCCCATTATATAAAACCACCAGTGACTTTTAGGATCTCATTTGTTTTGTCGTCATAAATCAGGTGGGAGGCAGCATGCCAAGCCCTGACAAGAAGTGACCATAAGTACTCTGCGTCAAACCAAAATATTTTGTTTTTAGTTCCGCCGCTCCGGAAGCTGCTCTCAGTCAGTCACGAACGGTACAAAACCTTATTGTGTCCCGCTGTCGAGGAGGTTAATCTGACTCATTTGCTAATTAGGAGCAATTTGGAACAGAATCAGGTCCACATAGTTCTTGGTTCATTAAGTCTTTTTAAGTGTTTTCCCAGAAGAAGAAGAACAGCTCTCCGTCTTCCAGCTCTCCTTGAATCAGTTCTCTCAGAAAACAAAAGAAAAAAAAAGGTTTCTGTAGCTCTAACCTCATTAGGTGGTTCATAACAGGCTCTCAGTGGTTGGTGGTTGTTGCGCAAATGGTCCCGACTGAGATGATAAGAGTCACTCAGAAGAATAGAGGCTTATGATGGTCATAGTTACATGCTTTGAATGGATTTCCTTGATGATATTGTGGGCGGTTGTGTGGCATTAGGGTTACTGCCCCAGCTTTGACAGGAGGATGTGTCACAGCTTACACAAACTCTGACCTGATGGCTCTAAAATGGGGCTACAGTCATCTAATACAAACAGCTTATTCAACAGACGAGTAACTCTTGCACCAACTACCGAGGGTGATGTAATCGCGTCCTGAGACATAGTTGCACATGCAAACACTGAACAAAAGCACTGCTATCTGTATAAACAAGCAGAAGTGAACACATGCGTAAAAACAGTTCTTTCTTCTCCAGGGACCAAAGGTGAAGCAGTTCATGGACATCTTCTCCATCCCTGAGATGACCCTGTTGGCCGCAGCGAATGATTTCTTCGTCACCAACGACATTGAATATGATCCGGTTCACCTCTTTAAGGATGTCTCAGTGAGTCTGCTTCCTGGTTCTCATAGTATTCAATCTTTAATAATATTGTTCTGTTCTGTGGCCTCGGCGTGGAGCTCACACTGGGAAGCTCTGTGACTGAGTGTGTTTGAACGTTTCACACGCTGTGATTCTTCAGCTGGGGCTGAGGAATCTGCTGAGCTCAGCCAAACTTTGAAATGGACTCTCATGTAGGGAACAGAAAACAATCATGGAGCGTCCTCCTGGTCCTGAGGTGCAGGGGTGACGAGGTTTTCTCTAACAGAGAGACACAGCTTTCCTGCTCTGTTCCTGTAATATATACTTAAAAAAGAACAAAACCAAAGGTTTTTGTATTACCCCCTCTTTCTTTCTTTCTTTCTTTCTTTCTTTCTTTCTTTCTTTCTTTCTTTCTTTCTTTCTTTCTTTGTGTTTGTTTATTTTTTTGTCCGGCTTTCTTTTATTTCCTTTTTTGTACAATTTTTTTCCTCTTTTTTGTCCGCCTTTCTTTCTTTGTACTTAGTTTTTTCCTCTTTTCTTTCTACTTTTCTTTTTACTTCATTTTCTACTTACTTCGTGTTTTCTTGTTTTCTTTCTTTTTTTTTAAGTTCCAGTTTTCTTTTTCATTTTGATTCTCTCAAATTTTCTAACAAACACTTTTCCCCCTTTTTTTTCTGTTTTTTCATCATGCCATTTCCATTCTTACATCTTTTTTTTTTTCTTCCTTTTATTTTCTCTTATCCCCCAAAATAACCTTTTTTTCTTTCTTTTATTCCTGTCTTTGTTACCTTCTGTCTTTCTAGCATTTTTCCTTCCAATTTTCTTTTTTATTCTGTTTCTCTCAAATTTTCTAACCAACTTTTTTTTCTATTTTTCTATCTTGCCATTTTCATTCTTACCTCTCCTTTTTTATTTCATTTTTTTCTTACTTTTATTTCCTTTTTGTATAATTTTTTTCTTCCTTTTCCTCTTTTTTGTCTGCATTTTTTCTTTGTACCAAGTCTTTTCCTCTTTTCTTTCTTCTTTTCTTTTAACTTAATGTTTTCTTCCTTTTCGTCTTTGTTACCTTCCGTCCTTCTAGTATTTTTCCTTCTGATTTCTTTCTTTTTCTTTTATTCCATTTTACTTTTTCATTCTCTTTCTCCTTTAGTTTTTTTTAATCTTGCCATTGCCCATTCTGACCTCTTCTTTTTGTTTTTCTTTTTTTCCTACCTATCATTTTCCTCCTTTTTCCATAAAAAAAAGAAAAAGCTCCATAAACTCACTGACTCTGATCCGTTTTGTTGCTGTTTGGTTGCTTATTTCGGTGACTCTCTTTTTCCTCAGGACGCTGTTGGCATGGTTCACCTCAAAGGCTTCATGTATAAATGGATCATGGAAGATCTTGGTGAGACACCCTTTTCCTGCTTTAGTGTAAACTCAGCATATTTCTGCATACTTAAAAAATGAAGCAGTAGTATAGCGCTGTCTTCTCTCCTCAGATAAGTTCATTTTGAGAGGAGAAGAAACCGATGCTGTTCTGCACCGATTGGTCAGCAATGGAAAGAAACTCTTCCTCATCACAAACAGTCCCTTCAGCTTTGTGTGAGTGCGAGCTCTCTGCGCTGCACGTCTCACTGACTCATTAAGCGGGTGGTCAGCTCTGTTGCAATTGTAACGTTTGCTTTCTTCTCCCTGTGCGTAGAGACAAAGGCATGACGTACATGGTGGGGAAAAACTGGAGAGACTTCTTTGATGTTGTCATTGTGCAGGCAGACAAACCGCATTTCTTCACTGATTGTATCAGGTGAGGACACATGTTGGAGAAAATGCTGAGTAAAAACCATTAACCTCTGCTTTTGTGACTCATGATGGATCTCAGTAAACAGTTTCCTAACACGTGTTCTCCTGCAGGCCTTTCAGACGCTTGGATGGTAATGGAGATCTGCGGTGGGAAAAGATAAACAGTTTGGACAAAGGACAGATCTACAAACAGGTCTGTACTTAAGCTACTGTGTGACCTGCAGTTCTTCATGTTTGAGCAGCTCATAGTCCATATAAGGTCATCTTTATTCCTTACTCTGCATGAAAATGCCGTTAAATGTTTTTACTAGTTGCATTGTGTGCTTTTAATGAACCAAACAGACTGGTCTGTGATTTGGTGGGGTTTTTTCTGTTCCAGGGAAACTTGTTTGACTTTCTCAGACTGACAGGTTGGCGAGGCTCAAAGGTTCTTTACTTTGGAGACCATCTTTACAGCGACTTGGCAGTAAGTGGCGAGACAAAACATTGCCAGCACTAATGGGTTCCCTGTCCACTGTTTGACTAAATGATGGGCTTAGAGTCCACCAGCATAACTGGCACAGATTTCATCCGTTGCACTTTAATGAAATTCCTCCAGGAGTGGGAACCTAACACAAAACGTAACTTCCAGGATTTCTTACGGACCTCAGTTTGCTCATATTAAATGGTGCCAGAAATCTTTCATTCTGCCTCATTAGAAGTCTGCACAAAACAAACAAATGCACATGCTCTGAGGCCCAAAGCCCTCACGTGTTGCACAATTCTGAACATTTCCAATGTGGCATACGGGTTAGGCAAGATTGAGCTGCATGGAAATGATAAATACCAAACAGCAGATGGCAGTAAAGAGCTGTTGGATATAATGGTTTGAGTTACAATGTAATTAAACGTTTTCCTGACAACTTATTTTGGTATGTCTGCTGTAAACAAGTGCTGTAAACAAAGTCAAAAAAAGCAGAAGAGTAGCATTTAGGATAAAGTAAAACAAAATAAAGTGTATCAGAGTAAAGAAACTGCAAGAAAGTGTGAAAGGCAATGCATAAATAAAAGTTCAGAAATGCAGTTACAGCTTACTAAGATAAAATTATGTCTTAGATATGATAAAGGACATGAATGTGCTGTGCAGAGCTTATCAAAAGGCAAAAGAGAGCAACTATCATAACTGGAATTTGGAAAACAGATGTCAAAACCCCTGAGATTTGACCTGAGGTGCTAAAACCTGGTCTCATGGGATCTTACTGTTCAGGCAGACCTGAGGTGTATGTATCCAAAGGTTTTTAGGTGATTCATAACCAACAGAAACAGTTTAAAATCTTAATGCAACTTTCTGACACACCGATAAAAGGGAAGACACAACATGTGTCACCATTCCTGCTCAGACACATTCAGACATCATCAAATGTTTCCTCTAGGCTTACTCATAGGTTATTTTTTTCACACCAGGAGGGAAATATTTGGCTCTGGTTGAATTTGCTTTGTTGTTTACACTGCTTCTTTCCTAAATAAACACAGTGCATGTGATTTATCGTTTGGTGCTTGCAGCACGCTATAAATCATTCTTCTTCTTTGCCAGAGTTTAACCAAACTAATTCCCCTTGTTGTGTTAGGACCTGATGTTGCGACATGGGTGGAGAACCGCAGCTATTGTTCCTGAGCTGGAGTACGAAACCAAAGTGGTGTGCACAGATCAGTATGCTATGAACCTCACCTGGTTGCAAGCTCTAACTGGACTGATGGAGCGCCTGCAGGTGGGAACTAAACATTTAGCAACTGGTGTTGGAGTTTGGGGAACAAAATAGGCCTAATAGATAGCTGCTTTTGAAATTTATGTCACCTTTAACCTGGAACTTGTCTTTGTCTATGTGTTTTATGGTTAACTGCAGCCGTGATTTGCTCATGGCTTTGTCTTCTTTCTCGTAGATTCACCGAGATGAAGATTCAAAAGAGGTTTTTCAGGAATGGCAGAAGGAGAGAGAGGAGCTCAAGTGAGTGCAGCACATATGTGTGATTATCTTATCAGCTTTGGAGGTTAACATAGAAATTTAAAGCTGAATCTACATCTGTGTGAGCCACATAAAGAAAGTTAGGTTCCAATGCCTACATGTACCAAGATGCACTGCACCCAAGTAACTTGAGTCTCAACTCAGGGGACTCATTTTGGGGGCTTTTAAATTATGGTCCAACTCATTCAAGTTTCATAATACGGCCAGCCAAGAACACTCCCACGGCACCCTGCAGACATTATTACATAAAACAACACATTCTGATATCCTAGTAACTTATAACCTAACTTTTTTTTGTTGCAGGGTGATGACAAAGAACCTGTTCAACCCTCAGTTTGGCAGCATCTTCAGGACATCTCACAACCCATCTTACTTCTCCAGACGTCTGTCTCGGTTCTCAGACATCTACATGGCCTCTCTCAGCTGTCTTTTGAACTATGACCCGACATACACCTTCTACCCGCGCCGCACCCCGCTGCAGCATGAGGCTCCTCTGTGGATGGACCAGCTTTGCACAGGCTGCATGAAGACGCCTTTCCTGGAGGAGATGTCGCACATTCGATGAGAGCTGGGCTCTCCTCAGTGACTGTGATTTTATCACTCAGACTTTTTGAACTGAATATGGCCAGAGGTTGTGCAGTAGAGTTTCTTTTTAGAGAAGTAGGTGCTTCATTACGTCTGCACAAGGCAAAACATTCCTGTTACGCACAGTGACTCACTTCCCCTCTTTATCCAGTAGAGGTAGCTGTAGCTTAAGCTGTTGTTTTACAGAGCATACCAATCAGTATAATCTACTGAGGTACAAAACTGATTAACACTTGGCTTTCTTGAATGGATGACAGTGGCATGGGAATACTGAGCAATATTAAGCTGTCAACGCACAATTACAGCAAATAAACTACCTGACATACTAACGTGTTGGTCTTTTAACTACACTGTAAGCAGGAAAGATAAAACAGGATGTTAGTAGAACATGAAGCTTTGAATAGGATAATAAGAAAAATCAATCTTTTACCAAGAATTAAACTCAAATTGAATGTTTTTAAGTATCTTTGTGTGTTTGAGTGCAGATTAAATATGTTGGCTCTCTTCAAACCCTATTATACCCTTAGACTGTAATTGGCCTAATTAGTAATGAGCCTAATTGGATAAAAGTCGCATCAGGTGTGGTAAAAGTGAAGGGATAAAAGATAATTACAGTAAATAACCCTGCTTAAGTTTGTCTTACATGGCATCTACCACCTGGTGGTGTAGTTAACCATGTAACTGTCTAACTGTTTTGCATTTGTCAGGTTTTACTCATTCACATCCAGCATCTGGACGAAGACAGCAGGTAAGGTACGACTTTAAGCATTTTAAACTTTTATTTAGCGAAGTCTCGGCACTAAATAAATGTTTTCAGAAGTAGTTCGTTTATTATACAACTTGCGTAACTCTGCTTTGAGCAGGAGCGTTTTGGGCTAAAGCTACACACGTTTGTGTCCATTGAAAACGATGTTGTGTAAATTTTTTGGCTAACTGTTTCAAACACAGGCGCGCGAGGTCCCCGTTTCTACTCCTCAACTCGAATAAGACGGAAGTGCAAAGGTTTCACCTGAAGACAGACGCCATTTTTACAGTAACAGGCAATTCGACCGTTAGCTAGCTTCCTGTCACGTTCGAAGATAACTACTGACCGTTACAAGGTTTAAAGCTGAATTATGGTAGTTTTCCAAGTATATAATAAATTTTTAATTAATTAATAAGGACATGATAGAAAAGTGGGTCAAATACAGGCTTTAATTAATTCATTTATTTTTCAAATAAGCCACATCTCAACAAAGCTCTGATGGAAATTTCGGGAAAATAGTGTCGATAAAGTTCATGTTGTTGCTGATAAAAAAAGAACAAACCTTTTTACCCTTTTGGAGCCAAAAATTGTCAATGCACAAAAATATGGGCAAGAACCCAAACTATACGCATTTGAATGTTAGTCTGACTTATCCTGATGTATTATTAAATTTCAAAATGTCACCTTCTATGAAAGCTTCTACTCTTGAATGGCTTTATTTTAACACCATCTGACTCACTTCCACACACTGTGATTAATCACACAATTAATTGCTGATTAAAGTGTAGATTTATTTTGACATTTGCTGACAGAATGACATTTTCTTGGATTTTCCGTTGGGAACTTGTTTCCTCAGCAAAGCTCTAATCATGTGTGCTGTTCGACCCTCATAGATTGCGTCTGTTTGCACATCACCACGTCATTTGGCATACTGCTCCCAGTGTCACAATCATCTTTGGTTTATTCTGTAGGAAAGGTAAAACACAACCTACTTTTTGTTGAGTGTATATTTAACTTTCACCATCAGAGAATTTGGAGATCCTCTGAAAATGCTAGACTGCAGGTCTTCCCGTTGATATTCTGCTCCATGGGGGGGATGGAAAATACTAAAGAGAAACACAGAAACATGTTGCTTGTATGTGATTAGTATCAAGAAGCATTGTTTTATGTTGTGTAAGATAATACTGAGTGAAGGAAAGTGGAGATTTAGAGCTTTAAGGAAAGATCTAAAACCAGTTTCCTTTCCCAGACTTGCAGCAGAACCTCACAGTATAGTAAGGATTAGATCCATCTCCTCTGCCACAGTCCATTTCTGAGAGTTTCATTTTGCTTGAGATTTGTTTCCCTGATACCAGCATCTTTTTTATAACTCTGTGATACCCTGATCCAAATGCTGTCTTCAGGATATTGATTTTTGGTGGCTGTAAATCCTATACTGTGGCTTTGAACATGAACGCACTTTAGAAAGCGCCTGTAGAAGCATACTGTCTCTGCAGGATTTGTTTATCGAACCCTTCATAACATCTTTGTTGGTGTGTCTGCGTATCTACAGGGTTGACTGGTGTTTCAGTCTATTTTATGGCCAATTGTCTTTAGTGAGTAAGCCTACACCTGTGCTTCAAGAGACACCAGGACAACCTTTTTAGCATGCTTGACTTTCTTCAACAAGCACAGAAACATTCACAGGATCTTTAATGTGAATGTACACATTTGGACTCTCTAACAATAGTCCCTCTTCTGCTTGCAAGCTTCACCCTCCTGTTGTTGCAAACCTTCATCCTTCAGCAACCCAATCCTGGATTTCTACCTACATCTGCAGTTCCATTTCATCTTCCCATTCCCTCTTATCTTTTCGCCCTTCATCTCTCCCTTTCCCATCCGTGCTCCCTCATTTTCTCACCTCAAAATCTCTCCAATCCTTTCCTCATCCATCCCTCCCTCCCCTTCCATCATATCTCCATGCTTCCAGTTGAGTGCCTCTTTGTGTGTTGCCGTGCTGGCCTGTAGGAGGCTGTGCACTCAGACGTACGTGCGCTCTGGCAGCCCGTCCCTTCGCACAGCAGCCTCCTCTATTATTAAGTGCATTGGGACCTTTACTTTAACAGCTGAGGAAGACTCAGATCTCTCCATGTTTCAGAGGATTTTCCTTCATTTGCCTTGAAATTAAAACCACAGACGCCCCATAAAAGAAAACACCGCTTGTTTGACTGATTTATCATTTATCCTCTGTGAAGACATCATAAAAGAACAACATATTTTTTTTTATTCAGGAGGTTTATTCTGGCAGAACGGCTCAGCTCTGTGGGTTTGTGGATTTCAGTTTGGGATAAAACACACAGAGTCTGCGAGGATGAGCAGAGCAGAGAGGCCGTGAGGCAGCAACTAATTGGTCCTTGCTAATGTCCGGAAAAGGGGCACTTTGAATTCACTGTTGTGTAATCATTAATCCAATCTCACATGATGAATAATTAGTTGATAATAAATAAGGCTAAATCCCCATCAGCCCAACATGTATGTGCAGCTATTTTTTCTCTAGGGTGAGATTAAACCAAAACCATGTCACAGTCATGGAGATAATTGATTTCCTGCAGTGGCATAATGATGATCATAAATATTATGCAGTTCCCATCATGAGATGTAGCCTACTGCATGAATGTTCAGCTAAAGGTTAGAATAAAAATAAAATGATTATGGTGCATTTTGACCCAAAACAGCTTTGAGCAGAAGTGTGACATCACCACTCGACCTTTGACCCAAAAGAATAGTTTTTTATAACATGAACGTTAGTGCAACATACAGACTGTATATGATAAACTCCTCTTGTTGGGCAGATATACCTCCAACTAATAGAAACAATATTGTGAAAAAGGAATTCAAATTCATGTCCCATCTATTAAAGGCATGGTTGACGATCTGAGAAGCTGTTGCAAAAACTGAGCCGTTTAGGCAGATTTGAAAAAGCGTCCCACCCCCCACACACAAACCCCTCCCCTCCTGGCGGAGCTTTCTCCACTGCTCGAAGGATGACCCAATGTTTATTCCAATTAGATTCCTCACTTGGTCACATTTCCTCTTCGTCTCTGCCCTTTCTTCTGTCGGCTTGTGTTTTCTTCCCACTTTTGGCGGTGGGGCAAGAAGAAGTGTTTTTTTTTTTTTTTTTGCATCCTTCTCCATCACAGCTCCTGTAGCTAAGCTGCTATGCTACTTTTAGTCGCTCAGCGCTCCAACGAGGGCCGGGAGAGTGCGAGGGGATGAACTGGAACTACAGGAGAGGGGTGTGTCGAATACAACGAGGTGATTGGATGGAGAGGCGGAGCAGGAGATTGACCAATCGGAGCTGTCCGGGACGGATGGCTCCCATTGGTCAGTGCTTTTTCAGCCCTGCAGCTGCTAGGGTGAACAGATTTTTTCCATTTTTTTTCTTCACTTTGTGGAGATAGCACTATAGGACCATGATCGCCATAGAAACAAGGTTCATAATAATTACCAATCTCTCCAATCGTCAACCATGCCTTTAACATGGAGAAGCACACTTTATGACTTACATTGCAGCTAATTAGTGGGAGAGCTCTAATGTTTTGGCTTGTGGAGCATCTGAATTGCCTTGTTGCCTGCATTGGCTTCACTTTGGGGAGCTGTCTCACTGTCCATCTTTCACGCAGTCTGCACTGCAGCAGCACCACAGATGATGTCATTCTTATTCAATGCAGTCTTACTGTCAAAACATTGCACCAATATACAAAATACCACTTCTGCTACTGACAGTTCCTTCAGAGAGACAATTGTTAAAGCAACAAGCTACAGATGAGGTGAGGAGTGGGCCACATGTTTGAAGAAATCTCTCGGCACTAGCTTTGTTTCTTCAGCCCTGATTTTTTTTGAAAAAGCTTTTTGTGACTTTTTTGAAGTGCACAGCAGTCCTAACAATCCTAGGTGCCTCTTAAAGCTCTGGAAAACCAGCCATCCCTCCTCCTCCTACTCTCTTGAGCCTGCAGTGTATAATAAAATAAACCAGGGGACGCCTCTGAACCTCACCCAGTCATTTTCCTCACAAGCATTGCCAGATTTCACATGGATTATTTATACGCCGGTTTATGTGAGGCCATCGGCTGCTCCTGAGTCGCTCACGCTCTTTCATCAGCCCACATGTCGCGTGCTACTCTCGTTCTCTGTTAAACATGCAAGCCTGTGAAGATGCACTCTGTGGCAGTGCAATTTATTTCCCACCATGCTCT